AAATAAATCATCACCATTTGGTTCTTTATCTGACAAAAAAGATTCCCCTTTCGGCTCATTATCTGGAGGTAAGAACCTTTCACCATTTGGGCAAGCAGAAAATAAAACTCCTTTCGGAACATCAGTGAATAAGAAAGAATCACCCTTTGGATCCCTCTCAAGTCAGGAAAAACCATCACCTTTTGGTCTGACAAATTCCACATCCCCTTTTGCATCATTACTGGATAAAAAAGAAGAAGTGAAACCCTCACTATTTGGATCATCAGCCACTGAAAACAAATCATCATTTGGATCATTCGGAAATTTGGAGACAAAATCTCCTGCATTGGTAGATACCAAATCAGAAGAAAAGCCATCACCTTTTGCATCATTGAACAAACCTGTTGCTACTGAAAAGAAACCATCTCCATTCGATTCATTAAACAAAGATGGAAACAAGACCTCACCTTTCGATTCTTTGAGTGGGGGTGCTAAGGAAGATAGTCCTTTTGCATCACTTAATTTAGGGAGTCTGAAGAATGAATCTAAGGATACAAAATCCTTATTTGGTAATTTATCGGATAAGCCTAAACCATTGTTTGCTTCCAGTGAATCAGCACCTAAATCTTTGTTTACATCCAGTGAGCCAAAGAACGAGAAATTACCTTTTGGTGAAAGCAAGCCATCAGTTGAAAGCAAGCCGTTGAGTGAAAACAAACCATTAGGTGAAAACAAGTCATTAGGTGAAAACAAGCCATTATTTGGGACTTCATCAGATAAACCATTATTCAGTGAAAAGACATCCAAACCGTTATTCAACGAGACAACTTCCAAACCATTATTTGGAGACTCAAAACCATTATTTGGAGACTCAAAACCATTATTTGGGGATTCCAAAGCAACTGAAAAGCCATTATTTGGTGAAAAGGAAAAACCATCTACCGGAAAAAATCAACCATTATTTGGTGAGGAGAATAAATCGTTGTTGGGAGAAAAGAAAGCACTGATTGAAGAAAGGGAGAAACCATTGTTTGAACAAAGAAACAAACCCTTGTTTGGAGAAGAGAAGGAAGTGAAAGAGGAAGGAAAACCAAAGATCATTGAACCCAAAATCTCCACTAAGCCAGTTGAGCCAAAATCCCAACCAAACCAAAATGTTTCGTTATCAGAGACTAAACCTGCATCTCAAGATTTGGCTGCAAAAGAATCTCAATCATTGCCTATCAACCACATTAAGCTTTCATACTACGAAACTACTCCATCGACAAAATCCACCGGTAACTCAATCAAAGATAAAATCAATCAAATCATCGTCGATACCAATGGCCATAGAGTTGTGTTAAACCAAAATCTTAAATCATTCCAAGAACAAATTCAATCACATAACATAAATTACAAAGAAAAGATTTTAAAAGACGATAAATATATCTCACTCAATTCAATAGCATATGTTAAAGAGAAAGCTATCGGCCAACATAAAGAAATTAAAGAAAAGTTAAGTCAAATTCAACAATTCGATAAGGATTTAAAACACCTTATTCAAATAAATGAAGAAGACAATGTTTTGAAATATCAAATCACCAAATCCATTAATCATTTGGAATTATATCTTAATGAAATCATCTCACCCAAAGATTATCCCTTAGATTATAAAAATGAATCATTACGAATAAGTTTAAGGAAGAAAGCTAATAAAATTCATAAATTACAAGAACAATTGATTAAACTTATGATCCCATTGAAAGCTCAAATTAATGGTAGTGAATTGACTATTGATAATTTCACTAAACTACTTTATGAAATCAATGAAATTATCAATAATAAAACCAAAGATATTGAACAATTAACAAATACAGTCAAACAATTAACAATACCATCCAATGAAATTATCGAAACCAACGTTGATTATAGCAATAGTTTGATGAAAAAATGGGAGATGTCCAATAATTTGAAATCACAACCTCCTCAATTTCTTAAAGTAAACAAACTAAATTAATCAACACCCCCCCCTTATTTGACAAAGAAGGTTGTCAAGGTGCAGTTGAATTGACATCGAAACTTTCATTAATATTACTTAATATAGATAAAATATAATTATTTTAAACCCTCTTTCCCTAATTAACACTATCAACGAAGTCGGTTAGTGTGTGAAATTATGGTTTGAAACAAATCATATAATTAACAATTAGACGAATAAATGGTAATGGGCTTTTTTTATTTATATGTCGCGATTTAAACGTAAAGACATTTTGTGATAATCAGAAGCCTATATAATAAATTTTCATAGTAACGAAGTTTAAAATTGTAAACCAATTGATATCATTGGAGATATGGTGGAATATATTGGAACTCAAGTTAATGTTCCGGGTACTAGAGGGAAAGGGATTTTGCGATATCATGGATCAATTCATGGTAAAAAAGGTATATTTGCAGGTATTGAATTACTTGGACCAATTGCTTTAACTAGAGGTAAAAATAATGGTGATGTAGAAGGATATCAATATTTTAATGTTCAACAATCAATGTCTGGATTGTTCTTACCTTTTGAGAGGTTAAAGTCAGTAAATCCACAATTACAATTTACTAAAGATATGATTAATGATATTGATCACAATGTGATTTCACTTAATAATAACGTGTTTAATGATGGGGAGCTGACTGATCATATGTTATTTTCTCCTACACCAAGTTTTACTACGTTGAATAGTGAACAAACCAATATTCCTCGACCTTATTCAGCTGATTTAACCAAATCTCGTTTTAATTCACCAATTTTACATTCCGCTTCTTCATCTTCAACATTAAATGTTATTAAACGTGATGAAAGATCAAGAACTTCATCTATAAGCTCATTCAATAAGAGTCCTGTATTAAATTCGGCTTTTAGAAGTTTTTCCAATAATGATAGTAGACTTTATAAGAGATCAAGTGGTAATAATGTTTCATATTTAGAACAAGAATTATATGATCTTCGAACCAAATATGAAAAGAGTGAAAGGGAAATGCTGGAGAAAATGTCAATTTTGAATGATTTAAGAGAAACCGTCCAAGACTTACAACCGATTTTAAAACAATATGAAAATGAATTGAATGAAAAGGATAAGAAAATTTCCAAAATCAAAAATGAATTCGAATCTGCTAGAGAGGATTGGAGACAAAATCTTGATATTATGGTGAATACTTATGAAGCTAATGAAAACTTTTATGAATCAAAGATCAAAGAATTACAATTGAAGTTAAGTGAGAATAACTCCATTGATAATAGTAAAATTAATGACTTACAAGTTAAATATGATGAATTAGTTAATGAAAAAAGTGATTTAGAATTGAAATTCAACAGCAGAATCAAAGAATTACAATCTGTTAAGGATAATGATACTGATGAAATTGAAATCGTCAAATCCCTTAATAATAAAATATCTGATCAACAGAATGAAATTGAAACTTTATCTAATCAATTAGTGGAAATATCAAAATTTCCTAAAGATGAACCTAAAATCTCAGAAAATGAATTCAATGAATTACAATCATTAGTAGAAAAGTTAATCAAAGAGAATGATGATTTGAAAAGAGATTTAGAAAGAAGACATTCTTTTGAGAAGCTTGAAGATAAAAACACTGAAATTAATAAATTACATGATGATATTCAACATTTGAATGATAAATTAAATTCCAAGAGTAAAGAAATTGAAACTCTTGAAGATGATTTGGATATGAAAGTTCAACAAATTAATGAATTGAATAGTAAATTAGACAATCAAATTCCAACTAAAGAGAAGGATTCGGAAGACGAATCTGATAAACTCAAAGAACTTCAAGAAGACATGTTCTTCAAAGATCAAGAAATCAAAGCTTTACAACAACAACTTGATAAATTAAATACCAATTTAGCCACTCAGAAACAGACCATCAAAGACTTACAAGCCAAAAATACCCAATCAGTTGATTCAGTGAATTCAGTTGATTCGGCTGATTCAGCTGATTTTCCTGACCCAGAAGAACTTTCACGTCTCAAAACTCAAAATGAACTCCTACAAGCCCAATACATTGAAAAAGATAACATAATCAAAGAATTGGAAAGAAAATTACAAGAATCCATCAGTAATGAACTTGATACTTTAAACATCAACGATGCTGCAGCTATCAATGAAATCACTTTCATCAAAGAAATCGAAATCATGAAAAAGGAATTAGATAGCAGACCTACCATTGAAGAGTTAACTGAATTACAAGATAACATCGATGAAATGGTTAGGTTACATAATAATGAAATCTTCTTCAAAGATGAAGAAATGCAAAAAGTTTTGAAAGAAAACTCCAAATTACAATTTAGATTAGATAAGATCTTAGAAGGTTCTATAACTAACCGATTTAGTACTGCTAGTCATGAAAGCAATTCCATCAATAGTGATTTACCAATCTATAAACCAGAAATTGATTTGGATCCTAGTGATGGTAAAGATAATTGGTGTGGATTATGTGAACGTGATGGTCATAGTAGTGTGAATTGCCCTTACGAGAATGATATCTTCTAAGTGTCCGTTTTTATATATATATAGTTTTAGTTTTGTGTAAATTTATAATGATAATGATCGTGTATCAACTGTTTTGCTTTTGGGTGGGAGTGCGATTTGAAAATAGTTTTCTGAACGATTGATCTGACGACAGTCTTAATATTATCATAAGTGTACTCAATTCAAGTCATTGATAGTGGGAACACGTTAGAATATGTCGGAGAATCATGTTAATGGCACGTCCCTGCCTTCCGAATCGGAAATTTTGCATGAAGAAAATAGTGATCATATATCAAAAGTCGATCTGACCCAAAATAATGAATTAGCCCATGAATCACATGATGTTAATGAAATCGAATCTTCTACACCTTTAGTTACTCAACCACTAGAAGAAAGGGGGGATGTGATATCTGAAGAAGTCATTGAAAATGAAGTCATTCCTGAGACTGCTGATAATAACCTTCCAACTTTGATAGGAGAGAAATTGTCTGGTGAAGTTAGGACTGAATTAGGGTTAGAGTTTAATCCAAGAAATGAGTTGTTTACACCTGATCAAGAGAAATTGAATAAATCCCCATCTCCGTGGGGTGATGAACCTGAAGCTTTGCCATGGGAAGAACAAGCTCCTGTGGAGAATCATGATAATCACGTCGCTCGCCCAGCAGAAGAAATAGTGGAAGAGCTTCCAATTCAAGAGCCTGTAACGGAAGAGGTTGTATCTGGAGAACCTCCAATTCAAGATACTGATAATCAAGTTAAGGATGTTCAAATACCAGTTGAGGAACCTGTGGAATCAGATACACTCGCTCAAAATGAAACTGTAGTCCACCAACCAGTGGCAGTTAAGTCTTCATTACCTTGGGAAGAAGAATCAGGATTACCTCAAGAGCAGAAACCTTCTTTACCATGGGAAACTAGCCAGGATAATGAAGTTTTACCATGGGAAGAACCTAAACCTGAAGTCAAAGACCCAGTTGTAACTGTTGCTGACTCCGTGACGGAACCTGTGCTGGGAATTGAACCACAACCAATGGTAGAAGATCCTATTGAAAAACCAGTACCACATCCCGTCTCACAAGAACCAGTACAATCTGATACAGATTTCTTTGACCAATTATCACAACCTGCTGCACATGCTCAACCGGTTGAACCAGCCCCTGTTGAACCAGAACATGTTGAACCAGAACCTGTTCAGACCCAAGAGCAACCAGTAGAATCCATCACTAACCAAGTAGATCAATTAAACTTAAATGATGATGATGATGATTTTTTTAACAACTTGAATCGTGCTAATGAGAGTGATGTTCTCGAAGAACCAGACATTTCGACTGAACCAGCATTCAATAATGTTGATGAATTAGAAGAATCTGATGATGAACAATCTGAACATCCAGAAAAACAGCCTACGTCAATTTTATCTACTGACTCCATCGCCGAATCCAAAAAATCAACCTCAAAACTCAGTGATTTATTGGACGATGATGAACTTTTAGATGATGAACCGGACTTTACTGATCTTAAGAAAAAAGCTCTTAAGAACGCTAAGTCTCTTGCATTCCTTGAAGATGATGATTTATTGGATAACGACACCGTGAAGACACAACCTCAACCAAAAGTTAGACAATCAAAATCTTATGCTCCTTTATCACAACCCAGTCATTACGAAGTCCCCAAAACCGCCACCAAACAGGTAGTCAATCAAAACTTAGTACAGGCCAAAAAGAAAAACGATGCATATGATTTCCCTATTGATTTGATGCCTCAAGCTAAGGCTGCTCCTAGATCTAATCCTAGGTACGCTCCAAGTCTGAGTAACTTAAAATCAGGCCCTCCATCAATTGGTGCATCTTCCTCGGGGATCTCAAGTCAATCTGGTCCAACTGGGCCTCCAAAATCAACTCATCATGTTTCGGGACCCCCTTCAACATCATCAACAACTTCAGTCAACAACATTTCTAAAGTTTCCTCAAGATCACCAAGATTGACGAATACCATTCCAAAACCTGTGGTACCAAAGAAATCATTCTTTGAGGAATTACCTATTGAAATGCCTCCACCAGCTAAGAAACCTGCCCGTGCTAGTTCATTTGCTTCAAACAAGAGCATTAACAATACGGTGAATAATTCACCCAACTTTTCAGCCAAATCTCCTCAATTGCATAAACCTCCAGTAAATCCATATGCTAAAGTTCAACCTGCTCAACCTCCAACTCAGGGTACTGGCTTCCAATTCCCCCAAACAGGCCCTATTCAATCTACCAGTCCTGCTCCAGGTCCTCCTGTACCAGGTCCTCCTCCAATGGGACAAGGGGTTCAACATCTTCAACCAGGTATGAACCAACCTAATTCTCAACCATTCCCATCAATGAATCAAGGTAGAAAAATATCCAACCCTTCACCTAATGTTTTAAACACTAACTTGGCTAAAGTTCCTTCTCAAACTAGTCCATATGTTCCAAACTCCGGTCCTTATGCTCCTAGTAATCATTACAAGGCTCATTCTCGTACCAGTTCATTGATTGGAGGTAAGGGGAAAGAAGTTAATCCATACGCTCCAGCTTTACCACCAGTTGCTCAAAATAATGGTCCATCAAATTCTGGTCCTCAATCGAATGGAGTAGCCATCCCACCCGTATCTGGACCTGCTCCAGGAATGGCCACTGGTCCTATACCTCCTCCAGGGATGGCTTCAGGAACCTCAGCTCCACCTGGTTTATCAACAGGACCAATACCTCCACCGGGTTTATCTGCCCATCCAGTGGCTAAGTCTCATCCAACACCAAACAGAGCAAGAGGTACCTCTAATCCTAAAACGGGTATTTATGGTAGAGCTAGAGCTCAATCAACCACCAAGGTTCAAAATCCTGCAGCATTATTGAAGCGTCAGTTCCCTATCTTCAACTGGGGTAATCATAATGAAGCTTGTTATTTGATTCCAGCAAGTTTGACCAGTAACTATCATTCAGGAGTAGGTAAAGTTCAAGTCAAGCCCGTAGCTTCTTTTTTCACTGAAAAGAACATTTTAACTCAATTCCCTGGTCCTTTGAGTAAGAATAAGAACAAGAAGAAGGAGGTTGAGAAGTGGTTAGAGAGTAACATCCAATACTTGAGTAACTTACCTATGGGTAAAGAAGATGAAATACTTTTGAACCAAATCTTATTGTCATTGACCAAATTTGATGGTGACCATAAATCAGCTGAGTTCCGTAAAGAAGTATGTACTTGGATGAACCCTCATATTAACTTCGAAAACTTCCAACCAGAGGCAATGCCATCTATGGGAGTTTCACCAAATGCTTCTAAGTTGGATGCTTCTGGAACTAATTATGTTTTCCAATTAATGCAAGCAGGAAAATTGGAAGAAGCTTTACAATTTACTATATCTAAAGGAGACTGGGCTTTAGGGTTGATGCTTGCAGCTTCAATTGGATCGGAAAAGTTCCAATCAATTGCTAGTGATTATGCAAGAATATCATTCCCCTTCCAAAAATCCAACAACAAAGTTCATCACATGATGCCTATGGTATTGAAAGTCATTGCAGGAAATTACAAAAGTGTCATTGACGATTTTGTCAATGTTCCAACTGAAGGAGAATGGTTTTCGATTCATTGGAGAGAACTTGTGGGTTTGATTCTTATCAATTGTAATCCATCAGGTTATGTATTTTTCTATGAATATGGGAAATACTTAAAGTCAATTGGAAATGCTGTAGGATCAGAAATCTGTTCTATGTTAGCAGGAAGTCCATTATCAGTGTCATCTTCCCCAATGGAAGGATTCTCATATGTTGGAACTTTCACTTCTTCAATAATTTATTCTGAAATTTATGAATTCATTGTATGCCACCTTTCAACAAATCCAAATCCTTCCTTCTTACAAGGGTTCTTACATTTGTTACCTTTGAAGTTAAAACATGCCCAATTATTGGCTGATTATGGAGCAGTGGGTGAAGCTCAAAAATATTGTGATAATATAGGCAACACCATCAAAACTACCGGTAACAATCCATATTTTGATGGCAATGCACTTAAAGAATTACAGAAATTAGCAGTGAGAATCAGTGAAAGTGATAACAACGAAAGTGGATGGTTCGGTTCGAAGATAAGTAAAGTTAATCTTGATAAGATGTGGGGACAAATTGATAAGTTTATCGGTGGTGAAGATGGTGCTACTAAGAATGTTAATGAAAATGGAGTTTTCAGTAAATTTAGTCCATCAGTTTCAAGAGTTGGCTCAGTACTTGATTTTACTGCCCCACCTAATCAAATTCATCAACAGTTGAATCAAATTTCACCACAAGCTAGATTTGATAATTCTAAAGATCCAACGATGCCATCATCAGCTCCTTCTTTCAATAGTAAGTATTCACCAAGAACAGGTTCTGGTTCAAACAACATGAAATTCCAACAACCTTTGGTTAGAACTCCAATATCTGAAAATGTTGATAATAATTCATTATTTGCTGTTTCCCCCAATCCACAAGGTGCTAACTTTGGTAACCCTTATGGGAAGTATGCTCCATCGAATGGGTCTTCCCTGAATTTGGATCAACATATTCAACCAATGCAACCCATACAACCAATAGCTCCAACAGGCTTTTCTCAACCTTCAAGTGTATCTCAAGGTCTTGGCCAGCCTCCTGTACCTCAACCTCCTAAAGGAAAATATGCTCCTGGAAGAAGTAAAAATCCTTATCAAAATCCTGCTGGTGCTCTCTCCAACCTGTCAATCAATTCCCATCAACCAATGGCAAGTTCTAATTTGAATCCAAACGTGACTGCTCAAACCCATCAAAGAACTCCATCTTCTTCAAGCAATCAATACGGTAAGAGAACCTCAGTTTCTAGTATTGTTTCAACCGACAACTTCATTAACCAAGATCAAATTAGGGGCCATAACCACTCACCTTCAATTCAAAGTGATATTAGTTTAGATTACCCTCCGGAATTCAAAGCTAGAGAAACAGATTTCAATATTGACAAATCAGAGATAAGTTCTCCTATCAGAAAACATCCTATCGAAAGTATTGAAGAGAAGGACGATTTGAATGAGGCTACTTTACAACCTCCATCGATCAGTGAGTTCAATCCATCAATAAATTCTAACGAACCACTCCAATCATTACAGTCGGAATCTGAGGCTGCTTCAGGTCCTCCTCCTGTTGCTGGCCCTCCTCCAGCTACTGGTAATTCTCAGCCACCTACTTCAGGTGCTCCACCTAAATCAGGTCCTCCTATGGGTGCAGCAAGATCAAAACCTGTTAGAAATGCTTATGCTCCAGGAGGGGCAAAAGGAAGACCTGCAACTACCAACAAGTACGGACCATCCAAATATGCTGCTAAAGAATCCAAACCCCTTGTCTTACCAGAAATGTCTGGAGACATGTTTGGATTTGGAGGTTATGAAGGAAGTAAGAATATGCCAAAACCACCTCCACAGGAATCAATTTCAGACTTACCCCAAAAGGATATCACCAGAAATGAACCTGTCTCACCTACCAGTCCACCTTTACAAATCAATCCTCCACAAGGAGTACCAACTGATGGTGGATTGAAACAATTAGAAGATGAAGTGTCAAGATTTGAAACCCCTAAAATGTTCAAGGCTACAAATGTTGATGAAAGTTTCGATGATGGTGAAATGAATTCCATGTTGGAAACACCTAAACCAAGATTAGGTAATGGCCCATTGATTTTGAATAATAAATCTCCTACTAATAAAGAATCAATGTTTTCACCTTACCAGTCTGATACCAGAAGACCATCTGCTTTTGGTATTGATAGTACTTTCAATGAATTTCCTATCCCAGGATCGCCAATGTTATCCACCAGAGCTAATTCTGTCATTAATGGTGTTGGAGGGGGATTATTCTCATCAAGATTATCCCAATCTCAACAATCAGCAATGTATCAACAGTATGAAGTTCAAGATGATACTGTTCACGATTACGTGCCAGTAGTTGAGGAAGAAGAGGAGGAAGATGAAGAAGAGGAAGAACAAAAGAAGAATAACAAACGTAAGACTGAACCACAAGAACAAAAGACCAAGACCGTTAGACATCAACCTTCACGTGATGGGTGGTTCAAATGGTTGAAAAAAGATGATGGAACTCCAAGACCTACTCAAATGCATTTTGGTGATTCTAACAAATTATATTATGATGAAAAACATAAGAGATGGTTGAATAAAGATATTCCAATTGAAGAGCAATTGAAGTCTAATGCCCCTCCACCTCCACCCAAGGCTAAGAAGGAAGCCATACCAGCCAAACCACCAGGTGCGGGAGGTCCTATACCTAATAGAACTCCAAGTGGAATGCCAATGGGTGTTTTCCAAAATAATGGAAACAATGGCCCACCACTGAATTTAGAAACTCCATCTAAACCAGGTCCAGTTCCTCAACCTAATTCCGATATACCACCAGTAGAAAGTGAGCAAACTATTCCGAATGTTCCAGTATCCAATGGTCCAACTGGTCCAACTGGTCCAACTGGTCCAACACTGGTCAACGTTCCAGAGGCTGCTAAACCTCCAATGACTCCAAAAGGTCCAAGTTTAGCTAATGCAGGCTTAGATGATTTATTATCATTGGGTGGATCCACAGCCAGTGTTAATAGTAGAAAGGGAAGAAAAACTGGCCGTAGAGGTTACGTAAACGTTTTAGAACAAAAAAGTTAAAATAAAATTACATATATATCATATTTCATTATCTCTAGCCATTAAATAATAAGTCGCTTTGATGGAGGTTCCGTTGCGTAGCACTCTGTCTTGAGGAGAATTATCAGTAATCCTGAAACCTCGTTTCAAATACCAATTATACGATAACTCATTAGCTGAAAATACTGTTAAATTCACACCTTTGCAAGATAAGTTTTCATCACCACATGAATCCAAATCCAAAGCAAGTTTTTGTACACCATCCATCAATAAAGTTCCTAATTTGGAATGCTGGTAAGATGGATCAACATGAATCTCATATAAGTATAATTTCTTAATCCCGTGATCTAGCACAACCATTACTGAAACAAAACAAACCAATTTATCGGTTTCATAGGAGATATATACCAATCCAATTTCTTTCATTTCTTGAAGTTTATCAATTTTCCAATGCTTCCCATCCATAATGTAATATAAATTTCCTATGGTAGTATCTATAAGATTCATGTATTGTTTCAAGCTATCTTCACTCAATTGATGGCCAGGAGATACCAGAAGTTTTGCCACATCATCCTTCACGTAGATGTCTTGAGGGAAGATCTGTAGCACTCTCTTGGAAACCGATTTTGACACATTACGCATAAGTACTTTATCATCTTCATTAAACATAACGCGAATTATTTCATGGTTGAAGATAAGATGATGGCACATAAAGGGATTGGGGATATAGTGGATAGGCTGAAACAAAGAATCGAAGAATACTATCATCCATTCAACAATGTGATAAGGAGTAATAAATCAAGTAAGGATGATAAAAAGGAACCATTTATAAAGAACCATAAAAGAAATAATATCAATAGTAGGAATAAGTTTAATCGACTTAATGAAGTAAGACAACGCCATAAACAAGAAGAGATTGAATTGAAAAGGACCAAAATGAATGAAATCAATAATAGAAAAGATCAAGAACGAAAATATCAGCAAGATTTACAACAATTGGAAGTAGACATAGATCAATTAATTGAAGAAGAAAAAGACATGAATGATGAAGAATTTAATGAAGATGAAATGAATGCCTACGAACGGGAATTGGAAGAATATCTCAGCCAACTAACGATAAGTAATTAACCAAGAATAAAACACAATTGAATGAAGGGTCAAAAAGTCAAAAGGGCCATCAACAATGAATGAAATGAATTTGAGCCAAGGCTTAACATTAAATAAATTTATTTCATGAAACAGCCCTAAGAAATGGTTTGCTAAGTAAATGAAGGAAGGCATTGTTAACGAAATAATTACGAATATAAAAAAATCTTAACCTCATGATAGATTACAGGATTTAACGGAATTACCAAGAAATTTGTACGCCAATACAAGGGGTATATTTTTTAAGTATCGTAAAATCATTCTCTTCATTCTGTTCCGCTAAGTGCCCCACCTATACCCTAATTATAAACGTCTATTAGACGAACACAAAGTAAATCTTCTCAAACATATACGAAACAATCTGCCAATTGTTAAGCCATAATAGGTAAGTATTTAAGCCTTGTCGTTTTATGCTACAAAAAAATCTAAATTCCTTTTTGGCCGTCTCAAGTTGCAAATTTTCTCGGGTGGGGGACGACTGATTAATCTGATAAAAAATCCCGGACTGTACGAAACGGAAGGTTAAAAGAAAAATTTTTAAACGCCTTTAACATTAGAGTAAAAGTAAAACCGGCTAAGTACCTACATTCGATCAAATTTCGAGTGTAAAGCCATGTAAAATGATTTCTTACCTGACCTCAAAATTTTAGAAAAATCTTCCTCATCTATACTCTTTATGGTTAAGAGAACTGACAATTCAACGGTTTCTTGAAAATCCTAAGTTTTTCAATCCAATTACAAGAACGCAATAACAGAATATGCGGACGTCTGATTTGCTAAAAAAAAAATTCCCACCTCTTCGTGATTGGCAAGGAGGGAAAAATTTTTTCACACTGATTAATCTGATAAAAATTGATGCAGGACAGCATGGCTACAACTTTTTCATTAAAGTTAAATGACTTGGTTTTAAAAGTTCTAGAATGATATCTAAGGATATATCTGATATTTACCTCTGAAATGACAAAGTAATAAACTTTGATAAACTCAAAAACTTAACCATTCACAGCCAGTGTGATTGTCTGATGGTTTTGATAAACTTAAATTTGGCATAATGTCAAGCTTATATACAGGAGGTGACTTTTTTGAGATTCCAATTGGCCAAATCACCAATAATTCGGGATTTGTTGATTGGTTTTAACATTACCTTAAATTATAGGAACATCTGTATAAAAGTCAAATAATTCCCATTAAAATTAAATTTCATTAGTAAAATATAAATTTCATTTACAAAAACGATGAATTATTTAGCTATATTTTTCATCTTATTCACCTTAGTGAAAGGTGATTATACCGATGGGGGGTGGAAAATTTATCATAGAGCTCCATTATATACTGTTGCATGTGCCCAAATCATTGGTAAAAATGCATTATATTTTAAAGAAACTGATACTCTTGGTTGGTGTAACTTAGATAATCAACCAGCTGTTGGTACTATGGCTCATGCTTTAACTTTAACTAACAGTACTAAAGCTATTGATTATTTTGTTAATGATTGTAATAAAATTAACCCTGATGGTTTCACTATGGATGATTTCAAAGCTGCTTTCGATAATGCTACTAAATATTTAGTTGCTAATGCTTCTGCTGAACCAGGTTTCAATATCACCTTACCTTTCAATAAACCTGTTGCTATTAAACAAGCTAAAATTGATGCTGCTATTAATTCTTCAGTCTCAAGATATCAAAACATGAATTATGGTTCAATCTTTGGTTTAGTTTTAAGTGGTTATTGGTTCTTCTTAATTATCTTAAGTGGTATTTGGAGATTAATGGCTTTTATGACTCCAAGTTTTGTTAAAAAATTTTCAGGATCTTTAAGTAATAAAGTCAGAAAATACATTACCTTACCAGCCCTTTTCGGTAAGAAACATAATGATTACTTTTACATTTTCGGAGTTTTCCCAGTGTTAATCCCAACTAGATGGGAATCAATCATGCTTGGAGTTTACTGGATTTTAGTTTTAGCTTTTAACGTTTGTGATTTCCACCATAATGTTGGAAACACTATCTGGGTATTACAAAGTGCCGAAATGGGTAGAAAGATCGCTGATAGAACCGGTTACATGGTTATTTTCATGTATCCAACTTTAGTTTTGTTCGCTGGTAGAAACAATTTCTTACAATTATTCAGTGGTTGGAGTTATTCAAGATTTATCTTAATTCATAAATGGATTGCTAGAGCTGTCACTTTATTATCATTAGTTCATGCTGTTGGTATGACTTACAATGGTAAAGGTATTGGTGTTGGTAAATATGAAGCCAGAAATGCTAAACCTTACGTTAGATGGGGTTATGTTGCTTTTATTGCTATGGCCCTTATGTTAGTTCAAGCTATGAACGTTCTTAGAAAGAGCAGATATGAAATCTTCGTTGCCATTCATGTTATCTTAGCTGTGTTTGTTTTAATTGGTTCATGGATTCATGTTTCTGAAGATTTATTAACCCCTATTTATTATTCAGCTGCTGCCGTTTGGGTTTTCGATAGAGTTGTTAGAATTGGAAGATTAATGGCTTTCGGTATTAGAAAAGCTAAAATCCAATTAATTGCTGATGAAACTTTAAAAGTTACCGTTAAAAGACCATCATACTGGAAACCTTTCGCTGGAGCTCATGCTTATGTTCATATTTTCAGACCTTCATGTTTCTGGCAATCACATCCTTTCACCATTGTTGATGAAGTCAGTGAACAAAACACCATTACTTTCTACTTAAAAGTTAAAGGAGGTATGACTCATGGATTATATCAATACTTAAAGAAACAACCAAACCAAACTTCCGAAATTCCAATTTCCGTTGAAGGTCCTTATGGTCATCGTTTACCATTGAGTAGATATGACAGTCAAATCTTTATCAGTAGTGGTAACGGTATTCCAGGGTTATATGAAGAAGCTAAACAATTAGTCCAAAAGAAAACTTCAAACTTAAACATGAAATTTATTTGGATTATTAGACATTATAAATCAATTGAATGGTTCTATCAAGAATTAGTTAATTTAGAACACCCATCAGTTGATGTTGAAATTTATATCACTAACGGATCAGCTGGTGTTCATAAATTCTGGGATGATTCATCATCTGATTTAAATTCAAACAGTGAAAAGAATAGTGAAGAACTTAATAATGAAAAGACTGAAGAAATTGAATCAATCATTGGTGAATTAAAATCCAAATTATCTCACATCAAATTCATTGAACAAAGACCAAATATGAATGATCTTTTAAGTAAAGAAATTGAACAAGCAAATAATGGTACTATCGCGATTTCAACTTGTTGTCACACTTCCATTGATGATGACATTAGAAGATCTTTAGTCAACAATTTAGATAAATCTCAAAATAGAATTGATTTATATGACCAAATTCAAGTTTGGTAGATTATTTATGGTTATTTAATATATATTAATAGAATAGTATAATAGAATAGTATACATCTGAATAATGTCGTGATTTGGTGTATAAATCCGGAGACATTTTTAAGCCAATTTTCAAAATACAATTAGACATTTTTCACCTATGGATCAAAACCATCCTAGGTGAAATTCCAAATGTCTGAAATTATTTGAAAATTTAAGAGGGAAAAATCTTCAATAATAAAAATTCAATCTGTCCAATGATCCAATTAACTCTCGTAATTATCTCAAACTACCATGAACGGGGCTTTGTTGTGGTATCGATTTAGTACCAGTTACCAATGAAAATTTACGCGTAAAAATAAGGAGCGCCTTGAGGAAAAAAAAATTTTTCGAGATCAATAAATCATTGAACCCTAAGTCATTCGTTTTAATTACTGTTGATCTTAATTCTTCAGTAACCAATCATACCATATCGTTCACAATTTGAACAAGATTTTTAGCAATTCATTATTGATCTAGAAATCCCCCCATTTTTATATCAAGTTTTGAACGTTCTCCCAATCAACAAATCAAAACAAATAGGAGATCAATCAAGTTTATTAGAATTTTAATCCAACATTATAAATCATTCAATTCATATTAGAACTTAGTTCATTGTACCCTTGATAAAAAGCATTCCCAAAATGGCCATTACCTTATATGATATAGTAGATATCTACGTAAGAAAAAGTGATGATGATGATGATAAATGTAGTCAAAAGAAATATAAAGATTCAGCAGAATGTCAAAAACCAAGTTCTGAAGATGGATTAACTATTGGATTAGCTGTGGCCCTTCCAGCAGTAGCTGTTATCTTGGTTTTAGGGTTTTTCTTATTCAGAAATTATAGAAAAAACAAAAAGGAAGATATGGAACATGATCCAGATTTCGATGAAAATGGTGAAGCTACTGTTTTACCTGATTTCCCACCCCCAAGATTTCAAAGAGGTCCAAGAATGAAAGGAGGTTATGAAATGGAAGATCCTTTTGACAACAGAAATTCTGTAAGATATCCAAATCCTAATGAAAAATTCGATTCAAAATTTTATCAACAAAATTCTAATAATTCATCAGCTTCAATTACTGCCAGTCATAAAGATGCCCCTGTTGAAAGTTTTGTTTTACCTTATCAACATCAAATAGGTTCTAAAGTATCATTAGATGAATATGCTAGACAATTAGGTGGTTATGATAATTCATACAATGGAACTCCAAGAGGTTCATTTATTCCAAATCATGGAACTAGAAATTCCAGTTTAAGTAACATCAACTATTTACATCAACCACTTACCAAAGCTCCATCAGTTTCACCTCAAAAGGGTAAATCTAACTTGAAATATGAAAACAAAGATTATCAAAACATTCCTAACCATTCAATGGTCGATACTACTAATGATGAAACTGGATCTATTGAAGAAGTCAGTGATAGTGATGAAGAAGAAGTACCTAGACCAAATTTTGCTATTAATTATGAAAATGAATCAGAACCAAAAATTAATTCCACTTTGAATAATGTTGTTGATGTTAATGAATCTACTGATACTTTTAATACCACAGTTGATCATGGATATCATCAAGTTGAACAACCAAGAGATGAACGTAGTGATTCACCATTTGATGATCACGCTAAAATCAAACATAGTCAATCGATCCCTGTGATTGAAAATGAAGAACAAATTGATGGTGACTTTGATTTCAGTAATGATAGTGGTGCCAGTGCTGTTCATACTAATTCTCATGACCATGAAACTGCTAATACCTCAACTACCAATCTTGATTTGGAAAAGGAATTGAAAACCGAACCAACTTCAAAATTCGATGATGATGAATTTGATGATGTCGATTATTTAAATAATGATGAAACTTTAAATGTTAAACAAGTAAAGCAAGAAGAAAGTTATGACAAAGTTGATAAAGAAGAGGAAGAAGATGAAGAAGGAGGTAACCAATTATTAAGTGCTGAACAAGAAGAAGAATTGAAAAGAATGAAATCAGTTTATAAGTTATATTTCGATAGAGAAAATTCCGTTAAGAGAAGAAAAGATGATAATGAAGGAGATTTCGAATATCAACCAGATTTGAATCATCCTTTACCTTTAGTTGATACCAATCAATTCTTAACCATCAATAAAGATTTGAAAGCTGATACTGATTATAATAAAAGATTGACTACTACTTCATCGATTTATACTGATATGAATGAAGTAAATAGAGGACAACCAGAATACCAATATGCTTATCAAGAACAACCATATGATACAAATCCTCAACAAGAATATCAACAATATAGTAATTATTTACAAGATCCAAATTTCCAACAATTCTACCAAGAACATATTCAAAGTTTACCACCATTACAACATTTACCTCATCCTTCAGATATTAGACAGTCTACCATTCAAACTTATACAGATTATCAACCAAGATCTAAAAATACCATGACTTCACCAACCATGAAACAACCTTTTGTTCCTATTGAAAATGATAATGTTTGGACATCACCTGTTAGTACTCCAACTTCAACTCATGCCCCAACTTTTGAAAATACTACATCACCACCAATTGTTCCATCAGCAACTCAAATTTCAAGATCTTCAGTTGTTATGTTAAATCCTGTTACTGAAATTACTAAACAAAGAAAATTTAAACCTGCCGGTTCATTACCAACTCATGCGAATAATCATGCTTATGCTAATTATGCTATGAACAATCAAAGAAACGTTACTCCTCCAATGTATCAAAAACGTCTGAACAGTTCAAGAGATTTAATACCTGAAGGTAAAAATGACGTTAGAAGAATGATGACTGATAATTTTTAAAGTGGTATATAGAGTTTTTTTTTAAATAAAAAGAAAAAAAAAGGGAGGGATGCATTGTTTGGTTTGTATAGTTATCTAATGTACATTATTTTATGCTATTTTAAGTTAAATCATAATCATCAATTTTGTTCTTATATTTAAGAACATTCCTTTTAATCTTGGAAGTATCAACCCAAGTAAGATAATCTTCTAAATTTCTAGTAATTAAGAATGCTGGATCAGTAATGATATTTGGTCCAACTCTTACATGGCCTTGTTCAACGAAAGTAACAGCATCTTTTAATGTTTCTGCCATTTTTAATCTGCACATAACTACACCAATTCTTCTTCTACAGAAAGCACTTACAGTAACTTTATTCTCTAAATCAGATATTTTGGATTTGGTGGATAAAATTCCTATATTGTATAATTTTTCCAACAATAACTGTTCTTGTTTGACTCTAACAGGATCTGTTGGTGATAATAATGATAATTTATTGGCTATCTTTCTGATATCACCACAAATCTTATTATACTTATGATAATCTTCTCTATTCTGTATGTGATAAGTTCTCATGACCTGAGTATCTCTATGACCTTGATCTTGTTTCCAATCAAGGAAATCTACTTTCTTCAACAACTTCTTCTCATGGTGTTTCAACTGTCTAACCATCTTGAATTATTTTTGAATCTTTAAGACTGAGATGAGATATATCAGAAGTTTTCAGTTCGCGAACTCAGTGGAAAATTTTCATCTATGTTCAAATCGGTGAACAGATTAATATCGACTCGTGGGATAAGTTCCTCGAGTATACTTCGTTCTAATATTGGGAAACAGCCAATAAGAATAGGTTCCGACGTAGAATGTTATACTGAAAAAGTTCCCTTCGAATTTTGTAAGTCTTTTACTAAACGTAAAGATACAATCTTATTAGACCAACAAGTAGTTGTCAAAGGACCAAAAGGAGTATTAAAATTACAATTACCAAGCTTTGTTAATATTGCTCAAGATGGAAGTAATATCAATGTAACAGTGGAAGATCCTGAAGATAAACTTCAAAGATCAATGTGGGGAACGTCAAGAGGTTTAATTAATAATAGTGTTATTGGAACTACTGATGGTCATTTAGCTATTGTTAGATTTGTTGGTACTGGTTTCAGAGCTATTTTAGGTGATGACAAAAATGGAAAACCAATAGTATCATTAAAAATTGGATTCCCTTATACTCCAAGTTTAAGAATACCTGAAGGTTTAACTGTTACTTCCCCAAATCCAGCCAGATTATTGATTGAAGGTATGGATAAACAACAAGTTAAATTATTCGCTGCCAGAATTAGAGAATTCAAGAAACCTGAACCTTACAAAGGTAAAGGAATATTTGTTAATGATGAAACCATCAAATTAAAGGAGAAGAAGATTAAATAGTCATTTTGTATATAGTAGAATTCATGGATCATTATTGAACTCTTTTTTACCTGGACTCTTATGGGTTTGGTGATATTCTCGTTTTTTATACATTCGCAGTGAAAAATTTTTCAAACACTACTATGTTCACAAGAAGTATAGGAGTGCAAAATACTTTGAAATGTATGGAAGCTAGACGTTTTGTAGCTCAACTTACATCTATACATGCTATACCTTCCACCAGAACCCAACCTTCACAAATAAATCATTCCGTAGCATCAACCAATGAAAGAAAATCATTATTAAACAGACCAGGATTATTAGGTATCAAAAAGGGTATGATTACTTGGTTCATGGAAAATGGTGAACAACACGCCGCCACTGTCATAGAAATCGATAATTGTGAAGTTGTTGCCAACAAAACCGTAGATTCAGATGGTTATTGGTCAGTATTATTAGGACAAATCGATAAATTCAAAAATATTGCTCCAAATGATTTAAAAAAATTCGAAGAAGCTGGTGTTAGTCCTAAACGTCATATTGCAGAATTCAGGGTTAGAGATGAATCAGGATTAATTCCTCCAGGAACTGAAATCAAAGCTGATTATTTTGCAGTTGGACAAATGGTCGATGTTATTGGAACTACTAAAGGTAAAGGATTTGCTGGTCCAATGAAAAGATGGGGGTTTGCTGGTTTACCTGCAACCCATGGGGTTTCCAAAGCTCATAGATCACATGGTGCCATGGGTGGTAATCAAGATCCAGGTAGAGTTTTACCAGGTAAAAAAATGGCCGGTAGAATGGGTGGTAAAAGTTGTACAGTATTTAATAATCAAGTATTATATGCCAATGGTGATGAAGGTATATTGATTGTTAAAGGTCAAATACCCGGCCCAAACAAATCATTTGTTAAAATCAGAGATGCTGTCAAACTCTATGGAAAATCTTTATTAAAGATTAACCAAGAACTCATGTAAATAGTAATGTAAGAAATATCCATTGATAAATTCTTTGTAGATTAATACTACTAAAACTGGCAATTACCAAGACTTAGTGGTGAAGAAAAAAATCCCAAAAATTTAGATATCACCATTAATAAAGACAATTCCCGGATGTTTCTGGTAAAAGGCAAGAAACATGTTCGAATGAATTGATCTTCTGGCGATTAAAGAAAAAACTTTTGCGAATGCGATGATATTTATACTGGTTGAAAAAGTCGTGTGCCGCTCGAGTAAAGAAGTTGCAAAAAAAAATAGGTATATATACAAGATCTATTTAGTTCTAGTTATGATGGAGTTAGTTAAGAATTCCAAAGCACTTCTGGAATCAGACTCTGGTAATACTCTTAAATTTTCTAATGCTTTATTGCAATAATCCATTGCTAAATCTTTTGTCTTTTGTAAACCGTTACATTCATCAACATGTTTTCTAGCTAATTCTACATCACCTGGGTTTTCGAATTTTCTTGCTATTAAATCACCAATTTCTGGTCTTTCCATCCAAGCATATAAAATAGGAGCTGTAGCCAACCCTAATTTTAAATCTGCTTGACTTGGTTTACCGAATGATGCTTCACTTGAAGTGTAATCTAATAAATCGTCAACTATTTGGAAACATAAACCCAAATTTCTTCCGAATTCATAACAATTTTCAATGATTTCATTTTGACTTCCACTTAAAACAGCTGCAGCTCTTGAAGATTTTGACATTAATGATGCAGTTTTTAAGTAAGTTTTATGAAGATAATATTCAAATGCAGCATTGACAGTTGTTTCATGATCAATTTCTATTGGCTTGTTCACAGTATATTCATGAGTCTTAGTGGGGACTCTTCCACTTGGAGTTGGGATGATTTTATCTTCACCGCCATCATTGATAGAATCTTCAGAACTTTGATCAACTACGGTGTTTTTCAATTGCATGAATTCTCCTTCAACTAAGTTAGCAATAGTTGTTGACAATAATTCAATTACTTCAGGATTTCTTAATCTTGCAATAGCAACTGAAGCTCTTCCTAATAAGAAATCACCAGCTAAAATAGCCATTTTATTAGTAAAAGCGATATTCCCACTTGGTCTTCCTCTTCTTGAATCTGATGAATCGATAACATCATCATGTAATAAACTAGCAGTATGAATCATTTCAACAATTTCAGCTAATCTTCTTTGTTTAGGTAAGATTCCATTAACAGCATCAAATTCTGGTAATTTGTCCATTGGTTTAGATAATGGGTCTAGTATAACTTTAGGATTAATTCCATATAAGATATTTAATGGACTTATTGAATCATTGACTGACTTCCCAGCAATAGATGTTAATGAAGGAGTTCCATCAAATGGTTTTTGGGTGGTAACATCTTCAAAATCAATTTCAATTCTATTTCTTTGTTCAATAGGTATATTCAGTAATGCTTTGGATAATAATAAAACAATTAAAGGTCTGACATTTTTACCCTCAGCTTCAAAATAATATGATGATACTCTATTTAAAACTGGATGGCCACTACCTATCAAATTAGCAATAGATTTAGCCAATGTTGACATTTCATGACTAACTATGGAAAAAGGATCATTGAATAATGAACTATTTGGTGGTTGAACTAATTTTTCAGCTGTTTGAACGGCAGTTTTAAATGATGAACTTTTGGTTGAAGTTGAATTTAATTTGTTGAAAGTTAATCTTCTCGTCCTATTAAGAAGAATTGTTGAATTTCTTCTCGTATAACCTATCATAATCCTATGTTTAATGTAATAGTAGGGAGTGTGAAAATTCTGGCAATCTAAAAAGTCTCACTTTTCTTCCAATTATGTTGCACAAGTTTTCAATAGTTTTCGCAGTTACGTAAAAGGGAAATGAAAGTTTATTAAACCTATTTACTTAATGGAATAACTCTCTTTGTGATGGATGCATATTTTCTAAGAAAGCTTTTGGAGGTGTTAAGGCTCCTAAATTTCTAATGGCATGAAGATTGAGGAAAGTTAAACCAAAAACATAACTAGAATTAACCCATCCAAAACCTTCAGTAGCCACACCTTTAAAGTCAGCTCCTTGATTCCCATATTCTGCATCGACTTTATGAGGAGTTGCACCTTCAACGACATTATATTTCTCTACCACAACACCATTATAATCAGCGAAAGCTTTGGTCATTAAATATAACCAACGATAAACTAATCTTCTGGCTACTCCATCATAGCCATAATTAGCTAATCCGATCCATGTCAAGATTTGTTGAGGAGCCCAACCATTAGGATAATCCCATTGTCTTGAAGGTCTATCCAAATTAACATCACCTCTAGATTTCAATGTTCCAGCCACGATACCTCCAGCTTCTTCCAATTTTTTGATAGAATTTTTAACTAATTTATCTGCTTGATCATCACTGGCGACTTTTGACCATAATGGCCAAAATGTAGTAGCTGATTCATAGTCACTTTGTTGTTTGGTCTTGATATTATAATCATAAAAGATTGAATCCTCTTCATTCCATAAATATTTGGTGATATTTTTCTTTCTTTGAGCTGCTCGTTCTATCCAAATATCTTTGGTTTCGATTTTACCATCGATTTCCAATTTATTATTGAAGAATGATTCAATAATAAAAGCGATGTCTACTTCATATTTGTATAAAACAGAATTCAAGTCTACGGTAGCTAAATGAGCACAAACTCCCTCTAACCTGTAACTGGTATCATGGCCAGATTCTCTAACAGCTCTATCATGTAAGAAATATTCGTCTAATTCTGATTCGTGAACTTCCTCCGAGTTATACATTTCAATGAATTCTTCATGAGTGACGTTGTATTTCTCAGTATATGGTTTCAAAACAGCAATGAAATGTGAAGCTTCTGTTTCTGGTGGAATACCAATACCTTCAGGGTGATAACATGATAATCCAGTTTCAGGATCTAATCTTGGTTCTGATGTCCATACATTCAAATATTCTTTTATAGCAGCTTTAACAGCTCTTTCTAAGAACTGTAAATTCTTCTCTAAATCTTCAGGTTGGACTTCGAGGTATTTATTAAAGATTCTTAAAGCCATATCGGTCAAAAATGGGGGTTGAGATCTTCCTAAATAATAAGATCTATTGGCATTTAAAATTTTCCCATAATGATTGATTTCATATATGAAATTTTCTGCCATCCCTTTAGCTAACCATAAATTCCTCAATTCTCCTGGCTTAACATCAACCAATAATCCTAAAGTTTCCATATAAGAATCCCAACCATAAAATTCATTAAATCTTCCTCCGGGAACCACATAGGGTTCATTAATTAAATTCCCGGGATTTTCCTTATCAGGCCAGGATTGTAATGCAAGTAATCCTGGTTTTTTATTGATAGATCTGATATATCTAGCATCGATTTTCTCCGGTAAATATTGAATATCAAGTTTGATATCTGGATTGGCAACTTTAATGGAATTAAAATATTCATATTGGTCTTGTCTATTGTAAGGAATATAAATTCTATGGCTTTCTTGATTCTTGATGGTTTCACCCTTTTCATTGACATATTCTTCTTCGATCTTAGTATCTCTAGACATTTCAATGATATTATCTCTGGTTAACCTTCTAGTTAGTTTTGGCCAAAATTGAGTGGAAATTAATCTTTTCATTCTATCAACTGGATTTTCACTTAATCTTATTTCATCTAAAATCAATTGATTCTTACCTAATCTTTTAGCTATAGTCAATTCTTGTAATAAATTAGATAACATGTAAGTACCTCTAATATCAAATTGATTAAACCCATTAGAATTGGCAGTCCCCAATTTTAAAACTTTAGGACCAGTATCTTCAATAGTAATCTGACAATTATGGTCAGTATCTTCATTCTTCAACAATTGATCCAAAGTGAAGTCTATATCGGAAATATAAAATTTCTTGGGTTTTCTAAATGAAGTATCATCATATGAACTTCTTCTAAGATGAAAATTTTGAACTTTATTGGTCATATCCTTGATTTGTGGAATATCTGAAGTAGAATTGGGTTCACCTATACCATTATCATCATAAATTGGTAAGATTGAAGGTCTTCTTAAATTATCAGTAATATCTTCAGGTTTTCTTGCAACTGGGATATTAGCCGAATTTTCAAGGTTTAACTCTGAAGTGTTCAAAGGAGTTGGAGATTTGGATTGATAAGGAGTTGTTTCGTTCAGACGTTCGGCAATAAAACTATCATTGAAAGCTATCTTAGATTTAGAATTGTTTTCAAATACTGAAAATGTACGAACCCTATTAAATTTCTTATTATTGATATTATTATAATAAGATTCAGCCACATCAAATGGGTCATCATCTGATGACATACTATCAGATCTTTTAAAGGGATTGTTCATTGATTTGGGAAAAAATCTAGTGGGTGATGTGGTGGTTGCGATTTATTTATGGGGGATAGATTCTCGCTTGCAATGGAAAATTATAAAATTCCCTTCTCGGTTTTCATAAAAGTCTAATTATAGGCGACCGACTACAAGTTATTGGACAGAAAAGGAAGTAATAAAACGCCAACGTCAAGTTAAGAAATGATTTAAAAAACCAAAAAAGCTCAAATGTTCTCTTTTAAATGTATTCTATTTTCGTGATTTTTACAGAAATTATTGTTACTTTTTTTTTGCAACCTTTTAATCCGAAGAAATTTAACTTTTTCCGTTCACAGGTTTTTAAAACATCTTACGGAGCAACTCCATAACACCGGGATGTTACATAATACGATGATTATTTGAGATGTCAATTAGAAATTTAGAAAAGTAAAACTTCCAAACCCCGAGACTTTGAATAGCCAGATTCGCAGGCCAATTTTTTTTTTTTGGGGACACACCACCACTAATGGTTGAGTGAAACCCGCTACTCATTTCCCTCAATGATCATTGGATAATTACCCCTGTTGCATTATAATGAATAAAAATCATTAAATTTTCAATCAAGTGACTGTGAAAAATCAAGTGATAACATCCCAGGGAACCTACAACAAATCCCGGTGTTTTAAGGGAAAAATCTCCCTTAATGTAAGGTTCCTATTACCCGAGAAGATCAAAAATGTTTAATTTTCACATCCATCACGAAATTGATTATCGCACTCATCTGGGGTAAAGAATTCTCACGGGTCTTTGCTCAAAAAAAAAACTTATAAAAGGGGTCAAGTTCCAGTTTTAATAATCGATTTGGTTTTTTAGACACTCTTGAAAAAGTTAAATCAATTTAGAAAAACTTTTAAATATTCAAAACAATGGTTAAAGTAACAGTTTGTGGAGCTGCTGGTGGTATTGGTCAACCATTATCATTATTATTAAAATTAAACAGTAAAGTAAGTGAATTATCATTATTCGATGTTGTTAATGTTCCTGGGGTTGGAGCTGATTTAAGTCATATTTGTTCAGATTCAAAAACTCAATCATTTTTACCATCATCAAGAGAAGATAAAACTGCATTAGCTGAATCATTAAAAGGTTCTAATTTAGTTGTCATCCCAGCAGGTGTTCCAAGAAAACCTGGTATGACAAGAGATGACTTATTCAATATTAATGCTGGAATCATTAAAGGATTAGCTGAAGGAATTGCTGAAAATTGTCCTGATGCTTTCGTATTAGTTATTTCAAATCCTGTTAATTCAACAGTTCCAATTGTTGCTGAAACTTTAAAGAAAAACAATGTTTATAATCCTAAGAAATTATTTGGGGTTACTACTTTAGATATTGTTAGAGCTAATACTTTCATCAGTCAATTATTCCCAAGTGACACTAAACCAACTGATTTCAATATCAATGTTATTGGTGGTCATTCAGGTGAAACCATTGTTCCATTATATTCATTAGGTAATTCTGGTGATTATTATAGTAAATTATCATCTGAAGAAAAATCAAAATTAATTAATAGAGTTCAATTTGGTGGTGATGAAGTTGTTCAAGCTAAAAATGGTGCAGGTTCAGCTACATTATCAATGGCTTATGCTGGATATAAATTAGCTGAATCTATTTTAAAAGCTTTTGATGAACCTGGTGTTATAGAATGTACTTATTTAAACTTAGATTCTTCAATCAAAGGTGCTGCTGAAGCCAAAAAATTAGTTGGTGATTTAGAATTCTTTTCATTACCTGTTGAATTATCAAAAGAAGGTATTAAAGAAGTTAAATATGAACTTTTAACTAAAATTAATGAAGATGAAAAGAAATTATTATCTGTTGCCATTGATCAATTATCTAAGAATATTGAAAAAGGGGTTAAGTTTGTTAATAATTAGGATTAAGTAGTTAACTAACGATCGAAATAAGTCTCTGTGCGGTGGGATGAGAAGCTCTTTTTATGGAGGTTTGAGAAAACACTGCCATTGTAAGAGATGTTAGGTGTGCTGACGACTTAGAGTGATATACATGAGAATTAGTGTAAGCACTAGTCATACGCTTACAGTGCTAATCTTCGATAAAGATAAGAAGAGACATATCTAGAAATGCCAATGTCTTTACACCAACTTGTTAGAATCCTGTCTTTCCATATCCAGACAATGATCACCATCACTCAATTCTTTATACCTAACCATCTCACATCTCACATCTCACATCTCACATCTCACAACCTCATTTCCTCACATCTCACCTCATCTCCTCACATCTCACCTCACCAAACATGACCTTGGTGTCAAATTCCATTCGCGACTTTCTCCTTTCCAAAAAATTTTCTCAATTGTTTTGAGTGTTGATAATCAACAGTATTAAAGCTTACAATAATTCAATTGATTAATTGATACCTAAATCATTATATTAATAAATCTGTCAACAGTATAAATTATAGAAGTTCATATTTTCATCTAAGTTAAGTTTTTTTCTAAGTTAAATTCATTTGTAAACTATTATAGCAATTGCAATATGGAATCAGTATTAGATTTTTCAAAAGATTTAGATGTTGAATTATTTGATCAAATTGTTGAAGCCTTTTATAAAGGTGGAGAGAATCAACAAAAGGCACAACAAATTTTAAATCAATTTCAAGAAAATCCTGATAGTTGGAAAAGATCAGATGCAATTTTATCAAATTCTAAAAACAGTCAAAGTAAATATATTGCTTTAAGTTGTTTAGATAAATTAATCTTATATAGATGGAAATTAATCCCTGAAAATGAAAGAATCGGGATTAGAAATTTCATTGTTAATATGATTATTTCATTATGTGATAATGATGAAATTTTTGAAAAAGATAAAGCATTGATTAATAAGATTGATTTAACATTAGTTCAAATATTAAAACAAGAATGGCCTCATAATTGGCCTGAATTTATTCCTGAAATTTTATCATCATCAAAGTCAAGTTTTAACGTTTGTGAAAATAATATGATTATCTTAAAATTATTAAATGAAGAAGTTTTCGATTATAGTGATGAACAATTAACTCAAGCTAAAATTAAGACTTTAAAATTAAGTATGAAAGCAGAATTTGAAGAAATTTTCAAATTATGTTATGAAATCTTGGATAAAACAACTAAATCTTCATTAATTATTTCAACTTTAAATTGTTTATTGAAGTATATTCATTGGATTCCTAGAAATTATATTTTTGAAACAAATTTATTGAAAATTTTAAGTACCAAATTTTTAAATCCCATTAATACCAGATCAATTACTTTAAAAGTATTAATTGAAATTTCATCATTAAATTGTAATAATTATGAAAAAATTTGTTTAGAATCATTTAAAGATTCAATGGAACAAATTTATCATATAGTTCCACCAGAAACCAATTTAAAAAAATCATATAATCAAGCAAATTCTAATGATCAATCATTTTTACAAGATTTATCAATGTTTTTATGTACCTTCTTATCCAATAATTTATTATTATTAGAACAAATTGAAGAATATAATGAATTATTAATGAGTTCATTATATTATTTAATTGAATTATCAAAAATTGAAGAAAGAGAATTATTTAAAACTTGTTTAGATTATTGGTCACAATTTGTTAGAGAATTATATGAAGAAATTCAAAAAATTCCTCAACAAGAATTAAGTCCATTATTACAATTAAATTATTCATCAAATTTAAGATCAGGTATAATAAATGGAGGTGGAGCTCCAGATCCTTCAATATTATCTAAATTTCCTTTAAGACAACATAAATATAATCGAATCTTATCAAAATTAAGATTAGTTATAATTGAAAATATGGTAAGACCTGAAGAAGTTTTAATTGTTGAAAATGATGAAGGAGAAATTGTTCGAGAATTTGTTAAAGAAAGTGATACTATTCAATTATATAAAAGTATGAGAGAAGTTTTAGTATTTTTAACTCATTTAGATGTTGTTGATACTGAACAAATTATGAATGATAAATTATCTAAACAAATTGATGGTAGTGAATGGTCATGGCAAAATATTAATACTTTATGTTGGGCAATTGGTTCAATTTCCGGTACAATGAATGAAGATATGGAAAAACGATTCTTAGTTAATGTCATTAAAGATTTATTATCATTAACTGAAATGAAAAGAGGTAAAGATAATAAAGCTGTTGTTGCTTCAAATATTATGTATATAGTTGGACAATATCCAAGATTTTTAAAAGCTCATTGGAAATTTTTAAAAACTGTTGTTAATAAATTATTTGAATTTATGCATGAAACTCATGAAGGAGTTCAAGATATGGCTTGTGATACTTTTATAAAAATTACATCAAAATGTAAAAAACATTTTGTTGCTATTCAACCTCAAGAACTGGAACCTTTTATTAATGAAATTATAAGAAATATTCAACAAATTACTGAAGATTTACAACCTCAACAAGTTCATACTTTTTATGAAGCTTGTGGTATAATAGTAAGTGCTCAAAATATTAAAGAATCAAGAGATAAATTATTAAATGAATTAATGGGTTTACCAAATATGGCATGGTCTGCAATTGTTAAACAAAGTTCAAAAGATCCTCAATTATTAACAAATACTGAAACGGTTAAAATAATTGCTAATATTATTAAGACTAATGTTTCAGTTTGTAAAGCTTTAGGTCCAGGATTTTATTCTCAATTAGGTTTGATGTATGTTGATATGTTAGCTTTATATAAAGCTGTTAGTTCAATGATTTCCGATTCAGTTGCCAAAGATGGGGTTATTGCTACTAAAACTCCAAAAGTAAGAGGTTTAAGAACTATTAAAAAGGAAATTTTAAAAATGATTGAAACTTATATAAATAAAGCTGATAATTTACAAGAAATTGTAAGAGATTTATCTCAACCATTATTTGCTGCAGTATTAGAAGATTATCAAAATAATGTTCCTGATGCTAGAGATGCAGAAGTTTTAAATTGTTTATCAACTTTAGTATCAAAAGTTGGTCATATGATTCCTGAAGGTGTGGTTTTAATCTTACAACATGTGTTTGAATGTACTTTAGATATGATTAAGAATGATTTTATTGAATATCCTGAACATAGAGTGGAATTTTATAAATTATTAAAAGAAATTAATAGTCATAGTTTCCAAGGTTTATTAGAATTATCCGGAGATGCATTCCAAAGTTTAATAAATGCTGCTTTATGGGCTTTTAAACATAATAACAGAGAAGTTGAAGAAAATGGATTATCATTAACTTGTGAATTATTAGATAATGTGGAAAAATTAGGTGATACTCCATTTACAAAAGCCTTTTATTCAAATTTTTATTTCCAAATTTTATCTGATACTTTTTATGTTATAACTCAACCTGATCATAAATCTGGTTTTACTTATCAATCACAATTATTAGCTCAATTAATTCATTTAATTGAAGATAATGTTATAAAATATCCATTATATACACCTGATCAAGCAGCTGAAGGAACATCAAATTCCGATTTCTTGAAACAATATTTAGGTCATTTATTATCATCAGCTTTTGAAAATTTACAAAAGGAACAATTAGTTAATTTCCTTAATGTTTTAACTAAAGTTTATAAAGAAAGTGGTAAATTTGGTGCTACTTTAAGAGATTTCTTAGTTCAAATTAAACAATTTGGTGGTGATCCAACTGATTATTTATTCGCTGAAGATAAAGAATTAGAAAAACAACAACAAGCAAGATTACAAAGAGAAAAAGATATGCAAATCGGTGGTTTAATTAAACCTAGTGATATGGATGATTAAATATATCTCTTTAAATAAAACTTAATCATATACCTTACAATTTAGATGTCGCGCGACCTTCAACTCTTGAGAAAATTTTTTTGAGAAACAACAACTCGATTTACACGTTAAAAGATGTCAGAAGAAAGTAAAGTTAAAGTAGAAGAATCAAAAGTTGAAGAATCAACTCCTCAACCACCAACTTCTAACGTTTTCTCAATGTTTGGTGCCAAAAAAGAAAAGAAAGAAGAAAAGGATGATAAAGAAGATAAAGAAGAACCTAAAGAAACTAAAAAAGATGATGAAGAAGCTGATGCTGAAGAAGAAGCTGATGTTCATTTTGAACCTTTAGTTCAATTAGAAAAAGTCGAAGTTAAAACCAATGAAGAAAATGAAGAAGTTTTACATAAAGTTAGAGCTAAATTATTTAAATTTAATGGTGAAACTAAAGAATGGAAAGAAAGAGGTACTGGTGATGTTAAATTCTTAAAACATAAAGAAACTTCTAAAGTCAGATTATTAATGAGAAGAGACAAAACTTTAAAAATTTGTGCTAATCATTTCATTTCTCCAGAATATAATTTAACTCCAAATATTGGATCTGATAGATCTTGGGTTTATTCTGTTACTGCTGATGTTTCTGAAGGTGAACCTGAAGCTCAAACTTTAGCTATTAGATTTGGTAACAAAGAAAATGCTGATAAATTCAAAGAAGTATTCGATGAAGCTAAAGAAGCCAACAAGAGTAAATAATTAATATACATGTCTGAAGATGAGTTTAAGAGTATACGGGGATCTCTGTGCTCTGATACATAGGTTTACTGACATTAGTCTGTAATTTGTTCCTCTTTTCAATCTGTTCCTCTATTGAATCCGTTCCATCTACTCTGTACAATCTGCTCTGTCCAATTTGCTCTTTACAATCTGTTGAATAAGTTCAAATGTACAACCTGTATAATCTGACAATAGACTGACAGCCGCCTCCCTCGCCGCGCCATTGCTCAACCAGATGTGGTGCCAATTACACGTGGTGACTACCCCAGTGGTGGTGCAAAAAATGAGAATTAATGCAAGAGAAGATTAACACGCTTTTTAATTAGTTATTTTTGTATTTAAACGTTATATATCCAACCAGCGGAAGTATAGTCAATAGCTGGAGTTCACTAGAGAAGAGATTTGTAACTAGAGATCTAGGTTATCCACAAGAACAGAAAATATATTCAAAGTATAACACTCAAACCACAACCACAGTTAAAAGTGTACCAGTAGATCTGCCACAATATTAATAGAAAGATCTTGATATGAAGTTTGGGAAGTATCTCGCTTCCAGACAATTGGAATTGCCTGAATATTCTGGTCATTTCATCAATTATAAAGCTTTGAAGAAACTTATTAAACAGTTGGCTACTCCAACCATTCCTTTAGATAAACCATTATCCCAGGTAGATATTCAGAATTCCCTTAAAGAGAATAAAGCCATTTTCTTCTTCAAAGTTGAAAGAGAATTAGATAAAGTCAATTCATTTTATCTTGAAAAACAAGCCAATTTAGCTATTAACTTGGATTTATTGTTAGTTCAAAGGAATGAATTGTTCAATAACATTAAAAGACTTATTCTTAACAAAGACTTCAATGATTCCGACAGTTTGAATTCCAATTTCAGAAATTCCATCACTTACTTGAACTTATATCAAAATTTCAAAAAGATTCACCAAGATTTGTTAAGATTACAACAATTCATTGAATTGAATGAAACCGGATTTTCCAAAGTTGTTAAGAAATGGGATAAAAGATCAAAGTCTCATACTAAAGAATTGTTTATATCGAAGGCAGTGAATGTTCAACCAGTTTTCCATAAAAATGAAATTAATGAGTTATCAGATTTGGTGACTTCAAGTTTATTTGATTTGGAAACCATTATAGATGGAGATTTAACTCCTATAAAAAACTTTAATCCTTCGAATAAAGTTAATGATCAATTAATTCATTCGATATCATCAACTTCCATCACTGAAAAACCTTCAAAAGAACAAACCCCCGAATTAGTCAATGACATAAATATGAGAAATGGTTCAATATCAGGATTAGCTGGTGATAGTTTCCATTCAAGATCTTACTCGATTGAAAATGCTGAAATCGATGAACTTTATTCTAGTTTTGTTAACATTGCAACCATTAAAGATCCTGAATTATCATTATTAACAAGATGGATCGATAAAGTTAGAAATAGTGCTAAAGTTTCCATTACTAACCAAGAAGATATCGATATAAAGGCTTTGGAATCAAGTCAAGCCTTCCAAGATTCAGTGAAATCAAGATTCTCCAGAGTTTTCCTCTTATCAATCACCAATTTGAAGATTTCTGATGCTTTCTTAAAGACTTTCTTGGAAACGATCAATGATAATATCGATATTTTACAAGCTTATGATAATTTCAATAATAATAAGAGTATCTTACATTCGTGTTGTTCTATACCATCATCATCAACTCAAGAAAGTAGTATGATAATAAATAACGGTATCAAAGTAGTAAAGTCAACAGATTTGATTAACCATTCGAGATTATTTATAGTAGAGAAGGTTTTACAGAAGTTGAATGCTAATGATTCTAACAAATTATTAATCTTGAAAGATTTCAATGGTAGAAACTGTTTACATTATGCTTCTCAACATAATAGAACAGATTTATTGGATATAATAGTCAAAGTATTCCCCAAGAACCATCTTGACGATTTAGATAATGAATCAATGTCGCCATTATTATTAGCTATCAAACATGAACATTATCAAATCATTAAACTTTTAGTTGAAAATGGTTGTGTCATTTATCCTGAAACTAATGACGATAAGTTACAATATTTGCCTATAAATTATGCCTGTAAGACTGGAGATTTCGAAACAGTGAAATATTTATTGTCTGCCAATTTGCCTAATGAAAAGTCAATCAATAATCAAGATGTTGAAGGGTTATCTCCATTACATGTTGTTGCAAGATCAGGTCATCATTTTCTCATTAAGTTATTGGTAGAAAGGGGAGCTGATATTAATCAAATTGATAGTTTGAACAAATGGCCACCATTATTCTATGCTGCTCTGGAAGGAAATATTAGATCAGCAAGGGAATTATTACAATATGGAGCTAAAATCGATATTGTAGATGAAGATGGTTATAATGTTTTATATTATTGTGTTGTGGAAGGAAATATCTCAGTGTTGAATGAGCTTTTAACCTTTTATTCCAAGATCACTGGTGAAAAGAATAATGCTAGTGATATCATTGCCGATAATATTGGCAGTCATCAATCAAAATTTCGATCAGTATCCTTTTCAAGATCCCGTTCAAAAGTTGAAAAAGAAGCATCCATGGCTATTTTGAACGATGAAATCGATTCAGAAGATAGTGCTAGTATTAGTGGTAGTAATAGAGGTAGTGGATCTATCAGTAGAAGTGGTAGTGGTGGATCTAAAAACAGTGATGATAAGAATATCGATACTATTCCTGATTTACAATTACCTCCTCCAATTTTACCTTTAAGAAGATATGGTCATAATTTCTTAGAACAAAAAGTATTGATTGAACTTGTTTTCCCGAACAATTCTAATTTGATCAACTTATTCAATGCAACCACTGATTTGAAACCGGGAAGAATTACTTTATCTTCAAGTATTTCCGACATCGTTCCTAGAAATATCATTTTGCCTGCGGCTGATGAAACTAGAGTCGACAGTTGTATCTTTCAAACTGATATAGATTCATTAACTGATTTCAGAATTGATTTTGAAATCTTCCCTAAATTTGGTACTAGATTGATAGCTAAAACCACTGCATTATCATTTGCGACCTTGGATACTTCATCACCAGAGATAAATTCCATAAGACTTCCATTATTTGATCTTAGATTGAAAAACATTGGTGAACTTAAATTCAATTGTCAGGTGATCTTCCCCTTTGGTGGAGTTTTATTAGAAGCTTCTAAATTCGACACTTATTGGAAATCTTCTACCACTTTCGTGAAGAAGACCCCAACAACAATCAATCCAAGCACTTTATCACCTAATGCTTATTTATCTCCTTCAAGTATTTCCAATACTATAAGAGATGTACCACCACAAAAGGAATCTGTAAATCCAAGTGGTGCTGTTAGTTCTACCAATGAATTAGTTTCAGGTAGTAATTCTTCTTCTTTTGTCACTGCTACTTCTTTATCAGGAAGTTATTTAAGAATTAAGATTTGTTTATTGAATGATGGAACTCCTGTTGTTTGTCCTAATTGGTCTATTGCTATCACCGATACTATAGACTTATATTTGCCTAATTTATCATTAGAACAATTGACTTCTATAACTGATAATTTATTTGACTATGATCGTGTTTTGAACGATTTATCCAATATGACAGTTAAAGATATTTCTTTAATCAAGAAATTGTTGAAGATCATTTACTTACCATTAGAATTGATCTTACAAGTTCTTGATAATGAAATAAATTTGAATTTGGAAATTATTTTCCCTTCAGAATATGAAATCAGGAACCTTCCCTTCATCAGCAATGTTTCACTGTCATTGAATAATTTTATTGATTTCACTTTGAATGATATTTTCAATCATTTAAGATCTCAAAGATCAGTTACCAAAAACAACCGGTCAATTATCTTTATGTCACCAAATTCTTTAATTTGTAAAGTTTTGAATTGGAAACAACCTAATTTCCCTGTGTTCTTGGTAATGAATGGTATCACCTATAGCAATGAGAACAATATCTTCGAAAGTAGATCAACCAATGGATTCTTATTGGTGGATGAAGAATCTAATGAGAATCAAAATGACGATGATGCTGATATTCATGAAAAGAATACCAATCCTGATAAATTGATTGAAAATGATCAAGAACAAGCTGCCAGATCCATCAAAGATGCTGTCAATTTTGCTGTTGGGAATAATTTAATTGGATTAATAACTTCTATTCATTTACTTCGATTAGTACCCAAATTAATTCCATTAATTAGATCTAGAGGTTTGATTTTGGTAGCCACCAATGATTCGTTCCAAGATGAAGAGAATAATTATTCAAGTAGAGAATTGGATACTTATACTAAAACCGAGATTAATGGGTTGAGATTTGATGATGTGTTAACATTTAAGGATGATATCACAATGTAACGCCTTGTAAATTATATATTATTTTGAATGCATATTAACTTTTCTCCTTCTAGGAGGTGGAGGTGGAGGTGGAGCTCTTCCTGGGGTAGACATTCGAGATATGATGGGTGATGATGCTGGAGATGACGTTTGACTGCCAAAGTTAATAGGTGATGGTGGTGGTGGAGGAGCCTTCTTCTTCATTGCTTTCTGAGCTAATTGATTTTTCGGGGTCCGTCGTTGTAAGTATTCATTAGGGAGATCCAAAATATTAGATTTTCTCCTTTCAAGTTTACTTGGATCAATAGTTAGATCTGATAGTTCATTGATAGGATTGGTATTGTGAACAGTGGTATGCAAATGGTAATCATTATTACTAAAGGTTCTTGTGGACGCCACTCTAGTAAAAGAATGAGCTATGGAATCATTGGAATCATTAGGTTTTTCATAAATTGAAGCATGAAGTTGTTGCGGTGTACTTGAAGGTGTGGTTAAAGGAGTTGATGATAATGATGATGCTGATGAATTATTATGGTTATAAACTTTCTTCTTCTTCTTAAGCCAAGGTATAGTTAGACATTTATTTGCTAAATCGGATATGGTGTTGAGATTTTTATCGGAATCGGACTGTAAGATAGTGAAATTGCTGAGCATTTCAACTATTTCATCTTTCTTATAACTTTCATTCAAATCATTCAATTGTGAGAACATCATCATAGGATACATGACTTTCAAATATGTTAGGACTAATGGTCTATTTGATTTATGAACTTCTTCCAAGAATGGCAAATCATTCAATTCCCTAACAAATATGTCTACCAAGATTTTTAAATCATTCAAATAATATAGTTTGGAAGTATATGATGATGTAAATACTAAATATAAGAACTTCAAGATTAAAATTTTGATAATTTGAGATTCTTCTCTATTCAAATGGAATAAAAGAAGATTCATAAACCCCGAGATCTTGGATTTAATTGATTCTGAGCTTTCACTCAAATCTTCGGTCATTAGTTCATCAAACACCTTATTCCTGGTGGAACAAGTGTAAGATTTCATAAGATATTGTTCATTAATCAACAAAAGTAATTTGAACTCTTCATAAGCTATAAGGTTGTCTTCATCAGCCCAATCATCACTTTGATTTGAAGTTTCATGATTATTGAGAAGGTTCCTCACTAGCAAATGAATCAAATTAGTATGAGAAACGATGTTTTCAAACTCTTCATCTGATAATAATTCAACATAGAATAGGTACTGGAATATTATATCTCCACAAAACTTTATTAATATGAAACAATTGTCCTCACCATCAATGTGACTAACAATGAAATTGGCTATTAAAGTAATGAAATTTAAACTCTTAAGATGGTGATAAAGCTGAGGCTTTTCAATATTGTTTAACAAATCTTTAAAATCTTCATCATATTCTTCGCCATTGTTGACTTTAAGAAGTAAATATAATACAATGCAAATAAATTCTTTCATTTTCTCGTCAGTTTCTGTGGTCTTACATTCATCAGATTCATTTTCAAATGCTTTTACGTCAGTGAATACTTTGATCAATCCGAGAAATTTCCCCAAACACATTTGATAATTCTTAACAAATAGATTCAGTGTGAGCAATCTCATAGCATATACTGATAATTCATGATATGTGGCATCAGATTTAGATCCTATTATATCTACAACGGTCTTTATGTAGGTTGATAAATTTTGATTACATTCTTGGGAATCACTATTGATAAGACATAAATTTAAATCATCCTCTAAAACATCTTCAATTCTGGGAAATGAAGTATCAGGAGAGTCATTCTCCACCAGATGATTAGTCATTGATTCGGCATACTGGTGGAATGTAGTTTTAAACATTGATCCCGTTTTATCAGGTACCTGCGAAATTTCCCCAGTGCGGTCTGACGACTGCAAAAAAATGAGAGAACACCGATAACGATTGCGTCTATTTAAATACGAGATTTATGATCCTACTGTTTTGAGATAAACATCAGTACCCCAACCATGGTATGTTTGAACCGATAATGAGCCTTTGACTTTCTTATCGTCGAAATCTTCATCCAATTGTTGCGGTATGGTATCGTTGAATATCTCTATATAACTTTTCAGTAATGGAAGGCCATAACCCATTCCAGCAACTGCATTACCCATCCCTGGTGGTACGTTGATAGTCTTATATGCTTCACCTTCAACCGATTCAAATGTAGTGAAAGAATAATCAAACATGTGTTTCAAAGTTGTTGGTGATATACCTTTACCTTTATCTCTGATTCTCATTTCGAGGAATGATGGGTTTTGCAGTACAGCAATGGTTATTTTCACCGGATCTTCGACTTTATTCTCTATGTGAGCTCTGAAAGAATTTTTTAGTAATTCCATTAGAATATAATCTAAATGATATTCTATATAGGGGAATTTAACATGGTCAGCTTTGAAATTAGGATCTAAATCTGGTTCCAGTCTACTCCAGTAATTTTTAGAATAAAGATTATTATCGATTTCAATGGGAACAGATTGGTCATACTTCATGAGGAAGATCCCATTAACCATTTCGGCATTATTCTTTATAACTTCATTGATATCTAATAATTTAATGACTCCATTATATTTCCCACCTTTCTCGTAATCCTTGGTATCTAAAGCTTTAGTTAATTGTATATGTTGATGAGCAATTAACCTCATACTGATCCTTTCTCTTAAATGAGCATCTAAGAACTCCTTTATCTTGGTATAGGGCAAAAAATTTATCACTTCATTGAATCCTTTAGATAAGCTGGGTAAGGTGTCAGAATGAATATCTATAAACTCTGTTAATACTTTTTCTGCAAACTCACTATTCTCTTTCAATGTCGTAGGGGTATTCAAACTTGCCGTTATTAAGGACGACATGGTTTGCAAGTAACTATTATAAGATTCAGAAATCGATGGATTTAAAACTACTAAATAAGGTAAATTCCTGAATTCTTTGAGCCTACGAGCATTATATGCTAATAAATATTCTATGGTTTCTGAAGCATTCTGTAAAATGAATGTGGGTGATAATTTTTGTGATTGATCATACAACCTCTGGATGGAAAACTTAGATAATGGTTTCAGTGCATAATAATAAATATGTCTTTCTAATGATGATCGAATCTTATATTCTCTCAAGAAAGCTTCTTGTTGTAACTTGTTTGAATAATGTCTTACATGACCAATACTTGCTCCACGAACAGTAAAATGTATCGTCCTTGATATTCTGAGCCTAATCATTATGGTGAGATTTGGTTTCGCACAAAGATAACAATGTCTTCCTGTAGCATCTGTGAAACTTTGGATAATATATCAGAAGATTCAGAAGATTGGATTCAATGTGATATTTGTGGGAAATGGTTTCATGTGAAATGTTTGAATATGAAGAGTTCAGATGTCAATGAGATTTTATCTTACCATTGTAAGAAATGTGAACATAGTAAAGGTGCATCAATTTTGAAAAGACGTCTGAAAAGAGCCAAAGTTAATATTGATTATGTAGCTTTGAATGATGGAGACTCGTTTGCAATTGATAAATCTATCCATCCTCATGTTCATAAATTTCACGACTTCCCCGTTCATGTGGATCGAACAAAAGGTGTATATGTTGATATCATGGATACCCTAACATTTGATTATGCGGTTTCGACTAAATTGAAAAGACCCATTCTAATACCTTGTGAATCAGAGATAGATGTGGGCATGAAATTGCCTTGTAAAAAGGATTCAATAACTATCGATTACATTTTGGATAAAGTAGGTGATGATCAACCAGTTGAGGTCATGGACGTTTTATCACAACAGGGAGTTAGCCCTGGTTGGAACATGAAGCAATGGAGAGATTATTTCCTGACAGATAAGGAGAGTAGAGATCGAATCAGAAACGTAATATCGCTAGAAGTTAGCTCAGTAGATGGAATGGGTAAAGACTTCACCAGACCTCAAATGGTAGAAGAATTGGATTTGGTAGATAAAGTATGGAACGATCCTTCTGATAGACCTCAAGTGACCAAATATTGTTTGATGTCAGTTGGAGGCTCATTTACAGACTTTCATATTGATTTCGGTGCCACTTCGGTCTATTATACTGTGTTGTCCGGAGCTAAAACTTTCTTGATGTTTCCTCCAACAACTGATAATCTTAGTTTGTATACTTCGTGGTGCTTGGAACAAGACCAAAACTATATGTGGTATCCTGAATATCTGAAAACATTACATGGGAAAGCTACCACCCCAAGTGATGGATTCAAGGTAACCTTAAAACCAGGTGATGTTTTCATCATCCCCAGTGGGTGGATCCATTGTGTATATACTCCCGAGGATTCCTTGGTTATAGGGGGAAATTTTCTTACTACAATGAATATGAAGACTCAGTTAGATGTATATAACATCGAAAAGAAAACTGGTGTTCCTTTGAAGTTTAGGCATCCTCAGTTTAACAAAGTTATCTGGTTGGCTAGCTATTACTACTTGAATAACAAGCAAGAGTTCGTTAAGGACATCGGATACGTTAAGCCTGAAGTGAAAGAAGAAAGTGATGACTTGCCCGTAGTCAATCATCCTAAAACCATCATTTCAACGATGATCAAACACCTTGAAGATCATTATCAAACCAGTAAAACCAGCCAAGTAGCTAAAAAAAGCATACCTACCCAATTAATAGGCAAGGACATTCCGGATTATCTCTCCAAGCTTGAATCATGGTATAACGAATTTTAGTGTATTTTAGTGTAACTACATGTAAATATTTTAATGTATAATAGGATCGGGTAAAAAATCGTGGGGCTGAAGCATCGCGGCAAGAAAGTCCAGGGTTTGAAGGTTGCGAAATTTAGCGAAGTGGTAATGACAATGAGAGAAGGTAGTTTATCAAGTATCGAAGATTTCAATGACCTAACGCCCGAAGAGTTCAATGAACCTAAGGAGTTTCATGGTGGTGATGAAGATGAGCCTGAGATGAGTGAAGGACATTCTTATTCCGATGAGCCCAACAATAACCTCAAACCTAATGTTTATTTCGAAAGTGACTTGGTGGAAGAAGAAGGTGAGAAAGTTGTTCCTAAACCTTCGGTATTTCGGAATATCTGGTCTTCTTTCAGACCTGACTACATAACCAAACATCTTGATTATGAGTCTTTCAAGGTAATTTTTAGATCATGGATTCAAATTTGGGGTTCGGTTTTCATTATGGTGATTCCGAAATCGATGACATGGATGGGAAGCGGGACATATTTGCTTCAAATATTTGGTTTTATAGCTCCTAGTGGTGGTGGAAGTATCATTGCCAATGTCTTTATATCAGTTGTAGCATCATTGGGTGTTTCATTTGGTTGGGTTATTGTTGTTATTGTTCAGATTATTACCAACAGAATTAGAGGATCCCCTACTATAGAGATGATCGGTCTGGAGTTGATCAGTGAAGGGATTTGTACTCCTGAAAACATTGAAGCATGTCTTACTCAAGAGATGTTTTCTGGAAGATATCTCCGAACTGATTGTTCGGTGATTACTGCTATAGGTTTGTTTGTGGGTGTTGTCATGTTGGGGTTTTTGCAGAAAATAAATCCGTTATTCAAAGTTGTCTACATTTTATCCATCATTAACATATCCATCAATTTATGTTACAATGTTTTCATTCCAACATTTTCTCCGTTATTGATCACATGGCCGGTTGTCAAAACTATCTATTTTGCACTTACTATAAGAATTGTAGCTGCTTTAGTAATATTTCCTGAAACATCAAATTATGGTTACTTCAAAGGAACCATTGGTGTTCTTAAAGCTTTAAAAGAAACCAATACTAATAATTACAGATTTTTCCAATCCATGAAACCTTCTGAATTGAGTTTTGAAAATTATAAGAACTTCAAAGGGGAAATTGTCAAGATCAGAGCCTCCATGATTCCCTCAGAATTGAACGTTTTTCTATCAAAAGGGGAGGTTTCCTATGGTAGATTGGGATTAGGTTCTATGGGTGAAATCAGATCTACCCTTAAGAATTTGATCAATGTTGTTTCCTCTTTTGAATATTTGTATCAGTTGATCGATGCAAAACAAAATTTATCCCGAGGTAAAACAGCCATCGACAGACACAGGTCAATCGTTAGTCAGTTGTCTGAAGGTGCTCCTGTTGATGGTGGCCGTTTCAAATTGTTCGGTTCTATTCATGAAGTTTATAAGCCAGTAGGAGAATTCGAACATCAACAAAGGTTGAATTTAATCAAGGAACGTTTCCATCAAACTCATTCCATCATCAACTTGAAAGATCTTGATCACATTTGTGATTTGTTGAAACCTTATTTTTCACCTTATTTTGAATCGAGTATTGAAACTATAGGTATCATAACTGAATGGTTGGAAGCTGCAAATGAGTATAGATTCTATACTATTCTTGATCCCAAGAAGCATGCTGAGACTCAGAAGAAACTCAGTGAAAAGATCAAAGCTTGTAAGGAAAAGCAAGAAGCAAATCTTTGTAATATCAAAAACACGGAAGCATTGGAAAAGTATTTCCTGAAGAAGAGCAAAGATGAAGAAACCATGTTAAGTCTTATAAGTACAGCATCGTTCGTTACATTTTTCCTAGCAACTCAAACTGAACTGGAATTGAAATTACTTGACACATTAGTAACAATTGATGAACAATGCCCGAAACCTTCTTTTTTGACATTTTTTAATACCAGTCCGTTTGATAGATCTGAAAACATCTATCATGCCATGGATAATGAAGAGCCCAACGAGAACATCCCATCATTCAGCTCCAAAATTCAAAATAGAAACCCCGATGCAATGGCTCCTTCGAACTACTTTCATATCATTGGTGCCAAAGTATTGAAAGTGTATAATGCATTTTATGATGACTTACTTTGGTTCTGGATTAGATCAGGGTGTCTTACTGTCATTACAGCAGTGCCTTTTTTCTGTAAGACTACTGCACACTGGTACTTCGAAAATAGATTAGTATGGATTGTCATTATGTGTGCGGTTTCCACTGCCCAGTATACTGGTGAAACCATTTATACCTTCGGTGCCAAGATGGTTTACTCATTTTTTGGGTGTGTTGTGGGAATGGTGGCATGGTACATCTCCACCGGTAATGGTCATGGAAATAGCTATGGTTTTACTGTTGTTACTGCTTTCTTATTCCTTTATTTGATCTTTTACAGACATTTTTCTAAACATCAAACTTTGGTTCCCCAAATCTTATACCCTGTTACCGCCACTTTGGTTTTGGGGACTAGTTGGGTTGATGGTAATCTTTCAACGAACTTGGTGGATGTTGGCGAGGGCTTCAAACCAGCATATCTTAGATTCATTAGTGTCATAATTGGACTTTGTGTAGGTTTCTTAGCAAGTGTCATACCCAGACCCAAGAGTAGTAAGGTTGCCATTCGAAAGATTTTATCTCACATTATTGATGAAATAGGTGATATTCATTGTTCAGTCTCTTCTTTTGCCTTAAGGAGAATCAATAGTCCAAATTTCCATATCACCACCAGACACGACCCCATAATTGAAAAGCTTAGAGCTTTGCTTTTGAAAATGGCTAGTACTGCGGCTTTAACTATCCCCATTGATCATGAGATATCGATTACTGGTAACTGGCCCAACGAAAAGTATAAAAACTTACAAGCCAATATTACTGATATCATTCAACTTTATACGATCTTGTTAATCATGTTGGATAAGATCGAAGATACTAGAGGATGGATAGGACATATAATTAATAGATCAGGATGGTATGATGTGGATATGAATGCTGATTTATTAGCTCTTATACATATGTGTTCAAGATCTTTAAGATGGAAAAGTGCATTACCTAAAATAACCCAAGCTACGTTATCTTTGAAACATTTCGATCTTCTACGTGAGCAATGGGGTATCAATAAGTTCTCTTTGAATGAGAGATTCTATAACAGTAATAGTATAGTCAGAGATATGGAAGAAGAATTGGAAAGGAAGTCTGTTTCTACCAATAAAAGCTTACATCAATCAATGGTAGAAAATCTAGATTATGACAAGTTATTTGGTCATGACGGAAATATAAGTATTGTTGCATTACTTGTATGTCATATGATTTACATGAAGATAGATCAAGTTGTTATTATTGTCAAATCGTTAGTTGGTGAAAAGTACGACTTAGATAATGAACTTTTTACTTGGAGAAATAATGATGAATTTAAACAAGATTATAAGTTGGAATAACGTAACTTTATTTATTAATTATATACATTTAAATCTTTTATAATGATAATGTTTTACCTTCGTCTCTGACAGCTTCACCGTATTTTTTAATTCTGATAGCTTGGATAGCAATGAAACCAGTGGTATCTTCAGGAGAGAAACCAGTTAATTCATCCATTGAAGATTCAGTGGCATCATATAATTTAGAAGTATCAGATGATCTACCTAAGATAGATAATGAACCTTTGTAACAACTAGCTCTGACAACACCATTGACGGTTTTTTGTGATGGTTCTATCATGGATCTAACATATTCACCTTCTGGAGTGAAATACATACCATTGTATAAGATTTTAGAATATGATGGGGTAACAAATTGATCTCTTAAAGCACGAACTTCTCTATCTAAAGTTAAACCTTCAATATCAATATGAGTTGATCTTAAGATGGTCAAACCTGGAGTTTCATAACAACCTCTTGATTTAATACCAATGAATCTGTTTTCAACAATATCAATTCTACCAACCCCATTTCTTCTAGCCAAAGCATTGGCTTCTAAGAATAATTCAACAGGATCAGTAATAGTCTTTTTACCACCGTCTAAGACTAACTTAGTTGGTAAACCTTTTTCGAAAACGACTTGGAATTCTTCTGGCTTATCTGGAGCATCAGTTGGATCAACAGTTAATTTCCACATATCTTTTGGTGGAGTAGTATCAGGATCTTCTAAAATACCAGCTTCGAAAGAAATATGAGCCAAGTTTTCATCAGTTGACCAAGGTTTAGCTTTGGTTTGTGTAACTTCAATATTCTTTTCAGCAGCATATTCTAATAAATCTTTTCTACCAGCGAATCTATTGAAGAATTCTGGATCTCTCCATGGAGCAATAACTTTGACATCAGGTTTTAAAGCATAGAAGGATAATTCAAATCTGACTTGATCATTACCTTTACCAGTACAACCGTGAGAAACAGCAAAACAACCTTCTTCTTCAGCAACTTTGATTTGGGCCTGAGCAATAACTGGTCTAGCTAATGAGGTACCTAATAAGTAAACATTTTCGTAAACAGCGTTGGCTTGAATGGCTGGGAAACAGACATCTTCAACGAATTCCTTTCTGACATCAACACAAACAAATTTAGTAGCACCAATAGCTAAAGCTTTCTTTTCAGCAGCTTCGAAATCTTCTTCTTGACCAATATTGGCTAAAAAGGCAACGACTTCATATCCTTGTTCTAATAACCAAGCTAAGATAACTGAGGTATCTAAACCACCAGAATAAGCTAAACAAACTTTACCTTTTGACATATTTCGATTTTTCTAAATTGAATAAATTCTATAGATAATTTAAAAAAAGAGGATTTTACCACTTTAAATATTTTTCATCGCGGTTACCATCGTCCAATTACTCAATTAGTCATAAACGGGAGGCGCACACCTCCTTAACTTTTTTGACTCCTTTTATTTGATATGGTGATAAACCCATGCATATGGGAGGGTAAAGCTTTGAGAGATAGTATGGAAATGATTGTAGAGCAGAGTATGAGATTAGTTAGGATCAAGTGGTGGTAAAGCTTCAATTCAAGGGATTTCAAAGGGGGTGTGTGCGATGAGAATATTTCATTGATAAGACGTATTCACTGGTTGGACGTAAATCTCCACAGAAAAGGTAAATAGATCGAAGAGAACACCGTGACTATTGTTGGAATTCACTCATCGTAGACGAGTTCGAAATCCGTGTGATGATAACCAATATTTACTTGAGTCATCTTGATAGACTGGTATAGAATTTTTCTAAGAATCAATTCTAAGCTGTACCTTCTCCCTCATTGAACATTTATTGTTCACCCACCAACAGATATCTTTTCAGGGTAAACAAACCATGTCCGTCGCTATATATCCATACCACAATCACTATGACTCCTCACATGACTCTTGACTCAAAGTCGCGACAATGACGGGTGCCACTCGCGACACTTGAGTCTCGTATTGATGATTCTTGAGTCAGGAAAATTTTTATAAATATAGAAAGTACTGGTTACTTCACGAAATGTCAGGCAAAGGACTGGGTGTTACTCATGCAATACGAGAAAAGTTGAACTTTCTAGATGAGAGGAGATGGAAGAAGTTTTCAGCCCGGAGGTTGGAATTAATCGATACTTTAGACCTTTCATCTAAGAAAGCCTCAGAACAAGAACTGGCGATTCATAATGTAGCAGAAGCTCTAAGAATCGAATTTAACTATTCGTCAGACTATTTTGAAGAATTCGATAAGCTAGTACGTGCAGCTATACAGAGTGTTAGGCGAAATAGAAAGCGTTCAACAGTGTCAAAAAGACCAAATACTTTTAGAGTTAAAATACCAAAAGTTGTAGACGAAAGTATAGATCTTGAGGATACAAAATTGCCTGTCAAGCGGGAGGACACAAATTTTCTTTCAGATATCACACGATTAGAATCTGATTCTGAAGAACCAACTGAGTATTCCAAATCAAAACATGTATCAGATCAAGATAAAACGAAACTCGCCATAAATGCTATAATCCAACCACGATTCCCCTCGTCTGATCTGACTTCATTACCACAAATACCCGCTTATTCTGGTGCCCAAATACTAGAGGAAATGAAGTCTTCCCAACAGGTGATATTGAATTATATACAGAAATCTAAGACATGTTCCGAATCTGCCACTACATCATTATCTCCAAACTTGGAACATATAGGAAAGGGAGTTATAACTGCATGTGTGGGTTATGTTTTTGAAACATCCTTCGTATCAATCAATACCAAATCTGTGGAATATTTACGTGAAAAACTAACACAAGAATCCTATCTAGCCAATATCTATCGTGACCTAGATCAGGAGATAGCTTCCAAACATCAGTTCAATGACGACGTGGTGGTAAGTACATTGTATGCTATTTTAGGGGCGTGTATCAAGGATTTTGGTTTCGAATTGATAATGATGAATTTATGTGAATTATTCTATTTAACTATTGTTAAACAATACCCTTTGGTAACTCAACATTCCATACCATTCAAAGCTTCGGAACATTTGAAATCTGAACATGTCAAAGCAGAGAATGTTAAGTCAGAACCTGCTGAACTTAAGGAAACTGATAGTTCAGAATCTTTTATGCAATTGAATTCGTTGGCAGCTATAGCTTCGGATATTAGAGAACATACAATGTCAAATAGCCTGTCTACACGCTCTATATCACCCAATGCTGCTAGAACCATCGTCCATCAAGACCAAAATGATAAAAAAGCCGTTACTATTAAATTCCTTTCATCAGTATTGAACTTCACCTTTCCTTCGAATACTTCTGCCATACCAAAACTTGATGAGTTATTAGAGAATGTCAGATCTGCTTTTAATCTTTCCAAATATAGTGACTCCCAGGTATTGGGGTTGAGGAATTTGAAATATGGTTTTATCATTAAATCTGATTCCGATCTAGAGAAAGTTTTCTTGACAGAGGATTCCATTGAACTTGAGGTTTTCACCCAAAGATCACACGCTGTACCTACGTATGAGATTACGTCGATGGTAGTACCGAATCAACATCCAAATCTACCAGGTAAAATCTATAGAGAAGATGAAAGAATTATCTTACCACCACCCATTTCAAGTAATTCAAGAGCAGGTTCTGCACCGATTCATCCAGCTCCAGCTTCCAGTTTTAAATTTCTTTCTAACTTAGAAGAATCTTCAACTTCGGGTCCTCCAGTACCAGTGTTACCCAAGTTCCAACCATTATTGTAAATTATTGTGTTATATGTATATTTGATTACCTCGACTTCGAATCGAAGTTCGTCATCTCCTCTCATAGAAACTCTCATTCCAGTGGTCAATCAAGGATCTCTGAACTGTCTCTCCGCTCTATTTTGCCTCAAGGGGTAACAAATGTAACAATAAGATCTTGTGATCCTTGACTGTTCGCACTTGAGAAGAATATAAGCGAGAAAGGAATGATAAATCCTGGAGAATTCAGCACAGGAGATGAAGATATCCTTGATCAGCGGAATGGTCACACACTTCCAGGAACTTTTCAACTTGAAGATGGATGTATCGAAACTTCCGAGGCTTCAGAGTCAAGAATAATACAGTCAGAAGCAAACCATTTAAAGCGGAATTTAAAACAAAGCTCACCATTAGTGCCGCCTTTGAACTTTGCATTGGTTGAAGATAGAATATATAGATCTGGATTTCCTATTCCAACGAATTATCCCTTCTTGGAACAATTAGGATTGAAAACCATCATCTATTTAGGTGACGATGATAAAGTCAAAGATAAATCCAAAGACAAGAAGAAGGACAAGGATAAGGAAGAGAAAAAAGAGAAGAAGAAAGAAAAAGACAGTAAAGGCGATATAATATCGAAGTATAAAGCATGGGTGGAAACTACCGATATAAAATTTCATCATTTGATTTTTGAATCATCTCAAGAACCTTTCATTAATGAAGAAACCCAAGATAAAGCCAAAGCCTCATTGAAAATTGCCTTAGAATTGATGCTTGATAGGAATAATTTCCCCATGTTGATTCACTCGAATAAAGGGAAACACAGAATCGGAGTGTTGGTAGGTTTAATGAGAAAATTATTCCAAGGATGGTGTTTGAGTGGAATCTTTGAAGAATATGAAAAATTTGCATTGGGTAAATCTGAATATGATTTAGAGATTATAGAATTATGGCAACCTGAATTAACTTTCCGGAAGGATAGTAAACCTGAGTTTTTAAGAACTTAAAAATGACTTAATGAACGCATATATACTCGAAAATATAATAATTATCCTCTATTTTTCATTTCTCTTAAAGCTGTCATGATATCGTCTTCGTTGGTTTTACCAGTGGCTTTAATGACTGCCGGGTCTTTTAACATCATAAAAGGATTGAACTTCAATTCATCTCCAATAGTGAATATACCTGTAGTCTTTTCATTCTCATTAGTAAATTTGGTTAAAGCTTTAATAGCATCATTGTTTAAAATGGTGCTGGAGAATTTCAAATTAGACTTAGTGTATTCATGGCCCGGGAAAACCTTGGTAGTTGGAGGTAATTTAGCCAAAACTCCGTTCAAAGCATGATTCATTTCCTTACCAGTACCTTCAAAGAATCTTCCACATCCACTAGTGAATAAAGTGTCACCAGTGAAAACAGCTTTTTCGTTGGTGTTCGAATCTTCAAAGAAGTAACAAATAGAATCTTGGGTATGGCATGGAGTATATAAAGCAGTAATTGATAACGTTGGAGATAATGATAATACTTCTCTATCCTTTGGGGTATAGCTTACTAACGGACTATCTTTTCCAGCGATAACAGGTAAATCTGGGTATAATTTGTGAAACACTCCATTTCCGTCAGAATGGTCGTAATGATGGTGGGTATTAACAATAGCTTTCAAATTGAACTGTAACTTATGCTTTGCTATATAAGTCTTAACTTCTTCTGGTTCCGCTGGGTCAATTATGCAAGCATCTTTACTGGCGGAATCACTAACCAAATAACAGTAGTTATCACCACTTCCCCATCTCATAGGAATTGCTTCTACGTGCATTGTTCTTTTATGTGTAATGGCTATGAATCTATTGGTTGATTGAGCAAGCTTGATAGATCGCATCAATTTGAGATTTATTTCTTATCAGGAGGTGGTACTGAGGGTTGATACTTCTCAAGACTTTAAAAGTTTTCACTTGAGGGGTCTTCACCTGAAAGATCTTGGTTGGAGAGGATATGTTATTAGAGTTTTTGACTTTGAAAGTAGTCGAAAGAGATGCCACGACATAATCTTACATTAATATTACCACTTCTTACCACTTCTTAGCTTCCATTCCTTCGGGAGGTGAAGTATCAAAAGTTTTGTCTTTGGCCTCATCCCAATTGGTGGTCAAGACAGTTCCGTTCGATTGTACGTACGATTTCATCATAGCTCTTCTACTATCTTCGTCAGTATCTTTGAACAATTGGGAAAAGAATTCATTTTCATTCTTTTCTCCTTCATCATCATCATCAATTTTGAAATTTGCCCAGTTGATGGACTTTTTAGATGAAGTAGGATATGTTAAACCTCCGTTATTTTCCTCGGATTTATTAGGTCTTACAACTGTGTCAGGCTCATCAGAACCTTCCAAAGATTTCCATTGGAACTTCTCTTTTTTGACTAAGTAGATTTCAATTTTAGTACCAAAGACCCTGAATGATGATTTTTCACTATCAATGGAAGCAAATAATGGATCCAAATTGTAATTATACTCTGATCCAGGTCCACTAGGAAATGAAACACTAACTGATCTATCGCCATACTCAATTGAGAAGTCTTCTTTTTTGATATTCTTTGCGTAAATAGTGATAATAACATCGTCGGTAGTTTGATACCAATCTTCTCTGATTTTGACCTTTAAAGGAGCATGTTTAGATATTTCCCCCAAACTGGTGGATTTATTGTCAACTGGTATGGTGTCTTCTGTAGCAACCACTTTGGCTTCGTCTTTCTTATCTTGTACAATTGGTTCTTTGGTAATTTCTTCATTGATGTTCTCTTTCACTGATTGTGTATCATCTTTTTTGGTATCCTTCTTACATTTCAATATCCATGATTGTAAAGCTGGTTCTTTACATCCGTACTCATCTGCCTTTTGAAAATTCAATAATGAAGGTTCAAAGTCCTTTTCTGAATAGTATATTATCCCTAACCTGTAATAACATTCGGCAATTTCACCTCTTCTTCCCCTTTCTTCAGCAATTGTGAAAGCTTCAGATACATCAAATTTAGCTCTATCAAAGTTTTTGAATCTCTGGTAAGCAATTGATCTCTTCAAGTAAGCTTGGAAGGCTTTGGGATTCTCGTTCAAAGCTTTGGTGTAATATGATATACCAGTCAAGTAATCTTTCTTACTTACACTGTCATCACCTTGTTTAATCAACTGGTCAACGGCCATGATCTATACTTAAGCTGCGAAAAGAATCACCGAGAAGGTTTTCATATATGACACCCGTACCTCAGATTTAAGACTTTATTAGTAGAGGTTATTAGAGGTTGAAGATGCCCTATGGATGTCGATAAAGAGTCCGTTGGAAGGTTAAACATGAATAGAGACTGCAAAGAGATTATTTCTTATTACACTAACCATAATACTTTAATGCTTAACATCAAGATATCATACAAGATATCATACAATATATCATACAAAATACCATACAAGATACCATACAAGATACCATACAACTATTGGAGCACTGTAACAAAGATACCAGTATCTTTGCTTGAAGGCAATCAATCGTCTTCTTCTATTTCCCAGAAGGGTGAATACCAACTTTCTAAGTCACCTTCCCGTTCCATCTCAAAGAGTATAATTGGCTGATTAGCTGGACCGGTACTTTTTCTCATAGTTAAATTTCCCAGAATAAAAGCAAGCATAATATCGATATTCTCTTGGAACTCGTCTAAAAGGTCGGTCCCTTCTGCAGCTCTTCTGAAATTTTCAAACAAACGATTGATTCTTTTAGTAAACCTGTCACCAAGGAATGTTTTCCCTTTTAGAAATTCTCTAAGTTTCAGCTTATTCTTGAACAATAATCTGAATACCTCCATCACACATTCTTCAAAGGGAATACTGTAATCGTCAAAAGTTTCAAATCTTTCGACGGCGGTTATTTGTTCAACACAATTCATATCGCTTTGTGGATTTTTTTTCTTTTGCAGCCATTGAGAATTTAAAGAAAGTAAGAATATATTCGAAAACGACACATACATAAGTTAAACACATTCAGTCATCACCAAATTTTCTGCCATAAAGTCTTTGTTTCTTTCCTTTCGTAATTTGGAAGACATAACCACAAAATGATCATCAATGAATAAAGAAGAATAAACCCAGGTAACACTATGAAAGCACCAGTTCTTTGAGATAACAAACCAATGATGAATGGGAAAAATGCACCTCCACTGGAACCAGCTGCAGTGATTATAGTCAATGAAACAACTTGAATTTTACGAGGTAATAATTTGGAAACTACAGAAATCATTAATGGGTATACTGGGCCAACAAATAATCCTGTGAGGGAGATAAGCACACCATCTGCTACCACATGAGGTATAGCCCATGTTAAACTGACAAGTACTATGGATAATACCGAGATGACAAAAACACTTCTTCTGGCACCAAAATATTTATGCATTGGAGCAGCAATAACTAATCTTCCAACAGTCAACCCTGCCCAAAACCCTGAGGCCACATAACCTGAACTTTTTGTTCCATGTCTATAATCTAATAAGAACGTAACGATCCAACCAGCTAACGAAACTTCAGATCCTTGATAAAAAAGCACGAAAAATGCTGCAATCCAAGTAATGGGGAATTTCAAAGCTCCGATGAATGCACCATTATCTTTAACTTTTTGATTTTCCATTTGACTAACATTATTCAAATCATTCAATTCTATTTGTTTATGATCATCATCATGATCCCAGGGGGCTAAATCTTCATCTGAACCTTTGAAAGCAAATGAAAATGTTATACAATTGATAATCATCATCGATAATAAAATGAGGTAGAAGTAGTTCCATTTAATACCTGAACCTGCCATGACAGTGGCAACCAAAGGTGAAATAGTAGCACCTATACCATAGGATCCATGGCAAAAAGATAAATACTTGGACAGTTTGTCTAATCTTGCTAAAAACACATTAGCTTGGGCCAATACTATAGCAAGTCCACATCCACCAAAGAAAAAAGCCACAGCTATAATTGGGAAAATTGTACCACTCAGAATAATAGCATACATAATTATGGAACTCATGGTACCCATGATCATGGATTTAAATTTCCCTAAATGTGTTTGTATGGTATGAGATAAGCAAGCAACGAATATGAATCCAATAGCGTTAGCCATCCAAATCAATGAAACTTCAGTATAATTCAAATCATAGGTTGATTCCATATAAGGTAATAATGCCCCTGGAGCAGCATCACTGAACCCCCCAGTTATTTGCCAGACATAAATTGCATATATTCTCCATTTGTTCTTTGGAGGATTGGTAGATGTCATTACTTCCTTTGAATGAATTTGATTTGGAATTTCTCCTGTATTGAAATAATCTGTATCTGGTTGAATCAATTCAAATCCACTATCCATTGCTGATGGACTAAGTTGTGAAAAAGGAGTCCCTGGAGTATCTGGAGTTAAAGCTCCTGCTCGGTATGATCCATTACTTGGATAAAAGTCAGAATCTTGTCTTTTCAAAGTTGCCACATGAACAGCATCTATTTTAACTGGATTATCACTACTCATGATGATTTGAAACTTTTCAAAATTGCTAGAATTTGTAATCTTTTATAAGTGAATCACTATGCGCTTCTAACAAGTGGGGGATTTACTAAAAATAGTAGAGATGAGATCTCCCGCATAAATAGGGCAGAATATCGCAACGATGGGAAAAAAACGCAAAATCGGAGTTATATTCATACATTAAAGGGATGTTTCTATTTAAGGGATATTACCATTTGAAAAGATTACTTTCCGGCAGATTGTACTAAATCCAAGAATTTCTCTTTTGACATTTCATTAAATAATTCTTCTTTTTTGACTTCACCAACTTTTTCAGTTTTTAAAGCTTCAGTAGTTTTAACTTGAGTGGATATAATTGCATTGAATAATTTCACTACACCTCTTTGAGCAGTCTTTTTCAATTTTTTTTCATTTTCCATAATTTTATTCAAATCTTCAGTGTCAGCTGCCAATAAATTCTTAACTCTGAATTTATCATATAATTGTTTCTTTTCTGATAATATAGCTCTTTTGGCTTTGGCTTCAAGTTTATCTGATTCTAATTTCTTCAAAACTTTCTTATTTCTTACCATTATAGGTGCCAGTCTATCGTGAGCTTTTAATTTTGACCCTATAATGCTATTTAATGCAGTAGCGAAAGATTCTGATCCATCTTCACGATTCTTGGATTTTTTCTGTTTCATTGGAAAATCGTCATCTTCCTCTTCACTTTCTTCTTGTTCGCTATCTTCTTCATCTTCCTTTTCACTATCAGCATCTCCTGAGACATCGCTATCTTGGCTCATCTCATCTTCATCACTAGATTGTGAATCGTTTTCTGAACTGTTTTCTTCACTTTCTTCGCCATTATCTTTGATCTCATCTTCTCTTTCTATTTCCACCTGCGTCGTTATATCTTTCTTGGTGTTTTTCACTCCATTTTTAACTTTTTGTTTCTTTACAACTTTTCCCATTTTATCTCTTCTCAAAATTTTTTGCGACTTTCCAAATCTATTCTTTTGTTTATACATCGCGAACTGGTTGATTTCAATGGATAAACCTTTGAACAATTCAACAGATAATGTGTTGAATCAAGGATCTCCTCACAAAAAGAGGAAGATCGATCCATTGTCTGAAGTGGATCCCTATGATGATGTTTATTATAAAAGTTATATACCTGGAAGGCATAATAAATTAGATAGTTTAGTGAGATTGAGACGTGCTTCTGATGAAAAGGAAGCTCAGATATCCAAGTTAAATGGTATTATCATGACCCTTAAGACCCAGAGAAGTAACATTGAGTGTGAAAATTATAATCTAGAAGATGAGTTGATCGAGGTCAAACAACAATTGAAAACAATTCAAGATCAAATTGAAGAACTAGCTTATCATGAACAACAATCATTGAGTGAGATCGATACCAAGTATGACATAACGGTTAAGGAAATGAAACTTCAGAACGATGAGGAAATTCAAAAGTATACTGATGATATCACACTGAAGATCGAGTCCATAATTACTGAAGTACAGAAGCTGAACATGAAGTTGAGAGATGAATTAGTACAAGAATGCGATGATTTGAGGAGTAAGATCAAATCACAGGTCCTTGAACTTGAACAAGGGAAATCAGGCATAAGGGAAGATAGTCAAAAAAGGTTAATAACATTAGAAAATAATCTCGATGAGAAAATCCAGACTACCAATAAGGATATAATTGATGTTATCGAGAAAATCACAGATCAAAAGAAGACCAATGAAATATTGACGAAGAAGAAAGAGGCAGTCTTTCTGGAAACAGTAGTCTTAGAAACCAGTCTTTCGAAGTTGATGGATAAATTCAAAGGAAAAGAAGACGAGATAACTGTTCTCAAAAATAAGATCACTGACCTTGAAACTCAAATCAAACAGTCTGAAGAGAATATAGTCACCAAGTCGAAGCAAACAGAAACTCGTAAACAGTTGATCAAGAACCAATTCCAAATTTTACAAGATCTGGAAATCGAAAGAAGACATCTACATAATAAAGTCCAAACCTTGAAAGGTAACGTACGTGTTTATTGTCGTATCAGACCTCCTCCACTTAATATTACTGCTGGACAGTTAATATCCCTCGAATATCCCGAAAATCTTGAAGGTGGTCAATCAGTCAAAGTTGCAAAAGATTCAAGTTCCTATGAATTCTCCTTTGATAAGGTATTCACACCTTCGCTGAAAAATCCCGAAATTTTCGAAGAATTGGCCCAATTGGTCCAATCTTCACTTGATGGTTATAATGTGTGTGTTTTTGCATATGGACAAACAGGTTCAGGTAAAACCTGGACAATGTCTCATCCTGAAGATGGTATGATCCCTTTAACTATTGAAAAGATTTTTCAAGATATTGAAGAATTGAAAAAGTCTAATTGGGAATATACCGTAGAGGGACAATGTATTGAAATTTATAATGATAACATCGTTGATTTAATGGCCACATCACAACAAAAATACGAAATCAAACATGACGATATTAATGGTAGAACGAGAATATCAAATTTAACTTCCGCAAAATTGGAATCCTCTCAAGATGCCTTGGATATGTTTGCTAAATCGTCTATCAAGAGATCAACTGCATCAACCAACTCCAATGAAAGATCATCCAGATCTCACTCGATATTCATCCTTAATATTTCTGGATATAATTCCAAATCAGGCACTAAATGTGAAGGATGCTTGAATCTCATTGATCTTGCGGGTAGTGAAAGATTAAATAACTCTCAAGTTAAAGGTGATAGATTGAAGGAAACTCAGCATATAAATAAATCTTTATCTTCTTTAGGGGATGTTATCTATAGTTTATCACAGAACGGGGCTCATATTCCTTATAGGAATTCAAAATTAACTTACCTATTGAAACATAGTCTTGGAGGAGATTCCAAAACACTTATGTTTGTCAACATATCGCCTTCACTACAAAATTTTGGGGAATCGTTGAACTCTTTTAGATTTGCAACAAAAGTGAATAATACGAAACAGGGTAGAAGATAAATATATATATATATATACAAGTTAGTTTACAGATGCAATTTCTTGTTTCCCTTCAGCTAATAAGTTATCGGGTTCATAATCGTCTGATCTTTTAAGGAGTCCTTCTCCTTCAGCCTCTTTCCATACCTCAGAATGATGGTCTTTGGCCCATTTTTCAATAACATCTTGTTTATCGGATCGCAAACAGAAGTTATACATGGAAACCAAAGTATCTTTGGTAAACTCTAGTCCATAATCATCCATCTCATTCGTCAATTCTATAGCATCTTCAGCAAATCCATGATAAACATGAGCAATCAAATATTGTCTGAAAATGTCATAATTAGGTAAAATGCCATAAGTTGACATGTTATTCCAGAATGATATCACATAGTTTAAATCGCTGTAAGTGTACGTTTTAATCATGATCTTGACAGTTTCCTCGTTGATTCCGCTTTGTAATTGTCTGGTAGGTAACATTGTGGAAAATAGATCTCTTGCTTTGGCCACATCTTGTAAATTAGAATATGCATTCAATAAAGCATTTTGTAATTCTAAATCTTGTCTAGGCAAAGCAATATCCATTTTAAGATACTCATGAATCTCATTGACCCCCTCTTCGTATAGTTTATCACCGAATTCCTGGAATAGATATAAATACATATCTTTAGATGGTGGGAGATGGTTATGCTTCCCATGCAATTCATTCAATTTTTTCACTTGTCTGAATATAACCAACGATGAATCAAGCCTATTGTGATCATTAAAAAATTTCATTGTTGGTAAATGAGTATCATAAGGAACATGAAAGTATTTATGTAATTCTCCATAAAGTACCCAGTTGGTTTCGTATGTGGATTCCCCAGTATATGAGATTACGAAATCGTGTAATATAGTGAAAAGTTCCTTGTATGGTTCACCGAAAGAATATTCGATAGGTAATTTAATGATATCATCTTTCTTTATATCAGGCAACTCTCTTTTCAATAACTCTATAGTGTCACCTACAAATTCTGATTCCAACATTTTCTTACAGATGGCATTGATGGTATGAATATTAACAGGAAAATTAACCATTTGCTGTTTGACGTTAGTGAATATTTCAAACGTTTTCTCTATTGGTTCAGTACAAGATAAGATTATTAGATCATTAAGAGTCTTCAAGACTTGAGGGTTAGTCTCTTCTGACCATTGAGTGAATTGTGAGACACTTGATTCAAAGATTTGTATAGACTTTTGGAAATCCTTATGTGTTATAGATTGGTCCAATTGTAATTTATAAGCCATCAAAGGAGTTTCAAGACCTTCATTGTTGAACTTTTTCGTTAAATCGTTCAATTCAACGGATTTTTCACTCAAAGTGATTAATTCTACCAATTTCAAGTACATGTTATTTAAATCTATATCTGAAGACAAAATCTCCTCAACTGTGACTTCATCGAGGAAGAATTTTGCTTGCAATGTCAATTCCTGGGAATAAAAAATAGGATTCTCGATGACAGATTTGAAAAGGGTTCGTAAAATAGGTGATTTCTTTGACATCAATACTTTCAAAGTATCATTGATCAAATCTTCATTATTCTGTCTCATGAACACACCGGTCAAATCCTCCTTTTCCAAATGCTGAACTATACTATCTATTAAAGCTTGAGTTATGACGGAATAATTAGCAAGATTCAAATCATATAACATTTTCAAAAGGTTCAAAATAACTTCAATGTCCAATTGTTTGAAGTTACAGTTACTCACTAAATTATTACTGACATCCTGAACTCTGAGCAAGCTCCTGCTAAAGTCTAGTTCGTGTACCTTTGGAGTAACTCGGAATAGCTTTTCTATAAATGCAATGTATAATTGATAGAATCTCGAATCAACGTCAAATTCTTCCGACATCACCTCGAATAATTCAATGGTTGGGTCCAGAGATTCGATCAAAAGACCCGGGAATTCCAGGTTTACCTTCAAGTTAGATTTAGATAACAATTTCAACGTATCTAGTAAATCACCGTTCTGCGATCTTGAACTGAGTTTCACTACATTAATCAATAAATTATCATCCACGGCTATTTTGCCCTGGAATATCGACATGACTATCACCGATAAGAATTCTGGGATTTTAAAAGACTCTTGTTCGACAAGATATTCACAGATATTCTCTGTCAACGATATAATTTGGTTTGTATCCATTAATGTGATATCATAATCATGTAACTTATAAGTTTCGATGAATAATTTGTCCAAAATTGGTAATTCTTCTTCATTTAATTCGGTGAACTGTTCAAGCTTTTGGCTAAGTATCTTTCTTCTTAATTTCACAGGAATATCAGTGTTTCGGAGTGTATCTTTAATGCTATCTAACTTTTCATTACTTTCAGTCGGTTCTTCAATGATGATATCTGATCTCGCTTTTGAGCTGAACCAGGAATAATTCCGTTGTAAGGGTATCAAATATGGTTTAATACTTCGCCTAGCACTATTAGCCTGTAGTAGTGAAGACAGTTTAAGGTATCTGTAACCTCTTGATATTCTCATAAATTGATGCGAAGAGATTGTGAGAAATAAATATATGTACATTAATCTTCTTCATTATATTCTGGCAAATGCTTTTGAAATCTTCTTATAGCCCAGTTCTTACCAATAAATTTAACCGAAGGGTCTGATTTCCCTTCAGTTAAAGTATATTCTTTCCAAAAGGCGGGATCTTTGAATCTTGGATCTTCAGGTTTGAAATTTAAAGTGTTCCTAATATCTAATATTGATTGTCTTAACGTTGCAGCCACTTCACCTCTAAGTTTTTGAGCCTTTTTACCTGATTTTAATTCTTCCGACAAATCATTGGGTTTCTTAGGATCAATATATTTATCACATAATTTCCTCCATTGACTTCTATAACCTTCTAACTTTGAATCATCAACTTCTTTACCAATTACAATATGAACTTCTGAGCCCATATTATTGGGTAAATATCTATAAATTCCTTCATCAGCCGTATCTTCTGGAGCAATCTTTTCAAATCCATAACTGAAAATGGGTAATACAACAGGAGCTCTAGTAGGTTCTAAGATTAATCTCGCTACTCCCCATTTAAAATATCTCATGGAATTACTATGAGGTTCTTCTAATTGTAAAACAAATCCTTCAGGAAATACATGAAACCATGAGGTTTTCGTCCTTATAAATGGAGATTTTCTCATTAATTCCGGAGTACTTGGTTTAACAATATCAATAATTGGTTTGGTATTTAATTCTTGTAATATAACTGAGTTGTAGTTAGATTTGGTTTTGGTATTTCTTGGTATTGGTAATAATTCTAAATCTAAGGTATCATCAGGTGATAAGATTCTAATAGCTGCATCAACACTTGGTTGGAATGGACCAACCCCGAATCTTTTACATCCTAAAATTTTACCCAAATTAAAGAAATAGGAATTGAATTTATTTGAGAAACATATATTATCAGCACCAAATCCCCATCTGATAGTATCAATATCCCAATGGAACCTCCAAGGTAATGCAGCATAAAATGTTGGATCGTCTACTACAGACATATGGTTCATAACTGTCAATAACCCTCTATTTTCTTTACGAGCTCTAGCTAAAGCATTGTCTAGGTTTTCAATATTATGAACTTCTGGTTTATATAGTAAATTAAGGAAAAATTTCGACCCCGCTATCATACCTAAACATGCCATATGAGAAGCAACATTCCATAAGGTATATTGCCTAGGATATTCATTCAAAAAATCTTCACCTCTGGTGATAACATCTTCAAATGACATAGTGATCTCACGTTTTTCGATGGGGAAATGAGATTTTGCAGCTTCTCAATCTTGGCTACTTCTCGTTTGAAAGGTGTGATTTAGGGGGAAGAAGTGTCTAACGGAAGGGAAGAAATTGATAGGTAAGAGATTGATCTTGGAATAAAATGAACTTATCTAGTCTTCTTTCCAAGGAGATTTCTAAAAAAAGAAAGAGTAAGTTAAAAAAGGAGAAATCCAAGAAACAGAAGATACAAGAAGAAATAGCAGTCCCTGATACCCCAGATAATGTGGTGGAGAATGTGGAAGAACCATTGACTCCAAAACAACTACAAATTCTGAATCTATCAGACAAAGAAATCGAAAATCGTCTTAAAGAATATAATGCCTTTGACTCTGAGTCAAATAGAATCGAGAAAGTCAAAAAGCTTTGGTATCTCGATAAACAGAAGGACAAGGAGGAAAGGTATAAGATTCAAAGAGATAAAGAATCTAAAGTTGACAAGTTGTTCAGATTAGATGAAATCACCAATTTGAAATACAAATCAAAACTACTAATCCAATTGAGAGTCTATATCAAGTTTCTCGTAAACAGTTGGGACCAATATGTGCAAGATCCCACCGTCGAAGATGAATCTAATCAAAGGGAATTATTAGACACCACAAAAATAGAATTGGTGGTTTTACTTTATAACCTAAGATCAGATAAACTCAACGATGATATGGTGACATCATTAAGCACCATAGTTTATTACTTACAATCGAAAGAATATTTGAAAGCCAATGAAAGCTATATCAAGTTAAGTATAGGTAACGTAGCATGGCCAATTGGGGTTAGTGGGTATAACATTCACGAAAGAAGTGCTGATTCTAAGATTACTGGGGAATCAAATACTGCCAATATAATGATTGATGAACCCACCAGAAAATGGATGACAGCTATCAAAAGACTTATCACATTTCATGAACAGCATCCTGATATATCAACCATCGATTCTTCATAGTCGTTGGTTAAAAAATATTGTATATTTATTGTAATATATTTAGATTATCTATGTTTAGGGCTCATGCCCTGTGACTGTGCGAAAATCAAAAATCTTTTGATACTCATTGAAATAGTGAGAAATAATTTTTCATCAAATTATCTACATTTAATAATGGCTAAAGAAATTAAAGATATCAAAGAATTCGTTGAATTAGCTAGAAGAGCTGATGTTAAATCTGCTGTTGTTAAAGTTAACTCCAAAATTAACGCTAACGGTAAAAAATTCAAACAAACTAAATTCAAAGTTAGAGGTTCAAGATACCAATACACTTTAGTCGTCAACGATGCTGGTAAAGCTAAAAAATTACAACAATCATTACCACCAACTTTAGAAATCACCACTTTATAAGTTTCTGAAATTGTTGTATAATACGATCATATAGTTAATAAAAATAAATTGAATTAATTTTCTTTGAGAGATGGGATTCAAAATCACAATAGATTCAATGATTAAGATTGAAGAGACTCAAATTGAAGAGATTTACAATCGACAGGTTATGATTTTTGATGATATATTAAATTACATCCTCCATGTCTTCTTCATCTTCTTCATTATCATTATTATCATTATTGATGTCTAAATTTTGGTTCCTCTCTGCATCTCTCAATTTTTTGTATTCAGGTTTTAAATTATATTTAGAAGTGTAAGGTCCTTTCTTAATTAAATTGGCAATGGATTCTAATGATTCTTTCAAATAACTTTCAGGTTGTCTCGTTCTTTCTCTTAAACCTTTAATTGACCAATATTCATATTCTTCGAATAATCTGAATAATAAATCCAACAAGTCTTTTTTGGGCATTCTGATGGCTCTACCTTCATGTTTGTTCTTAGCAGTAGTTGATTTTAAAAATACTGACGTACTCTTACCTTTAATGGATGGACCTGCATTGGAATGGGTAACCCCAGGAATTTCATCCAATAAAACAACTTTTGGTCTGGCTTTTAATGGTTGTATAGTTTGTTTTCTACCCAAGAATTCTTTATACTTGGAATCCGTTCTTGAAGGTCTTATTTGACAATCATGCACAATTTTACCATACAAGGCAGTTTTTTTAGGTATTGTCTTAACAAAAGGAGCTGATTCATTATTATACCCTTCAAATTCACTCCATCTAGGTCTTTTGACTTCAGGGTCATCTTCTTCCTTTTCTTCTGGTCTATCATCACTCATTTCAGTATTTTCTGCTTTGAAATGTTTCAAATTCTCTTCGCTGAAAACATATGAGTTACGTACTTTTGAATTTGTAACTGATAAATCATATTCACTTGGGATTCCCGGATCTTGTAATTCTTTCTTTAATGCTAACTTTATTATATTCCCATTGGATCCGATACCGCCTCCAGTTCCACTGGAATTACCTCCTCTTTTGATTTTCACCGTACCTAATTGCTGACCCATTAAAGATTTATCCATCCATTTATCAGCCAAATATTTGGGTAATTTGACCAACCAAACTTTCTGGTTTCCTCCACTCAAGTTCATATCTAAAGATTCACCCTTCTCAAGGAAATCTTCGGGATCAGACAATAATTCTGGCTCATCTTCTTTTTTGATATTAGAATTAGAATTCATTATATGATTTTTTTCGCACTGTTGAGAATCTGTTTAAGGATTCGATAACAACGATACATCACCACAAGAATTTTAAGACCTGTCATACAATGTTTGTTGACAATGGTTGTAATAGTTGTATATTGGATTTTCGGTCATCCCCATGATACCTATTTCAATCATTTGAGCTACCTTTGTGCCCTTGACTGTATCTTAATTATCAATTCTAGTAAGGTACACTCTCCCCATGATTTTCTAACTATCCTATCTTGCTCAGATGAACCCCCGTTCCCGAACAACTGAAAGAGGGGTTTCTGAGACTTAAACTACAAACTTTCGAATTAGAGCTACGAAATCGGTGATTGTTGAGAAATATTCTCACAATATGTCTAAGATTGTGGTAACTGAACCTTTCTACCTTGGACGAGATGATTGTGGCTATTGCCATGGCAAGAAAGATGAAAGATTTGCTAATGAGTATATGAAGTCAATCTTGGGCCCTTCTGAGTCCTTCACAATTGGTGCTTCGATCCAATTCATATCCACTCAAGACTATGATGATTTCATGAATATGGGGTTCAGAAGATCGGGAGATTTCCTCTACAAGACAGATATGTTGAGAAATTGTTGTAGGTATTACACCATCAGAACCAATTGCCGATATTTGAAAGTCAAGAAAAATCATAGGCAAGTGATCAATCGATTTATCGCAGCTATAAGTGATAACACCTCCCCCACTCATAACCTGAACAAGAATAGGAAAAATAAACCATTCAATTTGGAGGATATGATGACAGCAGAATTGAACTCAAAACGATTCAAAACTCAATTCCAGCCATCCACGTTCACTGAAGAGAAATATGAATTGTATAAGAAATATCAGGTGAAAGTTCACAATGATCTCCCTGAAGATGTTAGCGAATCACAATTCAAAAGGTTTCTCTGTGACAGCTTATTCAAGGAAGAAGAAATTAACGGAACTGATGAAGAATGGGACAGTCTTAACAGTTGGGTTGAAAATGCTGTCAACAAGAAAAATCCTAAAGCGCAAAGATTAGGACCAACGCATGAATGTTATTATTTGGATGGTAAACTTATTGCCTTCTCCGTGATAGACTTTCTCCCTAGTGGTGTATCTTCGGTTTATTTCGTATGGGATCCAGATTATGCCCATCTATCATTGGGAACCTTGTCAGGGTTGAGAGAAATTTTGATGGTTGAAAAATTATCGTTGGATTATTATTATTTGGGATATTATATTGCAGATTGTCCTAAAATGGTTTACAAAGGACAATTTGGTGGTGAATTGTTGGATGTCTGCAATGAGACATATTATCCATTGACCGAAGTCGAACCATATATAAAGAATTCCAACTTATTTGTTTTGGGTGCAAAAGAACAAACTCAAGAATTCCACCTCACCAGTAAATATCCACAATCTGTAAAAACGAAGGAAAATACAATACCCTTGGAAAATATTGTGGATCAAATCTATAACCAACAAACTTTTGACAATGCCCAAAAAACTGTGGACACGTTATCAAAAGATGTGAAATTGACTGATGAATTTCCACCTGTCGTGCCTGGGCTTATTCCGGTGGCTCAATTACAAGAGCTTATTGACAGTGGAAATGTGGAACAAATAACTATGGGATTTTATCTTAGAAACTCGGGGAAATTGATATACAAAAACTTTAGTGAAATGAACCAATCTGAAAGAAGTTCTTTCATAATTTGTTTAAGAGTATTTGGTTTCATCAAGGTATCCAGAATTATCCTTGTTGTCTTATAAAAAGTTTATTTCCTACAATATACAATTGATAAATATATTACGTAAAATGCGATAAGGAATTCGTTATCAGCCCTCACAGTGGTGAGATTTCTTACCCCTAAACTCCCTGAACAATGACGCATTTTAGAGTCATAGGTCAGTAATTTAGTGCGCAAATTCTTAGAACCACTTGGAACCAAAACATGCGGTATTTTTAGTTCCATTATGGTACTAAAATTATCCGCAGTCATTTGTTTTATGGTGTGGTTTTGGCTTTTTTGCAGTCACACGATAAGACTCCACAAATCGAAAATGGTAGAATCAAAAAGTAATTTCAACTATAAATATTCAACAATTTCCCCCTATTAATTCAACAATTAAATTTCAATTAATTATAAGTCTAAACAAATACAATTAAATTACAAACAATGAGTAGAACTGATAAATGGACAGTTAGAGAATCCGCTAGTGAACCAAAATGGTTTACCCATAATGGGAATTTCGATACCGATCCAACCAAAGTAAAGAAAGGTGGTAATGGTAGAGACAATTGGGGTAAACCGGGTGATGAACTATTAGATGAAGATCATGAATACAATTACTTTGGTAAATCCAAAAGACGTAACTCTAATCATCAATCCCATGAAGAATTCTTGAAAGAGAGAAATGAAATGATTGACCATCATTTCAACAAAAACTAAGCACTCAATAAGTAGTGTCTAATTATGATAACGAAATATACGTAGACGAGTTTATATTGGACTATTTCTTTGCATCTTCTTCCTCTTTTAACCTTTTTTCGTTCTCGGCTTTCCAGCCTTTTTTCCTTTGTCTTTCCTCATAAGCTTCAACGTTACTCAAAACTCTATTAACAATGAATTTGGTATTAATATGAGAGTATTTATGTTCATCGATTGTTTTGAACATGCCTGGTTCTAACTCTTGATATACATCTGGTTTAATGGTAGTTGGGCCGTGGAATACATTGACGATATTTCCTGGGAATTTATCCAAGAATAATTTATTTGGTTTGAATGGTGCACTTAAAATGACTCCATCGACATATTTGCATTGTAATACACATAAAGATCTTTCGAAAATCGTCATGATAGGATAATTCAATTCACTGTTTTGGTTAATGACTTTATCTTCATGAATTCCAACAACTACCACGGCACCAATTGACTCAGCATATTCTTTAGTTAATCTTAACACTTCTATATGACCAGGATGAAATAAATCAAATCCTCCATCGATATACACTGATTTTTCATAGCCCTTAGACATGTCATTCGAAGGTTCGACGATAGTTACCAAAGGTTGATCGTCTATATTAACGTAAACTCCTGAGTGAGGATTTAAGCCTGTTTTGTCTGTGGCATATTTACCAAATCTGGACACATTATCAGGGGAAAATAATTCATTATCAATCGATGTAATTAACGGTAAATGATGATCTTTATTGCCCAACAACATTCTTCCCACTAAATCTGTGGTTGAGATATTAGGAGTTCTTTTGACCACTACGAACATACCCAAATCTTTTACGGTTTTATAACAATCTTCCCCATTAGCATCCGTAGTAATATCATCACCATGAACCACATACGGACAATCAAATTTTTTTAAGAACTCGGGATCAGTAACATACGGAGCATTGGCAATAGCTTTGGTGGCCCATTTACATCCTTCTACACTTTTCATTCTTTCGTCCAATTTCATTACTGTAGGACCTTTATTTTTCAAAATCTCTTCATCAGAATGAACTCCCACGTATAATTCCTTACCCAATTGACGTGCTTGCATCATAGCTCCAGCGTGTCCATGATGGGTGAAGTCGAAGCATCCATCGACCCAAATTCTAGTGTTTTCAATACCCTTTGGTCTATCGTACATAATCAGTAGAGATCAAATTCGCGATCATATGTATTTTAAATATTTCATGTAACGTGGGTGGACTTATTCGACCACCAGAATTAATAACTTTAGTTGTAAGATTATCAGGCAAGCACTTTCAAGTGGCATTCCAATTAGTAGAAACCTTCAATGGCTTTCCATGCTTCAATTATATCACACAAATCCAGATTGCTGTTGATTCTCGATTTGAATCTCATTCTGTGAGGGTTGACTTTTGGATTTAGCTTTCTTGGGTTGGGGGTTGGAATAGCTATGTTCTCTGGGTTGGTAAGTTGATTGATTCACTTCGTTTCCTTGTCCTATGGCTCCTCTACCTATATATGTGGGACTGTTATTTTTCTTTCTTTGCTCTCCTAGAAACAAAAAGTATTTATAGATCATACCAGCATTTCTAGTGGAACATCCATGTAGATAACCAAATAATGAACCTATTACAGGAGGCAATGTGATAATCAAATCAAATAATATCTGACCTTGCATCTTAGCTACCATCTTATTAGGTAATCTCATTTCATTAGTAACAATTGATATCAATCGAGAATGTACCCCATACATTATAATTGGCCCTAATACTGGGAAGAATAAACAAACAAAAGGAACCAACCCGAACCCGCAGTCCAAACCAATTCCACATGATCCGAGGAAGCATCTATCGTGAGTCCATGCTTGACTTTGAACTTTCTTCCATAATTTTTGTTCTTGAGAGGAAGAATATTCTTTGGGCAATTTCCTTTTGTTACCCTCTTCATCTTCAAATGGGTCAATTGAATTGAAATGCTCACCAGCATAGTCATTCCAATAATCCATGAGGATATCGTAACCCGGTAATCCTTCCAATTGTTCTTGAATCTGTGACATGGCTAAAACGTTCCTAAAGTTCCAGATAATGCGGAAATGTCTTAACTCATCAAGGTTGCAAATTCTTTGGCTGGTACTGGAGAACAAATTCCTTTGGTATCTTCATTACAGATGAAACATGTCTTCTTAGTTTTCAATCTTTTGAAGAAACAATCCTTACAATAGAGATGATTACAAATGGTTTTGACTGGGGTTTTATAATCATCTTTACATAATACGCATTTAAAAGGTATGGTGTCTTTTTTCTCTTTCTTGTTGACATTTTCCCATTCTTTGACTACGGGGGTCTTATTTGTGGATTCCCCTCTAATATGGAGAAACTTACAAGTATCGCCATAACCACAATATCCTGTTTGTTTGAAATCCTTACATACATCAGGCTGAAAGTCTGTTATCGTAGTGGTTCGCACATTAACAGGTGCTGCTTTGAGTGATGACTTGGTATCAGACTTCGTTATTGTCATAGTAGCTGAGTCTGTATGAGTTAGTTCTTTTGAAACCTCTTTTAAAACTTCTTTCCCTTTGTCTGATTGAAATTCAGTTGGTTTTGTCTCTATCTTGGACCTTTTCAATTTATTGATAGATTCCTTAAGCAAAGTTTCAGGAGCTTCACCTTCTTCCTCTATTATCTTTCTCTTGATACTCTCTTTATCCTTTTTGATATTCCTTTTCTTGAACATTAGAAATATTTCGCCTCTATCACTTTTCTAACTAAAACTGACAAATATAAAGAATTGCAAAAATAAAGGATGCGAAAAATCTAGTGATCACTGAATATGTTCGGAACTATCAAAGCTTCTATTTCTCCATATAAATGTGGAGGGATAGTAAGAACAAGTATTCGAAACAATTCTGTCAAGTCGTATTTTGATTTGTTTCCAAAGACTTTCCCTCATGGAGGTCCTCCCAATGAATCATTCGAAATTCCTGCCAGACAATTCAGAAAAGAATTCAGAACCTTACAAAGTGAAAACCACCCAGATATATTGATCGGCTCATCAGCATTATCCAAAAAACAAGGGACTTCTGATTTCTCATCATTATTGAATATAGCTTATTCTACAATCTCCAATCCATATACTAGAATCAATCACATAATTGAGATCTATCATCCCCAACATTTAGATATTTCCAATGATGAAGTTTCTAAAAAGTTGATTGAAGAATATCAATCTGAATCACCTGAAACTTCCTTGGAGTATAAAGATTTATTAATGACAGTTTTGGATGCCCATGAATCCCTTGAATTTGCATCCAACGAAAATGAGTTGGATTCATTATCAGAAGAAAATGATGAGAGGATTGAACAAACTGAAAAATACATCGATGAACTTTTATCATCATCAGAATTGGATTGGCATAAGATCATGCTCGAAGCTATAAGATTGAAATATTGGGTTAATATTCGTAATGCTATAAAAGATTGGGAACCAGGTAAACCTGTTCATTTAACTCATTAGGGGAGAAAGTAAAAAATTAATATATATTATGATACATGATTTTTCTAATCTTCACTAGCCATAGTTTTATCGTCATCTTCATCTTCATCGTCTTCATCATCCATTTCATCTTCTGAAGGGATTGATAATTCACAATTCTCAAATTCATGTCGTTGTTCTATTGATTTAGGATGCATTCTTAACCATTTCATTCTTGGTCCACTTATACTTGATTCATTTATCCTGAAACCAAATAACTTTAATCCTAATTCGTTTTGATTGACTTTATTTATTCTTATTCTACATTGATTTTCAATTTCAGGGAACATCTTTATTAATAAACCTGGGAAGGTAGTACCGAAAAATGATCCATCGATATTCAAATATCTTGAACTTGAAGGTAAATAAATATCGTTACAGCAAGGACAATATAATCTAACAGTTTCTTGTCCTGGTACATCAGTTGATCCACAAGGTATTAAATGCATTCCATCACAATAATATCTCGGACAACAACCGAAATCATTTCTTTCAAATTTTGATGCCATAGCTGTTAAACCAGGCTTTGAGATGATATAACGGGCATGGATTAATCCATATAATAACTCTGCAGAATGAGATAATAATGATTTTGTTGGTAAATCTTGTTTATCTGAATTACTAGTTCCATTAGTTACATCTTCGATGGTATCGACTTGATAATCTAATATAGTATATAACGCTTCTCTATAATAAGGTACTTGAGATGATAATCCTGTTAAATTGAAATCGTCTTCGATAAATTCTTGTGCTACAGGAACAAAATAATCATGTCCAAATAAATCACAAAATTGTTGAATCCAAGGAACGTAATCTCCTTCTTCACCTCCACTAGACATATTTGGGGGTGTAATTAATGATTATATTTATTCACTTGATTTCTAATGATTTGAATTCCTTCGATGAGTTGTAATTAATTTTTTGAATATAGATTGTTCTGAAAGATTAAGTTCTTCACTTAGAAGACTTTGTATAACTTAAATGACTGAATCTCCAGAGTGAAGTATCTCCTGGAAAAAACTGAGAATTTTTTTGAGAACTGAGAACTGAGAACTGACACCCTCAAAACTTTCCATATAATGGTATCATTAGATTTGCACCCATTTACTTTAATTGTGGGATTATTGGTGATTCTTATCATCGATAATGTCATCAAAGCTATGGGTAAGAAGAACTTAGAAGATATTGTATGGGTCATTTATTGTAAAATAGCTGGATCTTTAGGTAATTCAAAGATTAAAGCTATTAATGAAAAAACTGTTGAAGCTGGGAAAATCAATAAAGAAAGAAAATCTATAAGTGCCCAAGATCAATATGCTAAATGGACGAAATTGAATCGTCAATTTGACAAAGTCAATGAAGAGATTAAAACTTTAACTAATGAGTTGGCTTCTGATAAAGCCATGATAACGAAATATTTAACTGCTGTTATAAATATTTTAACTTCATGGCCCTTATGGTTTTCTAGATTCTGGTATAGAAAGAAGGTGCTTTTCTTTTTACCTCCAGGATTATTCCCGTATCCATTAGAAAGAATACTTGCCTTACCATTTACAGTTTTAGGAGGTGTTGGATTGACAGTGTGGATGTTTGCTATCAGAAATGTTATATCTTCAGTAATATTCATGGTATGTTTCCCATTCGAAGAAACTGTTGAAAAACCTGTTAAAGAGAAAAAAGAAGAAAAAGTTCAAGAACTTTAGGTAAACCTATTACATAAATCTATTTACAATGCATTAATTCGTTATGTCTTTGATTCATTATATCTTTCAACTCTTTGGTCTCTTCATTGAAGATATATTTACCTGTTTTCAATCTTTGTACGTCATTTTTAAATGCTTGGTAACTCAAATGTTGGAAGTATCCTAATATTTCTTTACATGGAGTTATGTCATCAATACTGTTGTAATACCATGAATCAATCACCTTTACCCAAATCATTAAATCCACAGAATATTTGAAGACGTCGTTGGTATCGTCCAATAACACATAAGGAGTTCCATTTTTATCTAGTTCTATAGCTTTAACGTTGGGAGATATGATCATTGAGTCCAGCTCAATTTTCAAATTAGCATTCATTATAGCCGATAAGGATATAGGAGGAGTAAGGATTTTCAAGTTCCTGGTTCTGGGAAATTCAGGTAATTCCCAAATATGAATCAATCCACTACTTGTGACACCCATTAAAAATTTGTCATATTGCTTCAAGCAGATTAAATTACTACCTATTTCAACGTTAGGCGTGACCAAACTTCCAGATTCTGCCAAAAATATCGTCAACGTTCCTGTGAAAGATACAATCACGTAGTAAATTAACATCCCATTGATCACCACTGGCAAACAATGTTGAATTTTGAAAGGGAAATACAACAAATATTTATGGAATTCTCCGTTCTTATCATTAGAAACTATTACTGAAGTAGGATCTTGGAAGTCAAACGTATCATCATACTCCAAGTCAATATCTTCTTCATCTTCTTTCCAGGGAGCTCCATTTCTTACTTCGATGATGGATTTCACAGGTTGAACTTCAGTGGCATCTAACTCGTACAAAGGATTCATTTTATGAGTGATACTAGACACAAGAACTGCAAAGACGATATCTTCATCATGAGTGTCAGCAGTTGCACTAGATCCACTGAATAAATCACTGGTATTTTGAAAATCATGGGAATTGATAATTTTACTCATTTCGTGTTTCATGAATAAACTATGGTTGAACAAAGATTCTGACAAGTTGGATATCAATTTAAAATGATTAGGATATTTTGATTCCATAACAACTCTTTTGATTTTACGTTTCTGATTCTTCAAGGTAACAACCGATAAGTTACCACCCTCATTACCCATATCAAAATTCATATCATCGTTATCATTATCTTGATCTTCATTGTTAGGATTGACATTTTCTTGAGCTCTGAATTTCAAACCTCTCACCGCTGTGGCCACCCCCAATCTGGGTAAAAGATAATTATTATGAGAAAGTTTGGAACTGACTTTGAACTTCTTTGTTACTTTGGAAACTGTCAATACAGGTGTGTTGGTCAGAGCTGATAATAACAAAGGAGCAACTCTTTTCTTACCATTCTTCATGGTAATTTTTTGACTTCTGATGTCCAATTTTTGGGTATCTGATTTCAATGGACTCATTGTTGGCATTGAAGGTGAACTTTCAATTCTTGGGCTTGGACGTGGTGTTATTTCTTTGGGTTTCTTATCTGAAATAGGTTGAACATCTAATTTCTCTGCTTTTTCCTCTAATTCCAATTGCTCTATACTTTCGGGAAAAACATTTGATTCTCGATCCTTTCCAAACTTATGTAATTGAGTGTACATCAATTCCTGATCGATAGGAATTCCTAATTCTTCTTTTTCAAATGCTAAACAAGTAATAGATCCATCGACACAACTGAAAAATAATGATTGACCTGTATTATCCCAACAAATATCGGTAATAGACCCCCCGGTGATTTCATGAGCCACCAATAAAGGTTTAGCTTGTTTTGTACTCCAAATAGCCAAAGTTCTATCTTGGCCACCTGTAGCTAATATGGTGTCAAAATTGTCTTTATCACCATCAGATTCAAATAATCTGGGTGAAAATGAACAAACTTCACAAGGAGCTTCATGACCAATCAAAGAAACTTCCGAACTCCAATTACCTCTTTTAATTATGGCTACAGATGGTACAGGACCATTAGTGGCATTAGGAACAGCTATATTTTGCCCATCAGGAGACCAACTCATTCTCCTGAAATAAGATGTCAATGGAGATTTTTTGAATGGGTCAAACACCACATGTTCGATTTGAAATTCATAATTATTAGCAGATTCGTGTAGTTTCTTGGAGTATCTAAAAATTCTAACCGTTCTATCATCTGAAGCAGTAGCAAAAAACTTATTGGCGGGGTCAAACACTATTCCTTTAACCATTGACTGATGGACATCGTATCTTTTTATTCTTTCAAACGTCTTTCCACTCCAAATCATAATTGATCTATCTAGCCCAACAGTTACCAACAAAGAACCATCAGGAGACCAACAAATATCCTGGATATCATTATCATGAGCCACTAATCTCTTCCTTACAGTCCAATGTTCCATGTCAGCTTCAGCTTCACCAAATTGTTTTGGTCTATTAATCATCAGTTCATCTTTCTCCCAAATCAATACAATTTTATCATCTGATCCACTAGCCAAAAATCTCCCATCAGGAGAGAATTTAACCGATGTCACTACCCCATTGTGTCTACTCATGGAACATAAGGGCCTCCTTTGAGGTTTTGGTGGTAATAATCTATCGAAATCTCCATCAATTTCAACTGATTTAAATTGTAGAATTGTGTGAGTATCCCAAATTTTGACATTCCCATCTAACCCACCAGATGCTAATCTACTCCCATCAGCATTGACACTGACAGAATAACATTCAACAGGTTTACCTTCGGCCTTATGGCCTAACCAAGGTAGTTTCAAAATATGCATAGAGTTATGGAAAAAATCGCGAGAGCTGAATCTAAATTAAATTAATCTATACACCAAATTCAATTTTAACGGCTTTACCGAATTTTTCTAAACCTTTAGCTAATTCTTCTAAAGGAACAGCGGCATAAGTACCTCTGAAGAAGATCATATTTTTGGTTTCAGGATTTTCTAATATACCAGTTTGAGGAGGAACCGAATTACCTTCAGCTTTGAACCAAGAACCAGGAATCATAAGACATCCTTGTTTTAAAGATTGTTCATAGATAGATTTTTCAATATTTAAAGGTTCTTCGTTTAATTCCTTAAATTTTGGATGTTTTGAAGCATCAAAATGAACAGTAAAGAACATACCAGCAACTGGTGGTAAACATGAAACAATATCTTTAGGACAGAATTCATTGATAGCATCAATGGCAACATCTCTCTTATGAGTATATTCTTCTCTGATTTTAATTAACCATTCTAAATAACCTTCTTGTTTCCAACTGCTTAATAAAGCGTTGGTAATGGATTGAGTTAAACCTGATGGATTTTGAATGGAGACTTCGTGTAATCTAACTAATCTTTCTAATAAATTCTTTTGTCCAACGAACCAACCAAATCTAAGACCTGGAGCTAAAACTTTGGAAAATGAATCTAATCTAATGACTCTACCTTCAACATCCATTGAAATGAATGAAGGAATCATAGCTTTTAAGAATTCTTCGTGGTTGTGGACAGCCTTACCTTTTCTAGCTTCTTTATCAGTGGTATAAGTTTCCATTTGTAAGAAATAGTAAGGTTCATCTTCAATGATGATGAAATCATGTTTACAAGCTAATTCATAAACTTTCTTTCTTCTTTCAGTACTCAATGAAGAACCAGTAGGGTTTTGACCAGTTGGAATAGTATACAAAAGTTTTGGTTTTGGACCAACCCAATTGTCTAATAAATCACTCAATTTATCTGGTAAAATACCTTCAGCATCCATTGGGATTGGGAAAGTGTTAACACCTAAAGCATTAACAGTTTCTAAAGCTGAACTGAAAGAATGATCTTCAACTAAAATGGTTTCACCTCTAGTGGTGAAAGTTCTTAAGATAGAATCCCAAGCTTCAGTATTACCAGCAGTAGCAATGACATCCCAATCTTCATATGGAACTTTATGAACAATTTTTGTATGTTCTTTAACAAAATCCATTATTTCAGTATGACCTTCAGTATAACCATATTGTAAGGATCTGGCTAATTCAATATGTGAGTCATCACCTTCTTGTTTTCTTTTCAAAACTTCAATATCAGTAAATCCTTTTTCACTAATGTTACCGCCAATTCCTTCTTCGAATGGAGCTTTAGGAATAGTAGCTTGAATTTTTTCAATTGGGAAGTAATCTGCCAATGGTAAACCTCCACCTAAGAAAGTCATACCTGGTTTTCCATAATAGACAAAAGCACTCTTCAATGGTGAGGCTTTTCTACTGTTGGCTTCTACTGATAATAAGTGACTTAAATCTTTAGCTTGAGTCATGATTAGATTTTATGAATATATTGGAATATGCGATTTGTGAGAATTTTATCTTATCGGAAACGAGCATGAGTAATCCTCTGACTACTCCTTCCGGTGATGGAAGGAGATAATCTAATTTTCGAGATGAAGAAATTATGAGGAGAGTCGTCAACATCCTTTAGAAGGAAATGTTTGACAATTACTCTTGACAGCGTTCTTCCCATTAGAGTAATGTATCACGTAGTTGAGGGAGGGGAGAAACGGTTGCAAAATTCCGATCTAACCAGTAGTTTGACATGTTTGACATGTAAATATCAATTTTCTTCAAAATGCATGTAACTCGGCTGTCATAAAACGCATTACAGCTTACGAGTCACAGGACTCACAGAATTTTGTAGATCTGTCACAAGTCCAAGTTGGGAAAAGATATCCGCAATTACCTGATTAGTCATAGAGACGCAAATTTAAGATGATTTATGTATTAACGTAATTGCAGGAAAGCATCTAATAAAACTGAAGATGGAGGTTCATCTGACTTATTCTTTTCAAATACATTCCAGAATCTTAAAGTTTCATCACCAGCTCCGGTCACTATAGTTTCACCATCTGGCGATAATGATAAGTATAATACACGATATGTATGACCGGTTAATTGAGCAATTTGTTGCATGCTAGGGTATTTCCAAACAATTATTTGATTTCTTGAATATCCATGAGTTGAAACCAATTCATTGGAGTTTTTGGACCAAACCAAATTACAAACCTGAGATCCAGTATTAACATCATTTAATAAATTCCCTGTTATGGTATTCCAAGTCTTGATGGTTTTATCAGCCGTTCCTCCGCCAGATGCTAGTATACCTCTTTGATGAGGAGACCAAGCAATGGCTTTAACTGCTGCAGTATGATCACTAAACTCATATAATGGTTTAGTATTCAAACCATCCCATATGAATAATTTATTATCATTACCACCAGATGCTAATTTGTTCTCTTCTATATTCCATTTCAACCCACAAACTTCTTGTTTATGATTCTCGAATTTGTTGATATAGTGACTTTCAACTCTTACATCACGATTCAAAATTGATCTGTCTCTTGAACCACTTGATAAAATATGTTCGTTCCAAGCTAATGAACTTACTCTCAAACTATGACCAGACATAGTTCTGACACATTTCATTTTAGTAGCATCCCAGATTTCAACAATCCCTTTTGATGTGCCGATAGCTAAGTGAGTTCCTGACCCAATCCAATTGATACTGGTAACTTTTTCCTTATTATTAACTTGACATAATCTATCGACAGATTGGGTCGACCCATCCCATAAATATACACTATCACCTAATCCTACAGCCAAAATATCTTGTGCACCCCAATCCACCAAATTTAAATAAAAATCATCCAGTAATTCAGGAGCATCTAATACTCTATAAGGTACCTTGCTGATATTTCTTGGTTTCTTTTGTGGGGATAATAGGATTTTCTGACTTTCTTGTCTTACAGGAGATAATGAATAAATTTCGTTTTGTAAATCTCTTGAAATTGGTCTATTTTTACTTGGTGATTGATAAGTGAAAAGATTTGATTTTTGTCTTGGAGTACTCGTTATGTCATCATTGCTATTATTATTATTATGGAAATTGGTTTCTAAATTTGAATTATCATTAAAATTACTACCACCTGTGATAGTATCTCTTGTTGGAGTATTTACATCATTTATAGATGTTGACCTTGGAGGTGTAATTCTACCTGAAGGTATTGGTATAGAATCACTTGATCTTGAAGTTCCATTGGGATTTATCATAATGGAATTACTATGGAAATTACCTGTGCTGTTAGGTCTGGATCTGATAGGTTTCGGATTCAGAATATTTGAAATCATTGGAGCATTATCACCAAATAATTCATTCTTCAACACTGTGGAAAATGTCCTATTAGCTTCTTGTTCCCTTTGAACTTCGATTTCATTATCGTTATCTCGAATTCTTAAATCAGGTACAACATCATTAGAACTTAAACTAAAAGCTGCTTGTAAATCAATTCCTGTTCTTGAAGGTATATATCTATCACTAAAAATAGATTTATTATTCTTTCGCCTTGGACTTGATGTTGGCGGCAATGCATTATCATTAGGTCTAGGAGGATTCACATTCCTAGTTGATCTTGAAGGTGAACTTGGAGTTTGAAAAATATCTCTTGGTTTCATCGTTTTATAGTTTTGAACTTAATGAAATGCTAATTGCCACTATATTATTTATATTAATCAATTTTTATTGTGAAGTTATGGTTAAATCTATGAATTGGTGAGATGTATGATTAATGCTGTGTAATGAATTGATGTTTCTAATTGCTAAATTATATAGATGGATATGCCGTTGAGATCGTTGAACTTTTTCTCCCTAATCTTTGTGGTTGAGATATTCGCACTAACCGAACAGATAGTTTAATGAGCATTAAGAGGTTACAGAAGAGTAATGGGGAGTCTGTCAATGTGCTTGAGGAAGCTTGGTTCTGGAAGTTGGATGTCCCTGTTTTATGGATGTCAATTGAAGTGTTAGATGGAGTTGTTGAGTAGGAATGACATCCCAATTACGTCATAGCAGATCTTTTTCATTAGATAAAAGACTAAGGAGAGTGGAAACAAGGAGCGTAAATTTGTCTGTATATGCACAAGGGGGCCCTCATCTCTGGAGGTTGAGTTTTTCATCTTTTTTTTTTTTTTTTTGTAAGTTGGATTTCTCTGTTACTCTTAGAAGGAGAGAAAGTTGCGAAATGTAAAATCTACCAAAAATGTATAAAAAAAGAGATCCTCATTCAATGCAATATTTGCTGATAGATGAACGTAATTATGATAATACACTGATTGAGAAAAGGGCAGAGAATATTATGATGAATCTTCCAGAGCTATTGAATACCTAATCATAAAGTTACAAAATTCTCCTTTAATACCAACTCTCTATCCTCCAAACTTCTCAGGCATACTACTAACAGTAACATTATACAATACAGTCAGTTTATAAAGCTCTTGTATATACAAAATTTCCCACAAACCTCACATCTTAAAAATGTGAATTGAGCCAATTAAAAAAAAGTCAATTTTTTTTACGCACTCGATTTAGAGATTTTTTTCACATCAAAAACTTGAAGATGTTTCGTTATATACAAAAATCTATAAAACCATTCGGTTTAAAATCAGTTAGATATTCAAGTATCATTTCAGTTCACAGAAATCATGAACTTGATAACCCAAATATTCCATTTGAATTCTCCGCTGAAAATTTAAAAAGAGCTGAAGAAATTATAACAAAATACCCACCTCAATATAAGAAAGGAGCTTGTATGCCATTATTAGACTTAGGTCAAAGACAATTAGGTTTCACTTCCATATCGGTTATGAATTATGTTGCCAAAATGTTGGATATGCCACCAATGAGAGTCTATGAAGTTGCAACTTTCTATACCATGTACAATAGAAAACCAATGGGTAAATATAATTTACAAATTTGTACTACTACTCCATGTCAATTATGTGGTTCAGATGACATCATGGAAGCCGTTCATAAAACCTTAGGTATAAAACCAGGTGAAACTACTAAAGATGGATTATTCACATTCCAAGAAGTTGAATGTTTAGGAGCTTGTGTAAATGCTCCAATGATGGGTGTTAATGATGATTATTTCGAAGATTTAACTGGTGATAAAACTGTCGAATTATTAAAACAATTACAAAATGGTAAAGAATTATCCGAATTAAAAGCTGGTCCATTAAGTGGTAGAGAAAGTTGTGAACCTTATAGTGGTGCTAAAGTCTTATTAGGTGATAAACCAACTGATATTAGACAATTTACTAGATCTGATTTATAATGCATTTTCATATTTATATTTAACTTACATTTCCTTCTCTAAATCTCTTGGTCGAATTATAGTTTGCCTATTGATAAGTTATATGTAATCTGATACTTTTGGAAAAAAAATAAAATGTGCCTCAGGGCAGGTTCGAACTGTCGACCTCCAGATAACTCACAAATCAATGACCTATGAGACTGACGCTCTAACCAACTGAGCTACTAAGGCGCGTTTTCTTCCACTGTGTCTGCAAATGCAATCTATTTTAAAAAACTTAAGAATTCGGAAAAATCTCCTAAAAGAAGTAATTTACGCCTCAGGAGTAAATTAAAACTTCACAATACAGACCAAAAACGCCAAAGGTAGGATCTGGGCATGTAAAATGATTCAAATAGCAAGGAAGTGTATCTAAAGATGGTATATTCAGGAATTTGACTGATTTTGCGGCTCACATTCGTCAAAGCAATATCCTGCCAGTAAACAGTTCACTACCAGCTAAGGAAGGAAGAATTCAAAGATTTGAGGACAAAATGATGATATAGGTGCTACAAGTCATCTTCCCTCAGATAACTTTGTTGCAGCATAAATTTGAAACTAAACCTCTAAATCTGTGTCGCATTATGCCAGAAGTTGCAGAGGTATGAATTGCATTCGATTTACCACAGAAAATATCAAAATACTAATATTTAGGTCGCCCATGTTGTATCTTTACTTAAGAAATCCATAATTGGCTCCAAAATCCTTAAAATTACAGGAGCTGATGACTTGATCATACAAACTCCTTTAACGTTCACTGGGACTATTAAGAAAGTTGGAAGACATGGAAAGTATTTTTGGATTACAGTAGATGAAGGTAAGAAAGTTGGACACCTTATTATGCATTTAGGAATGACAGGAATGGTTAAAATCGAAGGAGTCAATTCTCATATGGTATTCATGGAAAATGCAAAAATCAGTGTTGATAATGAAGAGATCATCGTTAACGGAGATAGTATTAAGAGCAAAACAGAGACCAAATCGAAGTATTTCAAAGATTCTGATAAACTGAAACTTCAGCAAGCATTTGAAGAAGCAGAAATTAAGAAAGAAGTGGAAATGGAGGAGGAAGTTAAAGAACCGACAGAGCAATGGCCACCGAAGTACACAAAATTTGAAATAACATTAGATACCCATAGGTTGGCATTCACGGACCCAAGGAGATTAGGGAGAGTAAGATATTTGCCTCAATTGTTTGAAATTGAGCCTCTATCACTACAGGGCCCTGATTACTCTAAAAATAAAATTGACCCTGACCCCACCATATATAAACCCATTCCAACTTTCGAAGAATTCAAGGCTATAGTTATCAAGAGGAATAAACCTATAAAAGCATTGTTACTTGATCAAAAAGTTTTTGCTGGTGTGGGAAATTGGGTTAGTGACGAAATTTGTTACAGATCTAGAATTCATCCCGGAAGTAATTTTCACAAATTTGAAAACGAAGAGATCTTATTTGACTTATATGATAGTATATTGAGCGTTTGTCAACAAGCTGTTGCTATTGAAGGTGATATTAAACAAATGGAAGGTTGGTTAATGCTCTACAGGTGGGGAAAAGGTAAGAAAAAACAACCGAAAATTAATGGAGAATCTATCAAGTTTGAAACAATTGGTGGTAGAACAGCCTGTTTTGTACCAAGTCAAAAATATTACACCAATAAGAGTAAAATTATTACTAATGGTAAAAAGTCTGGATCGGATAAAAGAAAGTATTAATACTCAAAGTGAGGGTTGCAAAATGTGGAGTACATACTCAGTCATACAACTTGCTTAAAACATTTATTCCTATTGTTAAAAATATCAATATATAATTGACTTTGAAGTGCAATAGATTTGTACTGTAAGTATTTAAGGAGTTGATATGGACGAAAACAAGCTATTCATTTATAAAAAATTTAAATATGTGAACAATAATAAAGGTAATGTGCTTATATTACCTGATGAGGTACTTTCTATAATTCTAAGGCAATTAGACCAGAAGAGTTTGAATAATAGTATATTGTGTAGCAGGCTATATTTATTGATCAAACCGTTGTTATATGAGAACATAATTGTGTATAATCCAATTAAGTTAAGACTGGTAGAGGGCTATTATGAACATTTAGAGACAGTTGTATCAATTAAAAATTTTATCAAATTGATTAATGGATATTCTTTCGAACCACAATTAATGAAATCGGTTAAGTTTATCAACTGCAATATCAGCGTGGAATTATATAAGAGATTACCTTTGGTTGAAATTGAAATCGTTGATGATCTAGAACATTTGAAAGGATTTGAAGATTTCAAAATAAAGTTTGACATTGAATGTGACAGAACTTTTGAATATATAAACTTTACTTTGAATAAATTAAAAATATCCAAACTAATTGATTTCAATGACAGGGGAAATGAGAAGTTTAATAATCTTAGGAAGTTGGATATTTTTGCTGACGAGAAGACTTTCCATATTCTAAAAAGTCATAAGATAAGTTTCCAAAAGTTAAAGGAATTGAAAATCCGAAGCGATAAAAGGATCGAGGTGCCTTTCACCTTTCCAAATCTCGAAAAGTTAAGTATAATCACTAGCAAAGTAATTTTCCGGAATAAATTCCATCATTTACATGTCTTGGAATTATTACCTTCATGTTATGGATTTGATCTTCAATTTTTGAATCAAATTGATGGGGTTGAAATGTTACTGATTAGTCATTTGAATTTTGAAATTGATGATTTGAAGAGATTAAATTTAAAACAGCTCTTCTATAAATGTCATCCCATTGAACATAATTTAATCGAAGTAGATCAAAGGATTGAAAATGAAGTTATGGAGGAGGATTTCAAACGCCTCGTTAGGTCTTTGACATTAGATATTGTGGGATATAAAAATCAAATCTATAAGATCGAAAATTATGATAGCTTGAAAGAGTTGGTTCCGATTTATAAACCTACGAGCGAAGTAAAGAATAACTTCGTCTAAGAGAATGTGACACAAAACGAGAATGGAAATATGAATGCATTGTCAAGAACTACAACTCCGATATCTCGGAGTAAGTTTTTTCCTATTTCTTCCGAGACATGGAATCGGAAATTCATGATCCCACCAATATTAACGATAAATAAACCTTCGATGTTGTATGGTGATGTTCGGATAGAGATTACTGAACATTACTGTGTCTTATATGAATATATGAAATGATAAATTTCCATTTCTATAACTTTAAACACGTAAACTCATCTCGCTCAATACAGCCTTCTTCCCCAGTTAATGGAAATTCTCGGAAAGCTCGTTTTTTCTTCTGGTGGATATTCCACCCTGATATCACACGATCTAATAGGTAATATGATATGTTAACGTTGAATGAAAAATTTTCTCTTCAACTATTTATTCAAATACGTCAACTGATGTCGGTACTCCCCAAAAGCAATTATAATTAAAGTTAAACCCTGTTTATACACTCTGGAAATTGTAAGAGAATAATTGAGGAAATGTCTCACCATCTCATGAGTTTGATATATAATGTCGTCATGGTTAATAACGACACCGTTAACTATTGATCTCCTCAGGTCCGTATAATATTGAAAAATTAATATATTTAAGGTTAATAATCTCTAAAAACTACAACAAAATATATTGGAGTAAACCCCATTAACTCTTTCTTCAAATTCCTTTTAATTTCTCAAAGATCGGGGTATTGTTGGCTAAAAAAGTTTCATCACCCCTCCTCAGACATTTTAAAGGCAGAAATCGGAAACTTAAGGATACTTAAATATAGAAGAAAATCCTGAATTAATTCATCGTTTAATTCTTTTACTTCATTTTTATAGACTCATAGATATTCCAAAATGATTGCCATTAGAAGGTATGCAACTAAATCAGTTCATACTCATACAATTAAAACTCCTGTTGATTTAAAAGCTGCTATTGCATCATTAAAACCAAAAGTTACTAGATTATCAAATGATGGTCCAATTGAATGTGACTTAACCGGATTTCAAGTCCTTAATTCTCCAATTTATAATAAAGGTTCAGCTTTTACTATCGCTGAAAGAAAAGCTTTTGGTTTAATCGGTTTATTACCATCTCAAGTTAATTCCTTAGATGAACAAGTTGAAAGAGCTTATACTCAATTTTCTTATTTAAAAACTCCTTTAGCTAAGAATGATTTCTGTACTTCAATGAGAATTCAAAATAAAGTTTTATATTATGAATTAGTTAGAAGACATATCAGAGAAATGTTACCAATTATTTATACACCAACTGAAGGTGATGCTATCGCCAATTATTCTCATAGATTTAGAAAACCTGAAGGGTGTTTCTTGTCAATTGAAGATATGGATTCAATAGATGAAAGATTATCAGCTTATGGTGAAGATAAAGATATTGATTATATCGTTATGTCCGATGGTGAAGGTATTTTAGGTATTGGTGATCAAGGTGTTGGTGGTATTAGAATCGCTATTGCCAAATTAGGTTTAATGACTTTATGTGGAGGTATTCATCCTGGTAGAGTTTTACCAATTGTCTTAGATGTTGGTACTAATAATCAAGAATTAATAAATGATGATATTTATATGGGTAATAAATTCCCAAGAGTCAGAGGTGACCAATATTGGGAATTTGTTGATAAGGTTATAAATGGTATTAAGGCTAGATTCCCATCAGCTGTTATGCATTATGAAGATTTCGGGGTTTCAACTGGTAGAACCATGTTACACAAATATAGAGAAACTTTACCATCATTTAATGATGATATTCAAGGTACCGGAGCTGTCGTTATGGCTTCAGTCATTGCCGCATTGAAATATTCAAACAGAAATTTAAAAGATTGTGAAATCTTGATTTATGGTGCCGGTTCAGCTGGTTTAGGTATTGCTGATCAGATTAAAAATCATATGATTGTTAGTGGAATGTCCGAAGAAGAAACTTTATCAAAAATTCATTGCATGGATAAAAGAGGAGTCATCTTAAAGAGTTATACTAACTCAAGTGAAGGACAAATTCAATATGCTGATAATGATGCTTTATGGGAAGGTGTTGATACTACTAATTTAGTCGAATGTGTAAATCATGTTAAACCAACCGTTTTAGTTGGTTGTTCAACTCAAGCTGGTGCTTTCACTGAAGATGTTATCAAAACCATGTACAAACACAATCCTCAACCAATTGTTTTCCCATTATCAAATCCTACCAGATTGCATGAAGCTATTCCAAAAGATATTATGAAATGGACTGATAACAATGCTTTAATTGCTACTGGATCACCTTTCGAACCAGTTGATGGATACTATATTTCTGAAAATAATAATTGTTTCACTTTCCCAGGTATTGGTTTAGGTGCTGTTTTATCAAGATGTAATACCATTACTGATACCATGATCTCAGCAGCTGTTGATCAATTAGCTTCATTATCACCAAAAATGGAAAACCCAAAGAACGGTTTATTACCAAGATTAGAAGAAATTGATGAAGTTTCTGCTCATGTCGCTACAGCTGTTATCTTACAAAGTTTGAAAGAAGGTACTGCCAGAGTTGAATTAGAGAAAAATCCTGAAGGAGGATTTGTTGAAGTTCCAAGAGATTATAAAAAATGTCTTCGTTGGGTTCAAAGTCAAATGTGGAAACCAATTTATAGACCTTTAGTTAAAGTTGAACATGTTCCAGAAATTCATACTTATCAACATTAAAAAACAACAATTTTTTATTCATTAATAGAGAGAACCTACAGGGTAGAGCATATAGATTAATTTTAATATTCAAATTTCATCTTCTATTCATTTAAAAACTTAATTACTTTGGAAATCCCAAAATATTTATCAGTTTTAGCATTCTCTATATTACCAATAGCATCATATTCAGTAAAGAAAATACCATCATGGACTCCCCAAGGTTCCATATAAGTAACTAATTTAGGTTTATCTTTACTCTCGATTGTTTTGGTACAAATTTCTGAATATTTATTGTTAGTTCTTTCATAACTCAAATGATTACCGAAAACTTCATTAGTCCATTCAATAATATGATCTCTGAAACTTTCATCTTCACCATAAATCACAAATACTTTATTCTTTGGATCTTTGAAGAATGGGATCTTTGACCAGTTTGTTTCAGGTTCATGAGACCAATTGAAATATGGATGGAATTCAATATTCTTAGGATTAAGGAATAATTCAAATAATTCAGGTTTGAAAATGTCAATTGAAATCAAATCTCTTAATCTGTTATCATTATAAGATCTACCAGGTCTTCTTTCAGATTTACTATCGATATTCAATTTACACCATGGAGAAATTAATACCAACTGTTTAGGATATGGTAAAAACGGTTTATGGGAATAAATATATTGTACATAAGAAATTGATAAATGACCACCAGCTGAATCTCCCATTAAGATAATATTGGTGTTTCCTTGTTCTACCAAATCAGAATAAACCAGGTCTAATTGATTCAATTGTCTAGGGAATTTTCGTCCCATTGAAACCAAATCATAATCTAAGAATAAAATGGAATATTTCTTAGTTGGATCCAAATGTTTGTAAATAGCCACAAGTGATTTCAATTGTTCTAATTGAGTTTCTAAGAAATATCCACCTCCATGACTATAAATGATTATTGGATCATCTTTTTCACGGAAATTGTCTTTGGCAAACCAAATACCATGATTTCCAAATTGTTCACCATATCCTGGGATGGTACTAGTAAGTTTTGGATATTGGAATTTCAATACTTTGAATAATGTTGAGTTTTCCATAAATTTCAAAACATGGGCATCTTGGATTGGAATACTAAGACCAAATCTATAGATTGTGAGTTTGAGACAAATTTTCAATCTATTAGCATACTTTCTGTATTTAGTAGCACCAAGATAATACTTGATGACAACTACAAGAAGATCTAAAGGTAACTTCAAGAATCTTAAGATCGTTTCAATAGAAATCATGATGTTCAAAAAAAAATTGAAGAAAGTGGTATTCTTATATTCATGTGAAACGCGGAGTTGATCTTGTGAAGATTTGAGGATGGGAAATAAAGATATCGTAATTAGAATCCCTGCATAAGTTTATGACGTGATTGATATGAATTTTCTTATTTGTATATATCTTGTGATGTTGTAGTATCTCTAGCAGGTCACCGGTGACAGTTTTTGGTGTTTTTCCGTGATTGTAAAAAGTCAAATGTGGGGTGAGATCGATTTACAGTGAATATAAACCTTTTAGATCCCGAGGGTTATTTGAGGCTTTCAACGGGCTGTTAAGTGTTTCAGATTAGGAATTTTATTTCAATCTAAGACAACTCCGGATTTATAAGTTATTTTTGGTGAATTTTGCAAAATTATACATCGTAAAATTGACCAAAAATCATCAATTTATACTCTACAATCTTATTCATATTGACTGTTTTATATTCCAAAATCTTCACTCTTCTCCAACATTCCAACACCTCCCCCTACGATACCCAGCTCATGGTTAAGGTAGATCAAAGTGTTATGATGAAAATGGTGCGCCCACACTAGTCTGGGGATTGGTTGAAAAATTTGTTGAGAATTGAAAAACTTGACTCTAGTTTAATACATTATGTCTGTTGAAGAATTGAAAAATACTGTTGCCAAATTACAAGAAAGAATTCACACTTTAGAATCTAAAGCTGGAATTGTTCCTCAAGTACCAAAATCAATTAGAATGGTTTTAATTGGTCCTCCAGGTGCTGGTAAAGGTACTCAAGCTCCAAACTTGAAAGAGAAATTCTGTGCTTGTCATTTAGCTACCGGTGATATGTTAAGAGCTCAAGTTACTGCTAAAACTTCATTAGGTTTAGAAGCTAAGAAAATCATGGATCAAGGTGGTTTAGTTAGTGATGAAATTATGGTTAACATGATTAAATCAGAATTAGAAAATAACTCTGAATGTAAAAATGGTTTCATTTTAGATGGTTTCCCAAGAACTATCCCTCAAGCTGAAAAATTAGATTCTATGTTATCAGCCAGAAAGACTCCTTTAGAAAATGCTGTTGAATTAAAAATTGATGATGAATTATTAGTAGCTAGAATCACTGGTAGATTAGTTCACCCATCTTCAGGAAGATCATACCATAAATTATTCAACCCACCAAAAAGAGAAATGACCGACGATATCACCGGTGAACCATTAGTTCAAAGATCAGATGATAACGAAGCTGCTTTAACCAAGAGATTAGTTACTTATCATAAACAAACTGAACCAATTGTTGATTACTATAAAAAATCAGGTATTTGGTCTGGTATTGATGCTTCCCAAAAACCAACCAAAGTTTGGGACGATATATTAAAATGTTTAGGTCAAAAATAAGCTCCTTTACCCCGTAAATAGATCCTTCAGGATAATATATGTATTTTTTACCCATTCGGACTTAAGAGTGTTTTTACTTTTCTTATTCTTATATTAATTATGTAAGCTTTTCTCTTTTAACGATCCCATTTAAATCATCACCATGTCTTTTCTTTGTTTCATTATAACAATTAGCATGAACAATCCTAGGACTTGTTTCTCCAGGTGGAACAATACAATTAACCCAACACCATTCACCCAAATCATCATTGAATGTACCTTTAACTATTTCTCTACAAATAAGACATTTGTTATTCATATTAGTTTCAGTTGATGGTATAACCACATAAGGTACTTCTTCTTCCACAATAGGTTGAGAAACAATTGGATTTTCACTAATTTGAAATTCTAATAAGTTTTCATCTTTGAATTTGACCCATTCATCTTCATCCAAGTACCAATTTCTCGATTGTACAGATCCGTTTTTGAATTTTTTATTGATTCTGAAATGCCAATCTAAATGTAACTTCTTTTTATCCAATTCATTATTATTGAACCTCTTCCCACAATTCAGACATTTCAAATTCTTGGAATCGTAAAGTAATTTTTTACATTGAATGGATAATTTGCTGTTATTGATAAAACCTTGAAAGTTATCGATTTTGAATTTCGATAATTCATTAAACTTCAATTTTTCATAGTCATTTCTAGGGACTTGACTATTTTTGATGGTTTCCATCAAGCCAGTAGATCTATTTATTACTTTAGGATAGTTTATATCAAAAGTTCTAGGACCTTTGAAATCTTGTTCAAACGTTATTATACCTACGTTAATTAAAGAATCAAAAATTTCGTTAGCTTTTGTGGGGAATGATGGAGCATCAAAGCTACTTCCATTATTACTGTTATTACCGTTATAATTATTACCGTTCTGGAAGTCAGGTTCATAATTGTCAATTTCCATCAGTTCTTGCACAGGTGATTGATGAGGTATTGAGGGCAAGGATGAAGGCATTGAAGGTAAAGAAGCTGGCATTGAAGGTAATGAAGGAACGACTGGTAATTTTGGATTATTAGGCAATGAGGGAGCAGATGGTAATGATGAAGGAGCAGATGGTAATGATGAAGGAGCAGATGGTAATGATGAAGGAGCCATTGGCAATGATGAGGGTAATTTGGTTGGTGATTTTATTGATACGTTTGGAGGCAAGGGACTACCTAATTCTTGTTGTTTTATAGTACTCAACTGACTTTCGATACTTTGTAATTCATTCTTCTTTAATGTTGAAGTTTTCAATATGTTTCTTAATTGTTTTAAGGCTTCTAACTTTTCTCTTAATTTATCACTATACTGATTATTCAATTTACTCTCGAATGTTGGAACTAATTCATCTATTATTCTGACAAGTCTTTCATTTTCATTATTTCGGGCTTTATCTAAAAATTGCTGAATCTTTTCTAATTGATTAACAGGGAAAAGTGGTAATTTATCTCTTGTCTTTGTCTGTTTCCAGGTAATGAATAAATTACTCAATTTCCCACGAACCAGCTCATCAGATAAAAGATAAACATGACTAAAAAGTTTGAAAACCTCGTCACCGATTAATATATTATATGGATTATTTACAGTCTTACAAATTGAATCAAGAAGGTACAATGTGAATAGTTTTTCAATTGGTTTAACCTGGTAAATTCTAGCTGTAATCGCATCAAGGATTTGGTCAGCCACTTCTACATTAGAACCCGCAGCTGCAGTCAATGCATCGATGATAGGTCTGGAGTTGAACGTTAGTTGGGACAACGTCTTTTTGAATTGTTCAACAGCTTCCATGATGACTTTCGCAGTGAGTTTGAGGTTTGTTATCAGACTGCGAAAAATATAGGTGTACGGATGGAGAGAATGATGAAATTATAGGTAAGAATACAAGTTATCTAGTATATGACAGATCAAGGATAAGATGTTTTCAAGGATTTGTGGATGTGTTTCAAGTCAAGTTGTTCAAGTTCCAGATTTACTGTCCCAAAACCACTGGAAATAAGTGATTTTCATTGCCAAGTTCTTGTCAGGGCTTTAAAACCGACCAGAAACTTCCTCCGACCCCCACCACGACCATCCTTCACCTCGCTGGTCCCATTAACTCTTTCTCCGGCCAAAATCATGGATGAAAGGTTATTCGATGAAAAGAGAAGGTGAGATTATTTACCGCGATGAAAAATTTTCAGGTGCTGATATGAGTCCAGTTTCAAACGATAAAAAACAATCAGGAATTGCCAGAGTCTTAGGTTCAGCTTCAGCTGGTATCTGTGAAATTGGTGTTTTCCACCCAGTTGATACCATCTCCAAAAGATTGATGTCAAATCAAGGAAAAATTGGCTCAGCTAGTCAATTAAATTCAGTTATCTTCAGAGAACATGCTGAAAAAGCTTTACCAAAAAGAGTCTTCACCTTATTTCCTGGTTTAGGTTATGCTGCTGTTTATAAAATCTTACAAAGAGTTTATAAATACGGTGGTCAACCATTTGCCAATGAATTCTTAACCTCTAATTTTAAAGATACTTATGAATCATGGTTTGGTAAAAAGAACGGTAAAGCTTTATTATCTGCCACTGCCGGTTCATTGATTGGTATTGGTGAAGTTGTTTTGTTACCATTAGATGTTTTAAAAATTAAACGTCAAACAAACCCTGAATCTTTCAAAGGTAGAGGTTTCTTGAAAATCTTAAGTGATGAAGGTTTTGGTTTATATAGAGGTTGGGGTTGGACTGCTGCTAGAAATGCTCCTGGATCATTCGCTTTATTCGGTGGTAATTCTTTTGCTAAACAATATATCTTCAACATCGATGATAGTACTGCTGCTACTTGGTCTCAAAATTTCGTTACTTCAATTTTTGGTGCTAGTGCTTCATTAATTGTAAGTGCTCCTTTAGATGTTATCAAAACTAGAATCCAAAACAAAAATTTCGATAACCCAGAAAGTGGTGTAACCATCTTGAAAAATATGTTCAAGAATGAAGGTATTTCATCTTTCTTTAAAGGGTTAACTCCTAAATTGTTAACTACTGGTCCAAAATTGGTTTTCAGTTTCGCTTTAGCTCAATCTTTGATCCCAGCTTTCGATAAATTATTAAAATAATGTAAATAGATCTTGTGAATATAGAATTAATTTCTTATCTTAGTTTATTCTTCGTACTAATAAAGTAATGTAATTGGATTTAATGTCGTAGTATCCGGAAGACATTTCATGAGACATTTCTGTGTCATCATTAAAGTTGTGCGAACTTCACCCGTGGTCTCCAAAATCACACACTCATTTATATATAAAGTCATATAAACAACTTTTTACAAAGTAAACATGAAACTATCATACTTTATATATGCTTTGAAGGTGAATATTTTCCAAGTGATAGTGGAAAAGTCTCGTTCTGAGTCTTTAAATCTACAATATATTCACTCATCATTATTCGATGCAACTGCTTGTCAACCAACAGATGAGAATGTGGCAGACTTTTCGTTTGTTAATAATGTAACAGATTGTGCTGACGATTTTGTAGATGTTCTTATATAACATTAGGGACAATCAGAGGGCTCATTTCGAAAGGGCTATAATCTGAGAGATATTCAAATCAAAAAAAAACAAGAAGAACATTAAAGTTCAAAAAGGTTATGGGTAAATAGGTTAATATATGGATAGAATTATAATATGGATGGAACGATAATATTCTCTAAAAGTTAAAAACCCTTATCAAAGAGATCTAGGTAGGACTTCCCCATATTTTTGCGATCACCCGCTTTTAAATATGGACCCTTACCCCCTTCGAAAGAGCGGAGGAATAAATAAGGTCACCTTAACTATCTCGAAGTAATGAGTTTCTTAATATCAACACCTTACAATGGGATAAAGGTTTTAGATCTTCATGATTACTCCATGTCTAAAGAATTTCTTAGAGGTTCTGGATCAATTGATAAAATAATTCATTTCGAAAATGATACTAGGTACTTGATAATCGTTAGGGGTAATATCATAGAATTATATAAATGGACCAGAGAATTCAAATTGATCAAACAATGGAGGAATAATGTTATGAATGATAAAGATAAATTGCTTGATGTGGGTATAATTGAAAACCAATATTTATATAGTTGTTCAGTTAATGGAGAGTTCAAATTCAGAGACCTTATTAATGATGATATTTCAAGTAGTTATAAGTCCACGATATTGAATTCACCCATTGAATGTTTAAAGGTGACAAGAAACCTAGACTTCAGAATATTACATGGGGGTAAGAATAATAAAGTAAGATGTGTTAGTTTAGATGAACCACCAAAAATATTCAATCCTAAAGAATTTAATATTCCACGATTTAAAAATTTAAATGTTGAATGGACAAGGTCTGTAGAAATATGGAATGATTATACAATCACAGGAAATCAATGGGGTCAAATCAAGATAGTCAAAGATGAGAGAGAAGAAAAATTCAAGATAAGTGATTTTCCTATAACGGCATTACACATTCATAAGAATTTATTGATATTCAATGATCTAATATTCAAGATCGGAATTATCAATCTTAAAACCATGAAATTAATTAACCAATTCACTTTCGATGGTCCTATCAAACAATCATTAGTATATTATAGGTCAGGACCTATTTATTTCATATATACCACATTTGATAACAAATTTAAAGTTTTGAAACTTTTCAATAACAATAAAACCAAACTTGTTCATGATATACAGTTTGACTTTGATTTATGTTTTGAACTATTGAAATGGCATTGATAACAAATTGGCTGCTTGGCTGCAAAAATTCCCCCAGGTTTTGAGAATAGGTCGTGGCCATTTCAATTTATTAAATTGCTATCAACTGATGATAATTATTCCGGGTTGTTAACAAATAGGAAAACTTGCATGTTTACCCTTGCATGTTTACTATACAACATAGTTAACTTCTCATATTTCTTTTCCTCCCCAGTGTAAAGGTTCAAGGCAAAAAGGACAAGAACTCGGACAAGAAAAAACCGATTTTTTTTTTTTTGGGGGAAAATATTTTTAAGACATATAAGTAAACATGTTGTTACCAAGTCATCCCTAAATAATCTCTAACACAGCATGTTTATGTCTTACACTGTATATTAACTCTGCCCCCTCCAAGAATCTACTGACTTTTTCGAAAATCATTTCGCAAAATGATGGTTATCCCCACGATTAATGATGCAACGACAATCCTTACGTATATACGAAAACAAACTAAGTTGGTCTAGAAGTAAGCGAAGTCATTATTAATCAAAAAATGAATTCCCATCCAAACCGTTTAACTTTTCAATCATCTATAAGGTTTGATGAAATTCATGCCATTATTCCCGTCAATGACGTATTTCAGATGGTAGCAAAGTAACAAAAAATGTCTTCAAAATGGCCGACGATATGGAGAAAATCTTTATGTTTGAACTATTTTCTTAGTACTCATCCCACCACTTTGAGCTTGATCACTAATTTAAATTTCTTGAATCTTTATTTTAATCTCTAAGACATTATCCCCATAATTCCTTGTAACTCCCTCCACACATTTTTCTAGATCAAGAATTTGAGATTTAGTCATTTTGTGCGTACCCCTAAGTTCATCATCGGATAATTTATTCTTTTTTTTTTTTCCAACAGTGGTCAAAGTAGGTGGGAAGTTTTGTTGTTGTATTTTAAATCAGTTTATTCAAAAATAATTTCAAGTTGTCAAAGTTAAAGTAAATTACCATATCAAATCAACGCCTTAATGAGTAGAAACTTCAGTTTAGATAAACTATTTCACAAAGTCAACAGGCGACAATCAGATACTTCAGTTGATCCCTTATCACCTTCCATAATAATAAATGATGATGACAGTCAGAGTATCCGAACTATTAGGAACAGAGCCAGGTCATTAAGTATGATGCCCAATAATAGTCATAGTTCATTATCTTCTAAAACTTCAAAGTCTCCAATAGCTAATCGTTCTAGGTCTAAATCCTTGAATAAGAAACAAGCTAAGGAATTAATCAAATATGAAACCAATCAAGTAATACTGAAGAAATTACAAAGTCTTTTAAATGAATTGGGTTTACAAAAACCAACCCCTTTGAAAGTAAATCAATGCAATAGCTCAAATTTATCGAAAAACATCAAAATTTACGTTGCAAATTCCAATAACTGTATATATTTAGGACCTCCTAGTTCTGGTAGTTCATCGTATGAAGATTTCGAAAATGGTGTTGAAGAACCAATACCTCCAACCGAAGAGGAACAACTCGAACAAGGGGATGAAGAGGAAGATGACGAAGCAACTGAATTAATGGATGAAGAAGATGTAGAAAAAGAAGACTTGGAAGTTCATCAGTTCAATGATTATGAAAATTATGCTGGAGATTTAGAGAATATGCCCTCAGTTTTGAAAGAAAAATTACAACATTTCAAATCTCCTAATTATTTGAGTACCAAAATTGATGCTGATACTCCTATTCCTCATACTTTTGGATTAATCATTGAATTAAATAAAGACACTGCCATTCAAAATTTGATCTTTGAGTTTTCTTCCATTACTAATATCTTATGGCCAAGTGGTGATCCTTATAATAAGACTTTTTTAAGAGAAAAATTTAAAATTGGAAGTATTGATTGGATCAAAAATTTGAAAAATGCTGATTTCTATTTGAATAATTTAAATTCTCATGATTTTAAGTTCAGGAAATTAAGTCCCAATGAATTAGCTAAAAGAACCAGATTTTATAGATTATTCAAATCAAAAAATTTGAGTGAAGATAATGAAGATGATGAATTAAGCAATGTTTTTTCAAATGAGAATGAATTTGATGATTTTGGTGAAGATTTATCAATAACTCCATATACTTCTAATTCAGCCAATTCCAATGGTGAAATTTATAAAGCTGGTCTTTATATATTCATGTTACCGATTTTATTACCTGAGAACATTCCTCAGACTATAACATCAATAAATGGATCATTAAATCATTTTTTGAATGTTTCAATTCACAAAAATTCCGAAAAGTTAAATAGAAAATTGAAACTTAAATCAAGTTATAATTTACCCATGGTCAGAACTCCTCCATCATTTGCCAATTCGGTTGCTGATAAACCTATCTATGTCAATAGAATTTGGAATGATTCCTTACATTATATCATTACTTTCCCAAGGAAATACATTTCTTTAGGTTCTGAACATACCATCAATGTGAAAATTGTCCCATTGGTTAAAGATGTGGTTATCAAAAGAGTAAAGTTTAATGTTTTGGAAAGAATTACTTATGTATCCAAGAATTTAACCAAAGAATATGATTATGACGGCGAGGATCCTTATTATTTGAAACCTTTGATATCTAAGGATAAACAACGTGAAAGAGTTATATCAATCTGTGAGTTGAAAACCAAAAACAAGCCTTCTAACAGTTATCTTGAACCTTACAAAGAAGAAGTTATTAAATGCCCTGACAACAATTTACTTTTCAGTTGTTATGAACCAGATTTCACCACTAATGACGATGATGATATTGAAAATTTCAAATTAGATTCTTCCAATAAACATGATAAAGATAAAAATGTGATGATTGCTTCACCATTAGAAATCAATATCGCTTTACCATTTTTAACCACCAGAAATGATAAGATTATTCAAACAAATAATGAAGAAGATTTGAAACATTTACCAAGATCCAATCCAACAAGTAGAAAAGCGTCAATAATGTCCACAACTTCATCTGACAACGTCAATAATACTCCATCATCACCAATAATAGGATCTTTAGAAACTAACTTACTTCACAGTCATAATGATATTTTTGCAATTGATGATGATGAATTCTTAACCCCTGATCAGTCAAACTTGATGCATGAAATAAGTCACAATCATTCAAAAGAAAATATTCAACATGGTTTCACTACTATTGGGAGGGCTTTGTACCCCGATTCTAATTATAGACACATTAAAATTCATCATCGTTTACAAGTGTGTTTTAGAATCAGTAAACCCGATCCCAAAGATAATTACAAGATGCACCATTATGAAGTTGTAGTGGATACTCCATTGATATTATTAAGTTCAAAGTGTAATGAGGAATCCATCCAGTTACCAAAATATGATGAATTACAAGTTGATAGTGATCCATTACCTCCGTTAAGCCCTTCGATATCTTTCAGAACTCCTGATTATCATCCCAACCAAGGTGTTAGTAAGAAGCCATCGCAAGGATTTGTTAGGGAGAATGGTCAGGTATCAGGTAACGGGTTTTCAATAAAACCATGGAATAATCATGATGATAGTTTACCAAGTTTCGAAGAAGCTACTTCGCCTATCCTGTCACCAGTAATGAGATCTTTCTCAGTTTCGGAGGATCCTTTAAGTAGAATGCCTTCGATAACTCAAGACATGTATCCTGATCCTCCAGCCTATGAAGAACCCGACTCCAAAAAGAATTTTAATGAATCTAACCCCATAAACATAGATGCTATTGTCAATGACAAGGATCAACTCTGTGAAAGTCCTAAACATACTCGATCAAGATTGAGATCATCCTTAGTAAATTCTTTTGCTCCAACTGGTATGTCTAATCTGTCAAGCTTAGCAATCCCAATGTCAAGTAACTTGAGTGTTTCTCCTACAAACACTTCGGCCATATCTGAAGCCATGGGGAATCTTGATTGTAATGAAGATTCTTCGAGTTCTTTGGATTCAAATACTGGCGATTCAAGTTCTAATGATGATAGCAGGGTCAGTTTAAATAATAAAATCACCCCAGACCCGATTGATGATAATAATTTGATCTGTAACAAGAACGATTTGACCACACCTGTACTCAATGAAGTGAAAAATAGCATTTCATCACTTTCCTTGGATAGTGGTATCAATTCAGGAATCCCGGATACTTCAAGTACAGGTATTACCACCGATGAAGACGTGAGTAAGACAGATGTGAATTCAATCAATGATTTTAAAGAAGATTCAGATAAGACACCACAGGAAGGTACACCAATGGATATCACATTATCAGATGTCACTGAAATTAGAGGGTCTAAAGAGATAAAAGAGACAAAACGGGACCCAGAGTCCGATAGTGAAGCTGATGAATCAAGAGATGAAATAAACGACATCAATCCAATTAAATTTACTGCTTTCCCTAATGATAGTGAGAGTAATATCAGTATTTTCACCCAAGGTTCATTTGATCAAAGATTACCCTTATTGAGAAACATCAGTACTGAATCAAATTTACCCCTTTCGAAATACATGGAAACCCCCAAATTTAGCAGTGATAACATCATTACTGAAAACGAACCCCAACAAGAAATTTATCACGCCTATTAATGCACGTACTATACCCCTTTCTCCCGTGATTGAAATCTCGTAAGATTTATCACCTGTTCGCACTCTTAAGCATTTTAGATTCCCTCCACTACTTGGCTGCAATGAGTTCTTTAAGTAAGATTAGAGCTAATGGTAGCATTGGAGTCGTTGGAGCAGGTATTTCAGGTCTCACGTATGCTTACTTTGTATCTAAAATACGGCCAGACTTGAAAATCACCATTTTTGATAAATCTGAAAAAGTTGGTGGATGGATTCAAACTGCTGAATTATTCGATGATAACACTCATGAAATCATAAAATTAGATAAGGGACCAAGAAGTTTAAGAGGTGTTAGTGATGGGACTTTGGTAATATTGGACATTTTAAAGAAATTGGGTCATGGGGATCAAATAAAAGTCATTAACTCCAAATCTAAAGGAAATAGAAAGTATTTATTAAATTCGAATTATGAAATCATGCCTCTCCCACATGATTTGAAATCACATTTGAAAGCTTCTAAGATGGGTATGTTTTCAGGAATAATTTCCAAAGTCTTAACTGAACCTTTTAGAAAGATAAAGAAAGATTCTCAAGACGAAAGTATTGATCTGTTCTTCAAAAGAAGATTTGGAAGCACAATTATCACCGATAAGATACTCAGTGCTATAATACATGGAATCTATGCTGGAGATACGTCAAAATTAAGTATTAAGATATTTTCTAGATTACAGAATTTTGAGCAACAAGGCAGTATTATCACATCAATGATCAAGCTTCTTTTCAAGCCTAAAGAAGAACCTAAATTAACTCCAACTTTGCAGATCTATGAAACAAAGTTTGGTGGAGATTTAATGACATTGTCAAATAATTTGAAAGGGAATCCAATGGTTGTTTTCAAGGATTCTCTTTCGTTGTTTCCTAGAGTGATGGCGGATTTCTTGAAGACCAATGGGAATATTAAATTTGTTATGGGAAGTGATATTTCAGCTATTTCCACTGATGGAACGATTACGAATAATGGTGAATCTATAGAGTTTGATCACGTGAGGTCAACTATCGATGTGAAGCAGTTGAGTAAATTAATTAACTCACAAGAATTAAAAGAGGATTTTGAAAAGATTCAATACGTGAGTATATTTATGGCCAATGTGTATACCAAACAAAGGATAATTCCATCAGATGCTGAAGGTTTTGGATTTTTAGTACCCAGAATCTCCCACAACAAGGAGTTCTTATTAGGTACAATATTTGATTCTTCAATCGCTAGCTATTGTACAACTTTAGGATCAAATGATGCTGAAAAGACATCATACGATAAAATGACAATGATGTTTGGTGGGCATTTTTTCGATACTATTCCATCAACAAGATTATCCTTAAAGGCGGTGGAAGTAACATTGAATAAGGTGTTTGGTATCGAAAATAAGAATCTCATTTTCCGTGATGAGGCCAATGCTTCTTCTGATACGATTGAATTGAAAGATGAAGATATCCTCATATCTTATAATTTGCATAAAAACTGTATCCCTCAATATAATGTAGGATATGAAGAAATCAAAACTAACGTATTAAATCAATTAAATGGTACTAAATTATCATTAGGAGGGATGTGTTTTGGTAATGGAGTCGGAGTACCTGATTGTGTCATAAATTCATTACAAGATGCATTAAAGTAGTCAAATAAATTATTCTATCTCTGATTGTCTAATTATATGGGAAACCTTTCTGGAATAATCAACTTTCATAGGTTTACTGAAAAATACCATATCTTTTAATTTCTTAAGTGCCATAGCTGCCTCATCACTACTACTGAAAATCACATGAGCTTGACCTCTCATTTTTTTACTTTTAGGTTTAATGATTATATCGATGACATCTCCATAAGCTAAACAAAGTAAATAAAGATTATGTTTTAGGGTATTGGTATTAATCTTATCATTAAGATTATTTATATAAATGGTATGATTTGTTTCAAGTTTCAACTTTTTAGATGGTTTATCCACAGATTCCCTTGTTCTTTTAACCATCACCTGAAAAAAAATTCCTTTCGACCTTTTAATAGCAACTTCCAGTTCTACTAAATCTAATGTATCACAAGTTTCCTTTCAATGTCGCACTGACGATGGGTCAATTTTTTGTAGATACCCTGCCTGTATATAATCAGTCTTGCTCAAAAGATGATTTCGCTCGTTCTCACAAATCACATCAAATCTCCTTTAAACATATTATAACATTGTCATTGAAATTCCTACCAATTAACTAGGATTTAATCATGTCATCATCACAATTGAATGCATCTTTGCTTAGATTGAAATTATTAGATGCTTTAAGAAGTGGTGATACTTCAAAAGTTGATTCAGTTATAAATAGCTTACAAGCCACTAAATCCACTGTTCAAACTAAAGGTATTATAGAAATTAAAGAAACTATATTACATTATGCTGTTCAAGTAGCTCCATTATCTATCATTCAATATTTGGTTCTCAATTCATCAAAACTCAATATTGATATCAATTCACAAGATCAAGATGGTAATACTCCTTTACATTTAGCTGCTGCATCTTCCAGAGGAGAAATTGTTAAATATTTATTATCTTTGAACAATATCAATGACACCACTTTGAACAAAGATAAGAAACAACCAGTTGAATTATGTAAAGATTTGGAGATTGCACAATTGATGCAATTTGAAAGAGCTAAATTTGTTGAAAAACTGGCAAGTTTATTAAGGGATTATTTCACCAAAAGAGATTTACCTAAATTAGAAGATTTATTAGTAAGTAATCCCAGATCAGCTGAATTGTTGGATATCAATGGATCTGATCCTGAAACTGGTTATACTGTTTTACATGAATTCATTTTAAAGAATGATTTACAAATGTGTGATTGGATTTTGAAACATGGAGGTGATCCTTTCAAAAGAGACAAGAAAGGTAAATTACCCATTGACTTGATTCATAATAAAACCGATCCTATTAGAAAATTATTGAAAGTAGCTTCTAAAGAACAAACTATGATGGATCCTGTTGAACCTTCAAACTCCAAGACTGGAAATGCTCCTACTTATAAAGGTTATTTGAAAAAATGGACAAATTTTGCTTCAGGTTATAAGTTAAGATATTTTGTTTTAGACGATAAGGGGATTTTATCATATTATGCTAATCAAGATGATACTAACAATGCTGTTAGAGGTTCACTTAATTTAGGTTTCGCAACATTACACCTAGACTCTTCAGAAAAATTGAAGTTTGAAATCATTGGTAAGAATGGCATTAGATGGCATTTAAGAGCCAACCATCCTATTGAAACCAATAGATGGGTTTGGACTTTACAGAACGCTATCACCATGGCAAAAGACAGATATAAGAAGAGATCTCCTTTACAAGCACAAGTCATTACGTCATCACCATCAGTCAAATCTGAAGCTCCTTCAATTGAAGTCACTGATGATGAATCTCCTACGAGTCCTATAATCAATAGACCAAGTTCGGAATCTACTCGTGAACATAAACGTCATTTATTAGGTTTAGGTAGAAGAAAACACAAGAGAACTGGAAGTCAAATATCTTTAGGGTCTGTTAGTAATGATGAAGATTCAGTCATTTCTAATCCTCCATCCAGATCTAATACTGTGAAAGAAACCTCACCTAAGAATTTAGAAGAAATCAAAGAAAATCAACAATTGAAACCCATCACTACTAATTTCAATACCATGGGAGTTATTCATTCCCAAGTGAATGATCAACAAAGTATTGAGAATGGTACTGCAACTGACAACGAAAATTTCGATTATGATTTAGATGATTTACAAGGAGGTGAAGAAGATTCTGATAATGATTCCGTCACAAGATCTCTGAATAATACTGACATTCAAGATCAAATATCAACAGTTAAAGGATCATTAGAAGTTGAAATCAAATCTTTGTTAGATTTGTTCTCCAATATTTCCAATTCTCCAGAATCTTTAGATACTGAGATTTTCGTCGTGGGTAAAAGCACCTTGGGGTCCATTCAAGATTTATTTGTTAAGTACAATTTATTAATTCAAAGCAAAGATTTCAAAAATCAAAAGATTTTAGAAAGACAATTGGAAGTTAATAAGTTGTGGGAAAATTCTATTCATCAATTAGAAAAAGAAATTGCCAGTAGAGAGCAAAAGTTAGCTCAATATGAAGGGAAACAGAAGAAATTGAAAAAGATCTTTGCTGCGAAGACATCCGGTAATACCACACCTAAATCTGGAAGTAACACAAACTTAAATCAAACCAATGAAATTGAACAATCTAATGAATTAAACATGGAAAGAACTTTGCCTGATACAGTCATCGAGGATATTCTCAATGATAGTGAAGATGAATTCTTTGATGCTGATTCAATGGATGATACTGATGAGTTATTGAATGACGATACTACACATGATAATTTAGTATTAAATGAAGAAATTGATCCTTTAGAAGGCAAAGCCGAAGAACCCGAAACTGTAGAGTCAAGTGATACCAAGTCCAATGCTGTATCAGAGAAAACAGTTGTAGGTACAGGAGCTGGTAAATCAAAAGAGGATGAAGATCAATCCCAAGACGTATCAAAAGACAGCCCACCACAGTACAGTGAAATTTCAAATAGTGGACTTTCTAATCCAGAACAACTAGAAAAAGCCAAATTAATCAATTCTCAAGGATCTTTCCTAGGTTATGAGAACCCTCCCAGGACCAAATTGGCTATGGATGAGGACAACAGACCAAAAGTTGGTTTATGGGGTATTTTGAAATCTATGATTGGTAAGGATATGACGAAAATGACTTTACCTGTATCTTTCAATGAATGTACTTCATTGTTACAAAGATTAGCTGAAGATATCGAATATTCTAATTTATTGGAACAAGCTGCTAGTTTTGATGATTCTGCTTTACGTACTGCTTATGTAGCTACATTTGCCGCTTCAGAATATGCTTCTACTATCGATAGAATTGCTAAGCCTTTTAACCCATTATTAGGTGAGACGTTCGAATATTGTCGTCCTGATAAGAATTATAGATTAATTTCCGAACAAGTGAGTCATCATCCTCCAATCAGTGCATGTAGTGCAGAATCTGTTAAGTGGGATTACTACGGAGAAAACGCTGTGGCTTCACAATTCAAAGGAAGATCTTTTGATTTCAAACATTTAGGTAAAATGTTTGCTGTTGTCAGACCAGATAATGGGGTTATCGACAAAAATGGTAAGAAAGTTTATGAAGAATTATATAGTTGGAAGAAAGTTAATACTTCAGTTGTTGGGATTATTGTTGGTAATCCAACAGTTGATAACTATGGGAAAATGGAAGTCACCAATCATACTACAGGTGATGTTATAGTGGTTGATTTGAAACAAAGAGGTTGGAGAGCTTCTTCAGCTTACCAATTATTTGGTACAGTGGTTGATAAATCAGGTAGAGAAACTTGGACCATTGGTGGTCATTGGAACAGTAAAATATTTGGTAAAAAAGCCAGTCCAAAAGATGCTTCTGATCCAAATAGAAGAGCTTCATTCGCTGAAGCTAGTGGTAAAAGTACTAGCACTGATCCTTTCAGTGGGGGGTCATTCCTTATTTGGCAAGCAGCTCCTAGACCAAAAGTTCCTTTCAACTTAACTTCTTTTGCGGTTACCTTGAACGGACTCGATGCCAACTTGAAGGAATTTGTTGCCCCTACAGATACAAGATTAAGACCTGATCAAAGAGCCATGGAAGATGGTGAATATGATAAAGCATCCGATGAAAAATGGAGATTAGAAGAGAAACAAAGAGCTGCCAGAAAAAATAGAGAACTTAAGAAGGAAACTTACAAACCAGTTTGGTTCGTTAAGAAGAAACATCCTGTTACTGGGGATTCCTACTGGGAATTCCAAGGTAAATACTGGGAATTAAGAAAAGATCGTAAAATGCATGAATGTCCTGACATTTTCTAATATGCCTGCTTTTAGTTGAACGATTAATGATGTCTGCCTTTCATTAGATATGTACTTTTATAGTTTGTTTTATGACATTATATTAGCAGAAAAATGAGTCTCATCTCTCTCTACAATTTCGCAGGCATCTCATCAAAAAAAGATAATGGGGAAGAAGAAATCTAATGCTGTAACAGCAGCCAGACAATTGGAATCCAAAGTATCTCCTATACTTGAAATAAATTACTCAGATCCATTATTTGCCATTGCAGCTCATCCAACAAGACCTATTATTGCCCAAGGATTAGCCACTGGATATGTTTTTTGCAGTCAATATAACGATGAAAAATTAGAAGAGATCCAACAAGCAAGAAGAGAAGAGATCATGGATGAATTGAATACAAATTTCAAGAAAGGGAAGATTTCTCAAGTGGTTAAATCAGTTTCACAAAGTAAGAAAAAGTGGTGGGACATTATTGATGATCATGCTGAATTTGAGAATGCTAACATTTCAACTTTATGGAAAACTAAAAGACATAAAGGATCTTGTAGATCAATTTTATTTGATCCCTTGGAAAATTACCTTGGTGAAAACCTTTATACTGCAGGAACTGATCATATCATCAAAAAAGCCAATACTGAAACAGGTAAAGTTACATCCAAAGGTAATGTTAGTGGTCACTTTCCTGGTAAAAATGAAGCCATAACTAAAATTTGTCATTCAGCTACTCATCCATTTTTATTAGCAGGTACAGAAAATGGACATATTTTAGTTTACGATAGTAGTAATTTAGGTAAGAATGAATTGAAGTTCAAAGTCTCAAATGCTCATGATGATGCAATTAATCATATAATGGCTATGCCTGCAGTTTCAGCTTATCAATATCTTACTTTAGGTTCAACCACCCTTTCACATATTGATATTCGTAAAGGAATAATCACTCAATCTGATGATCAAGAAGATGAATTATTATCCATGTGTTATGCCACTGACCATGTTAATGATAATAAAAATGATACTGTATTGGTTGCTCAAGGAGAAGGAGTGGTTACTATATGGAAAGATTCCAAGAACAAGTTAATGGATCAATTAACTAGAGTCAAAGTTAACAAAGGGGTAAGTATTGATACTATTATACCTACTATGAACAATGAGACCGAAGAAATGACCAATTCTGTTTGGTGTGGTGATAGTGAAGGATTATTACACAGAATCAATTACAAAATTGGAAAGATTGTTGAAACTCGAGTTCATTCTGTCTCTAAAGGTAAATATGGAGCTGTTGACGAAGTAGGGAATTTGGATATTGATTATAATTATAGATTAATTAGTGCCGGTATGGATTCCTTGAAGATTTGGTCAGAACAAACACAAGAAGATGTTATTGAAAGTGAAGATGACAGCGAAGAAGATAGTGCAGATGAAAGCTCAGATGAAGAAGACCTTCCCGGGTTCAGCAGTGATAGTGAAGGGAATGAAGGAAGCGAGGAAGAAGATGGAGAAGAAAGCGAAGTTGAGGGAGAAGGAAGTGAGATTGAAGATGAGGAAAACGATAATGGAGGAGAAGAAGGACAAGAAGGAGGAGAAAGTGAAGACAGCGAAGACAGCGAAGACAGTGAAGACAGTGATAGTGAATCCAATGAAGACACTAAACCTTCAATTATTCGTAAAAAACGTATTATCACTGGAACATCCAAACCTAAAAGAAAGCTCATCGATCTTAACTCCACATCTCAAGAAACTCCAATTGAACCTCAAGAAAAGAAAAAACCTAAATCTAAACAACTCACCAATAAACAATTAAGAAACATGCAACAACATGAACATGGGATTAGGAAATTCGAAGGATTATAGATAAATGGATAAATACATCATTAGTAAAAAGTCACTCTCTCTAACTGCGAAAATCGAGCGTCTTATCAACAATATAAGTTCATCAAATCACGGGTAAAGTATGGAACAACTTCAAACATCTACCGTTGATGATGTGATTTTATCACGGAGAGGGTATTGTATTAAGGGTACATTGTTATTATCAACCTATCATCTTGTATTTACATTTTATCCCAACCCTCAAGATTCCAACCCCAGAGAGATATGGATATGTTATCCGGTGATTGAAAAGATTCATAAACATAGAGGCTCTTCATTATTAGCCAATAAGAACAATGCATTCAATTCTCCTAACAATTTTAATTCCAAAGATAGTAGTTTAGCTAAATCCTATCAAGATAAACAATTTGATCATTATTCAGCTTCTCATATAAGAATTCAATGTAAAGACTTTACATTCTATTCCTTTGATTTTGTCAATGATTTGATATGTAAAGAAGTTTATCAGAAATTAAGTAAGTTCATTACTTTACCCAAAGTAACCAAAGATTTGAGATCTTTCTATGCTTTCAATTATCAATCAAATATGTTAGAATCGAATCTTTCACAAAAAGGTTGGAAAATTTATGATCCGATAAAAGAATATGAAAGACTAGGTCTTATATCATCAGACGAATCATTCTGGAGACTTACAACATTGAATGAAGATTATAAATTATGTCCGTCATATCCTAATACAATCATTGTTCCAGGGCCTATATCTGATAATGTGGTTAAACATGCATCAAAATTTAGATCTAAGCAGAGAATCCCAGCTATCGTTTACAAACACAAACTCAATGTCAATGGGAATGTTATTGCAAGATGTGCACAACCTCTAGTGGGGTTAAATATTCAGAATCGTTCAATTCAAGATGAAAAATTGATTGGTGAAATATTTAAAAGTCAAGAAAGAGAAAGATTAAGTAAAATTGATGAAGAAAATGGATTTGTTGAACAACCCCAAAGAAATTTAATTGTTGATCTTAGACCTTTAACGAATGCCATGGCTCAACATGCTTTAGGTGCTGGTACTGAGAATATTGATAATTATAAAGGTAAACCAAATAATGAGAATGGCACTAATGATAATGAACCAATCAGGCATGTTGATAAGATATTCTGTAATATTGATAATATTCATGTTATGAGAGATTCTTTGAACAAATTAACTTCAGCATTAAATGAACTAGATGATTTCCCTGTTTCTTTAAATGCCGATAATGAACAAATGTCTTACCCTGCATTACAACAAGCATTATCTAAATCACAATGGTTGCATCGACTTTCGATAATCCTACAGTCTGTTGATAGAATAAGCAAATCTGTTCATTTGAATAATACTAATGTTATTATACATTGTTCTGATGGTTGGGATAGGACTTCTCAAGTATCAGCATTACTGCAATTATGTCTTGATCCTTATTATAGAACACTTGAAGGATTCATGATTTTGATCGAGAAGGAATGGTTAAGTTTTGGATTCAAATTCAATTTAAGAGCTGATCACGGGGGATGTATTGGAGCCACTATACCTAGAGTAAATCAAGAAAATGAATTTGATGAAACCACTGATGCTTCTGCTCGAGGAGTTGCTTCTTTCTTACAAAGAGCTGCCAATAAAGCAGCTGTTCATTTGAAAAACACCGCTACTGCTGCAGCCAATGCAGCTTCAGCTGCTTCTAACAATATGAATTCATCTAATATTAATTCTTCCACTCCTAGTTCATCCAATTTCAACCCCAATGAGGAAGGTTTAGAGAACAGTATCTCCGAAACAGAATCAATAGAATCTAATGATCATAAATTCCTTCATTCCAAGACTTATAATGGAAGTAATGATAAATCACCAATTTTCCATCAATTCATTGATTGTGTATTCCAAATTTATAGACAACATCCTTCAATGTTTGAATTTAATAGTAGATTCCTTAAGAGGTTATTCTATCATTACTATTCATGTCAATATGGAACATTTTTATGTGATTCCGAAAGAGCATTGAAACAAGAAAGAATACCTCAATTAACTACTTCAGTATGGGATTATTTCAATTCAAGACCCAATGAATTCATTAATCCAAATTATGATGATTCCAAACAGGAAGTAGTGTTCTTCAATTATAGTGATGTCAAATGGTGGACGGAACTTTATGGAAGATCAGATGAAGAATTAAATGGATTATCTAATTCTCTAGATAGGAAATTTGCCAAGATGAATTTACAAAAGAAATCCAAAAATCAAGACGAATAAGAGATCATGAACCTATAATATAAATATAAATATATACTAATAATCTAATGTATGTTTGATGGGGAAATCATTGATGTTAGGGATGGGGATTTCTGGAATCAAATAAAGTTCACCGTTATCATCGATTCTTTCTCTATCACGTTCTTCCATTTTATAAATTTCTTCGATGTTTTCTCTTAATAAATCGATTAAATCTACCCAACTTTTTTGAATTTGGTAAGCTTGAGGTTTCATTGATCTTTTAATTAAATTATCGATAAGATTAATAGCATCAGGATGGGTTTGATCCATTCTTTCGATTAAACGACCAACAGATTTAATAAGATATTCTTCTTCATAAATAGTACCTTTTCTACCTTTAGCTCTTTTCCTTTCTTCTCTTTTACGATTCTTAGCAGTTTTTCTTGAAGCTCCAGTTTTAGCAGTACCTTGAGTCTTACCAGTATATCTAGTAAAGAATGAGGGATTAGCAGAATATTCTGATGCTGCCACTGACACATTATCTGGAGTATCTAAATCATCATTGGGTATACCATAGAAAGCATAAGGATCTTCTTTCTTTTTAGTTCTTAATTCTCTTAATCTCTTTAATTGTGAATTAACTTGACCTTTGAAATCAGCTAATAACTCAGCTATGGTTCCAAAACCTTCAGATAATTGTTTATCTACCACAGTTTCAATCAATTCAAGTTTCTTATCTTTAGTTGCTAACAAAATTGCCATATTATAATCATATTGTTTACAATATAATTTCATAGCATTTTCTAAATTGTTTAAGAAATTATATTCGATGAATCCAGCATCACTGTATTTATGATCAGCTGTTAAAGATTCGACTAAAGTTTCAGCTGATTCAATCATTTCATCATTAAATTCAACTTTTGAAACAATAGCCATAGCATTTTTCCAATGTTTACCTAAAATATAACAATCTAAAGCATCCTTATCATCACCTAAACTTTCAAAAGTTATACCTGCTTCTTCAAAATTCTTTTCATTACGTAAATATTGAGCAAACATATTCAAAATTTGATTTATTCTTGCATTATCTTGATTATATTGATAAATCTTCAAAGCTTCTTTATATAATTCATGTTTAATCAAATAATCATCAAATTCATCTTGAACTTCAGGTCCTAATTCATATAACCAATTCAAAGCTTTTGAATAATTCTTTAAATGATCATCAATCATGAATTCTTTTCTTTTTGGTGGTTGAATATGTAAGTTTTGAAGGAATGGTAAATATTCTTTTGGATCCTTTTGTGATTGTTGAGCTATTTGTAAAGTTAATTTAACATCATAAAGACTTAAAGCAACATCATAAAGTTTATTCACATCTGATAAGAAACAAAGATGAATAACTGATTGTTCAATTTGTTCAGGTTGAGTAAATGTACCAATTAATTTCAAACCATCAAGTAAATTTGGAGGTTTTTGGCAAGCATAAGCTGTTAAAACAGTTTGTAAATATTTACTCAAATATTCAGGTTTTAATAATATGGAAAGAATTCCATTACAGATTTTATTAACTTTGGAATCTTTATTATAGATATTTCTATCTTTATTGATAATAATTTTCTTATTATCGAGGGATGGATCGGTTTTAACTACCAAAGGTTTGACTTCAGGAACGGAGGTATCAATTTTACCATCAGCTTCTTTGAAAGTATCTTTGTATTTGGTTGATGTGACATCTTCTTCGTGTAATCCTGATAAGAATAAATCCAAGTAATCAATTCTGGATATTTGATTAACGAAATTTTCTAAATTGTTAAAGAAAAGTTCTTTATCAAAATCATGTAAAAGATCTAAATCAATTCTGTGGACTCTACAAGCAATGAAAGCATCATAGAATTTCTTCTGTTGAATGAATTTACGTACACCTGCTAAAACCATGATTCTAGGACAAATGGTTTCCAAATTACCTCTTTGAGCTTGTAATACAACTTGATAAGTAGATGGAATTGCTGAGATCAATATAGATCCTCTTTCAATGTATCTGATTCTTTCATCAACTTGAGCATCACCTTGATCATTTTGGAAAATGTCATATTGATAATTATCTGAAGCAGAATTGATGTGAATGAAACAAAGTTTGGATTGAACAGTGGTGAAAAGGAGGTGTGATTCAGTGACTTTAATAGATGTAACACCAACAGCTACTTGAACATCATTGGCAAACAATTTCCCGGTATCAGTAATACCGAAGGCAGTTAATTTACCTTCATTTTCTTCATTTCTTACCACTTCGAAATCTCTACATAATTGGGGGAATTGAGTGATCTCGGTTTCATTTAATTCAGCATCCAATTGAGTTACAGTCTTATCAATGTGTTCCACAATTAATGAATTGAAATCAGCGGAGGATTTTAACAAAACAGCTTTATTTGGTAATTGAATGGCAGAAATGAATTGAGGATCTTCTAAATTTGTGATATCGAAAGCCATTATGGATGAACAGTCTTCAGCATCAACTAATATAGCTAAAATGGAGTCACCTAAAATGGCAGTTTGTTTAACAAACTCATCAGATAAAATGAATTCTGATTGTTTGATGACAGATTTGATTTTCGGTTGTTTAGTCTTTACTTTATTAAGTTTCATATAACCAATGTGAATATTACCTTCGGAAGTTAAAAGGGAGAAGATTTCATTGGATTTACTTACTGCTAAATCATTGATATTCTCATTAATCTCCAATTCTCTGAAACTTACTGGAGGTGGAACATTAGCAATCCCTAAAGGTGTAATTTTAACTTCACTTCCATCAGTAACTAAAGTCATACCAACATCATTTCCTATTTGAGTAGGTCCACTTACAATTTTATGAGCTAAATCGACAATTTCAACACCTTGTCTGGAAGTACCGATTAAAAATTGTTGAGGTTTTTCAGGATGGAATTTAATGAATTCAACTTGATTCAAAGGATCAACCTTATTAACAAAAATTTCTGATTTTAAATACCAATGGAAATTCTTAGTTGTCCATAATTGAATTCTATCAAATAATTGAATGGCTAAAATCTCTGAATCACATGACCATTGAATATCTTGGATGATTTCAGTTTCTGGGTTTAATCTAGAATTAAATTCATAACGTTTTAAACCATTTCTTTCGAAGAAAATAACATCTAAAACTGGTTCCCCTTCTTCATCTAAATGTCTCCAAGAAGATGCAATAACAGCACCTGTTGGTTTCCATGCTAAATTGAATTCTAACCCATCATATGCTTCGGAAACGGATTCTAATTCTCCATGTCTACTGAAAACTCTTAAAACTCTTCTTTGATTTTCATCAACAGTGGTTTCACCATTAGTTTCTTCAATTATCACTGATTCTCTGGTATTAACACTGAAACATTCACAATCAGCTCTCCAACTAATCTTTACTTCATTATTATCGAAATCTGATACTTTACCATCTTGAGGGGCGAGAACAGTTGGATCTCTTAAAGGTGATGATTCATCTTTTAAATCAAGTCCAGCATTTTGTAATAAAAGTTTTTCTCTTTCCATAGCTCTGGCACCTTTACCTCTAAATTGAGTTTCGGCTTTACCCCAACCAACAGAAACATGTTTGGATCTACTAACTTTGATATCATCAGGATTCAATATTTTTTCAGCTATTGGATCAAAGGATCTAGATAATAACAACATTTTGTTTTCTTTGGTGATCAAAGCTAACGTTTCATCATCGGGTGACCAACTAGCTGCTTTCAATCCCACATCTATAGATCCAACGATTTCAATAATTGATTGATCAGGATCATTAGATAATGCATCATAAGTAATTTGAACTATATCACCATTATCATAGGTTAAGATGATTTGACAAGTATCTACAAAATGACTCAATGATAAGACTTTACTGTCGGTTTGTGATAATGGGAAATTAGCTAATAAATTAATTTCTCCTGTTCTTTTGTGTTGTTGGATTTCTACAATACCTTCATTATATAAATGGAGAATAAAAATCAACGAATTAGTTACTACATCAAAAATTGTATCATATTGAAACGAACCTGGTTCTAGGTCTGGATAATATTGAGATTCAGGAACAATATTCCCTTTATTAAGTATTACCAAGTTTCTCATAGCTAAAAGCTCATCGATTAAAAAATTTGAGACTCATCGCGACAATCAATTGCAGCCAACGATTGGGAACCAATTGCAAATAACATGGGGACATAAAGAGCCAGAGTCTGGGTAAGACGAATAGATAGGGGAGTGTGTCATGTTTAATCATATATAAATAAGTACTTAAACCAGGTCGTTGATGAAAGTATTAACGGAGTTTTTTATGGCTAAATTGGGATACAAGTCATTTGGGTGCAAACTATTTCTCGTTAATGGATCAAATTGTCCATTCTTATTCAAATGTTCTAATATAATGGCTTTTTCATAAGTAATCCCACTTGGGGTTATAACGGGATCTTTGAAAAGTTCATATGTTAAAGGATCAATTAATTCTTCTGGGGCTTCTTCATCTTTATTATCACTGTTTCGACTTCCCATACTATTTTTGCGGCTTCTATCTTTGACCAAACCATTGTGATAATTGTTTTGTAAGATCATAAAGAAGTCATCTAACTCTTCCAAGAATCTCTTATATAATTGTAGTAAGTTCTTGTAATAATCATTGGTGAAATTGTGTTTGTACTTACATTTAAGGTTGTTCAATTCTGATGATTGATTATTTTCAATAAGTTTGAAGATTTTATAATAAAAGGAATTGCTTTGAAATATTCCAGTTTTCCCATTAAAGGTTTTTATTTGTTGCTTTACCAATTGAATATCATTATAGACATATTCGCTTATGACGGAAGGTGTCCCTTTAACTGTCTTCTTAGTCTCAGGAGTTGGACTGGGACTGGGTGATAGTCTTGAAAATAATGAATTATTAAGAAAGTCCATGATATTTTTCTGAAGTAGCTGGTCACGATATATTTATAGGAGTCGTAAATTGACACCATGTAAATCAAGATCAATATTTAGCAAAAGTCAAATAAGCGAGGTTCATAACCTAGATTTGTCAGTAGTCTTTTAGCTAGACTTTGTGAGGTTTAGTAATGATGGGATGGCCTAGAAATAGGTCTAGAGTATCTGGGAGAGTATTTCCGAAGGTAATGAAGGTGTTTAGAACCTAGAGGATGAAGTGGATGTTCTCGAATGTGTTTACCTCATAATTATGTCATAACTGTTGGAGTATCGACGTAAAATCTTATGTACATGAAAATATTTTTGGATAACGTTCAACTTCGGCTGTATTTCAAAGGATGACGACAATTCCCCAAGGTTTAGGGGCAGATGGCTGGCAACGAACAGTTCTCTAGTCAAGGGTATTCCAATTCACGTTACCATATTCAAGTCATTAGCAAATATATCTTAATCACTCATATCGAGACTTTGCTCTACATGCCTATTACATAATCTTGCGTTTTGTTATTCAGCAATGTTTTTGTAGTAGTGAACGACCTATTAGCCGAAACCATAGATCCCGTGATCAGAGAAATGATGGTAAGTTTTGATAGTAAGTCGTTGCTCTCAATGTAAAGAAAATATATAAGCTGGTAGATGAACTCGTCAATCAATGTTCTTCACCATAATAAAAGGTTCTTATACCAAGGCTTTGTTGGTCATTGATATAGAGGGTTGTTTACATTATGCTTCGTTAGGTAATCATGATACTATGCTAAAGAGTGAAATGTATCAGTATTTCAGGAAATTGAAAATTCCCATAGATTCTGTTCCAGATCCTGTTCCTCCAAAGGTCGAAACTACCATCCGGTGTTATGATCAAGTATTAGAAAGTCCTCTTATTCCTGTAGATATCAAAGTCAAATTAAGAGGTACTCCGTTACAATTAAAGGTCTGGAAACAATTGATGAGAACATCAAATACTCTCTCGTATAAGGAATTGGCCAACCAAGTAGGTTCGAACGGTATCAGAGCCGTAGCCAGTGCTGTAGGAGCCAATAAAATTGCCATTATAGTACCTTGCCATAGAGTACTAAATTCCAAAGGAAAGAATACTGGTTACCGGTGGGGAATGCCCATTAAAGATAAACTTCTACAATTAGAACGAGTTCTGGTCTAAGATTTGAATTCCCATTCCACCCCTATTGTTCATACCATCATTAGCTTTCTTGAAAAACACAGTAATCATTTGTTTCTTGTTCTCTCTCCATCTCTGGTGTGTCTGATCTTCTCACTCAATCTTCTCACAAATCTCAATCTCATCGACACTATGGGGGTTCCAGCATTTTTCAGATGGTTATCCAGAAAATACCCTAAAATCATAACGCCAGTTATCGAAGAGACTCAGGGAATAGATGAGTTTGGTGGTCCCAATTATAATGATCCGAATCCTAACGGAGAAATAGATAATTTATATCTAGATATGAATGGTATTGTCCATCCATGTACTCATCCCGAACATAAACCACCACCAGAAACCGAAGATGAAATGTTATTAGATGTATTTCAATATACTGAAAGAGTTCTTATGATGGCCAGACCAAGAAAAGTTTTAATGATGGCTGTTGATGGAGTAGCGCCTAGAGCTAAAATGAATCAACAGCGTGCTAGAAGATTTAGAGCAGCTCAAGATGCAAAGATAGCTGCTGAAACAAGAGAACAAGAATTAAGAGAAAGAGAATTGAGAGGTGAAATGATTGAACAAGCCATCAAAGGTAAGAAATCTTGGGATACCAATGCTATTACTCCAGGTACACCATTCATGGATAAGTTGGGTCAAGCTTTGAAATATTGGGTAGCTTATAAGATGAGTAATGATCCTGGTTGGAAAGATTTACAAGTCATCATTAGTGACTCTTCAGTACCAGGAGAAGGGGAACATAAATTGATGAATTTCATCAGATCTCAAAGAACTGATCCTCAATATGATCCAAATACTAAACATTGTATCTATGGATTGGATGCTGATTTGATTTTCTTGGGTTTAGCTACTCATGAGCCTCATTTCAGAGTTTTAAGAGAAGACGTGTTTGCTAATCAATCTAGAAGATTAAATCATAGTGAAAAAATGAACATGACAGAAGAAGATAAAGAATTGATCAAACAACAAGATGCTCAAAAGCCATTTTTATGGTTACATATTAATGTTTTGAGGGAATATTTAGCAGTAGAGTTATTTAATCCTAAATTACCTTTTGCTTTTGATGTTGAAAGAGCTATAGATGATTGGATTTTCATGTGTTTCTTCGTGGGTAATGATTTCCTACCTCACATTGCAAGTTTGGATGTTAGGGATAATGGTATTGAAACTTTGGTTGGTTGTTGGAAAAAAGTGTTACCTAATTTACCTAATTATGTGACTTGTGATGGTAATTTGAACTTAAAATCCGTCATTAAGTTAATGAACGAATTAGGTTCTAAGGAAGATGATATATTCAAGAAAAGATATGAAGTTGAAAGAAGAAGGGAAGAAAATCAAAAACGTAGAAGAAACTGGGAAGAACAAGAAAAGACAGTTAGAAATCATTTCTTACCTACCTTAACTAAAGGTAAAGATAAAGCACCTATAGTTGCGGACACTTCAATGCCTTTGATGTCCACATCAGGAGAGATTGTTGAAGGATATGCCAAATTTTCTAACAGTGATATTGTCAATAACTTATCTACCATCAACAAAGCTAATCAAGCTAATGCTGATGCAGCTGAAAGATTAAAACATTTAATAGCTACCAAGAATAATCCAAGTGCTGTTGAAGCTGTGAAAGCCATGGAAAATCCTAAGAAAAGAAAACTCGACGAATCATCAGAGAGTGAATCTGAACCAATTGTTTTGAATAAACCTAGTGAATCAGAGACCGAAAAAGAAACCGATAAAGAAACTGAGGTTGAAGATGATATCAGAAACTGGGAAGCTGGTTATAATAAACGTTATTATCAATTAAAATTCCATATAAAGACTGATGAAGAAGTAGAAGAACAACGTAGAACCGTGGCTTACCATTATTTAGAAGGGATTTCATGGGTTTTATTATATTATTATCAAGGATGTCCTTCATGGCAATGGTATTTCCCATATCATTACGCTCCTTTTGCTCAAGATTTCCAACACGTCGATGAATCTATCTTAGAAAAGGGTATCACTTTCACTAAAGATAAACCTTTCAGACCTTTTGAACAATTGATGTCAGTTATGCCTGCCGCTTCAAGTCATACTTTACCTGATGGATTTGAACCTTTAATGAAAGATGATGATTCTCCAATTATTGATTTCTATCCTGAAGATTTTGAGATCGATATGAATGGTGCTAAGATGGCCTGGCAAGGTATCCCTTTATTACCATTCATTGATGAGAATAGATTATTGAAAGCTGTAGAAAAAGTCTACGCTACATTGACTCCTGAGGAAATTAATAGAAATACTTTAAAAGATGATGTATTATTTATATCTTGTCAAAACAAACATTTCACCAATTTCACCAGTCTTTACAAGGACGAAAATATCAAAGAGATCAAATTCAGAGGTGGTAAAACGGGGATCTCAGGTACTGTTCAACCAAGTGAAGGATTTGATATCGAGGGAGTTTTCAAGTTTCCGTTAAAAGAAGGAGAATTACCAGATTTGAATAATAATGAATACTTACAAATGATGTACCATATGCCACCAAGATTGATGATTGGTAAGTCGATGTTATTGAATGGTTATATTTCTCATACTCCCGCATTACAACAAAGTGATATTGATGGAATAATGTATGGAAGTCAAAAGAGATTCAGAAGTCCTAATGATAACAGAGATTATGTCAATAACGGACCCCAAGGAAAGAAAGTGTTCATGATGTATGGAAGTAGAAAAGGGGGATATAGAGCGATGATGGTCAACAAGGAGAAATCTCAAGGGTACCAAGGTAATCAAGGTAATTATAACCAAAACCGCAACCAGAACTACAATCAAGGGAACTATAACCAGAACTATCAAGGAAACCATAACAATTATAATCAAGGTTATAATCAGAACTATAATCAAGGTTACAATCAGAACTATAACCAAAACTATAACCAGAACTATAACCAAAATTATAACCAAAATTATAACAAGAACTACAACCAGAACTACAACCAGAACTACAACCAGAATCAAAGAAATGGATATAACCAGAATCAAGGGTATCAGAACCAATATCAGAATCAAGGATATAATCAAGGATATAACCAAGGTTATAATCAGGGAAATAATCAAGGATATCAAGGGCAATATCAAAATCAAAATGGTAACGGTCAATACAATCAACAATACGGAAATAACCAATATGGCAATGGCCAGGACAGAAGTCGTAACGGTTATAGATAAGCCACCACCCTATATAAGTTTATGCACCATGGAATAATCCGGTGATTGAACCTGGAGATTAAAGTCCGATAGGATCACAGGTAATCAAAATCCGAAAGGTTTAAAATCCGAAAAGCTCTATAGTCTCCTATTGATCACAAGATGAATTCGAAGGGACTATGTAAGACTAAACCTTAAAAAATAATTCCTTACTCCATAATTACCCTTTTAATGAATGAAATATATAAATTTTAAGACATTATAAAATCATCCCACTCAAACAAAAAAATCGTTCGACTCGTAAAAACTCGGATAAGGACGAAAGTAACACCATTTTCGCACTACAAAATTGCTCTGTAAACACAGAAATGGTACTACCTTCGCAGTAAAAAAAGCTGATTTTAGGGAAAAATCGCATTAAAATGGACCAGGAAAAAGAAATCCCATGGTTATGAAATCCATGATGCAAAACTCACCAGATTTTTAACATCCGATTTGTTTAATTTATAAACCTGATATTTTCTCTTAAATTTTTTCTCTATAATATACCTTGCATAAAACATATAAATACTACTAATAACTTACCCCAGAAATAATAAATAATGACATTACATGTATTACCCATAATTGAAAATGATTTCAATAAAACACCTATTGTTCCAAATTTCAAATTTAATCCTAATAAAACTTTGAATGGTCTTTATCTTAATGAAAATTATCAGTTCGTTAAGAAAATAGGTGCAGGCACTTATGGTTTAATATATCTTGTAAGAGATGTTTTAACTGATAAGAAATATGCTGCGAAAATAATCTTAAAGGAACAAGTAGGAACTTTACATCAAAGAGATATTGAAAACTACAAGAAATTCATTTGTGAAAAGATTTATTATGAATTCATAAATAAGAGAATAACTCTCGAAGAGTTAAATTTAGATTTAATAAGAGATAATGGAAATAATATATCATACTTGAAAGAATTATCCATACATTTGAAAGTTCATCAACATCCTAATGTTGTAACTATTCATAAAGTTTATAACTTTGATGTTGGTATCATAACATTAATGGATTATTATGAACAAGGAGATTTATTTAAGAATATTGTCGATAATCAAATCTTTGATGATAATGTTTTAATGATGAAAAATTGTATCTTACAGATCATAAATATTATAAATTATATGAAACAATGCAATGTTTATCATTGTGATTTAAAACCTGAGAATATAATGGTTAGATATAATTTGAATTATCAAAGAAATGAAAATGATGATATAATTAATTTCAAAGAATTACAAATTGGTATTATAGATTTTGGTTTATCCATTGAAGATAGTTTAATCTGTTGTAATAGTTGTAGAGGATCAAGTTTTTACATGGCACCTGAAAGAATTGTTAATTACACTAAGAATGACTATATCCATTCAATTATGGATTTAAATGAATATAGCAAAAGAGAAGATGATTTAATGTATTTCCCAACATTAAAAGGTGATATTTGGTCAATTGGAATCTTAATCATTAATATTACTTGTGCAAGAAATCCTTGGCCAAATAGTTCAATTGTACCAAATAATAATGATGTCTTTCAAACTTACATTTACAATAATAAATCAATTTTAAAGAAGATATTACCAATTTCAATGGAATTTAATTCCTTATTAAATAAGATATTTAAATTAAATCCTAATGAAAGGGTTGATTTAAAACAATTATACAATGATATAATTAATGTGGATTTCTTCCACGATAGATTGTTGACTCCTCCTGAGTCCCCAAGAAGTATATAATGAATAATGATAGATGGTTAATGAATATAAACAATATAATTTTAAATCCTTTAAATTCTCTTCTGGTGTACGGGTGCGATCAAAGTGCGGTCTACGGCTCCGATCGTGGTTTAAGCGGATTATTTAAATACATGGAATACCCATTAATTTATGATGATCAATTGATCATTGGTGTTAAGTCAGACGATGGATATTCTCTTAAATATGAATCCAATGATGATGTTAAGTTAAATCTTGAGATCTTCAATCAGAAGAAAACAATTGTTATAGATTCTAGTAATTCTGGTACTGGTAGACTCAAACGAGATATTTATAATCCAATACTTAAAGTCTTATTAGAAAAGTACAATGTACAACATGATTATCATTATACTGAATCTGCTGATAGTATTTCACAAATTGCAAGAAATTTACCTTCAGGAAATTTATTAGTATTAATAATCAGTGGTGATACTTCAGTTAATGAATTCTTGAATTCACTTAGTGGGGAAGGTGGTGAACTAACCATAGTTAACATTCCCTTTGGTACAGGTAATAGTTTGGCATTGTCCTTAGAGGATAATGAATTAACAGCTATTGCAAAATTATTCACCCTGACTCCAGTGCATGAATTCAACTTATATGATATTTCGTTACCTCCCAATTGTTGGGAATTGAAACAATCTGCTAGGGTCAAACAAATGCCAACAAGTTATAAATTTATTGTAGTATTTTCATGGGGATTTCATGCGTCTTTGGTTGCTGATAGTGATACCCCAGAGTTAAGAAAATTCGGATTAGAGAGATTTAAGATGGCTGCAATGAAGAACTTACAATCTCCTCATCAATACCCGGGATCAACCTTTATCGACAAGGAAGAATACGGAGGTCCTTACAATTATTGGTTAATTACTCCATCAAGAAAATTCGAACCCACTTTTGAAATCTCCCCCGATGGGTCAATCTTCGATGATTCCTTGTTTTTGATTTCTTTTGGTGTGAGTGTAGACACCATGTCCGTAATGCAACAAGTGTACGACAAGGGAAATCACATCAAGAATCCCGATGTTATTTACAATAAAGTTCAAAATCAAGAAATCATTTTAAAGTTTGAAAATTTACCTAGCGACGTCAGGAGATTTTGTATTGACGGATTGATTATTGAAGTACCACCATCAGGAGAGATTAAACTCAAATCTACTGGTAATACCATCAATAATTGGAATATCTTTATTATGTGATATTGAAATTTCTTGTACGGTTATTTTACCGGTGTTTGCCCCGCGCTCCATTGACATACCAAGAATTTTGTACGAAGCGGTATCCTGACAATCTCCGAAATCTAATGGATCTAATGATACAATAGGTGGACTGAGACCCAATAAAAAATGGGGTAAATGGGGTAACCAACTTCAATATAGTTATCAAATTCAAATGCAAAACGATCAGAAATTGTTGAAAAAAAAATTCCTAAATTTTGGGGAGGTTTTCGAGACTTTTTGACATCCCGGGTTTTGTGGGGGGGATTAGTGACATTGACATTTTTGAAAAATATTCCGTCATTCACTACCTAATAGGTAAAATTACTCGGCCTGGGTACTTTTAACCGGGTTTATTCGAATAAAGTATTCTTGGCTGGTTAGCAAATAACATCCTTCTTAATGTGAATTACGAAATTCTGGGGTCAATAGAATAGAACTTCTTAAATAATTCGGCTACCAATCGCTTATTTAACAACTAAGCAGATTATGTTAAATTTTATGATTTAAAATTTTCGTTATTAATGTGATGGAAATATGAAGATTTGCAAAAGCAGGAACAATAACTAGGGTGCTAGTACGGCTTGGGATGGGGCGATCTTTTTTGATTGAAAAATCGATATTTTTTGCCAAGATCGAATTTTTTTGTCCCTCTACCAACTCCACCAATCTTTAGTACTTTATTACCTATGGAATAACAAATCCCAGATGATTTAGGAAAAAGCTTGGTAGTCCGAGTATTGTTCTCCACATTATAACTTTTATATGCATTTCACTAGGATATTTAAGTAACAAGAATTCTGGAGTATCTCTTAATTATTCTGTCAAATTTCGGAGTTTTAACTTTTCTTGAATTGCCAGGAAAAAGTATTTGCAATAATGACAGTTACAGAAATAGAAAAAGATCTTAAGGTCAATAATAATGATCAAAAATCTGAAGAAAATGTAGAATATTTGGAACCTGAAAAGCCAAAGTTCTCTTGGAGAGTTGTTGATAATCATTCACCTCCAGAAATTTATAACTGGACTTTATATATGAGTATCTTTGTTTTCGGAATCTTGGGTGCTGCTAGAGGTTTAGATGAAGCTAATTCTGCTGGTATTGCTGTTCAAAAATCATTCAGAGATCAGTTTGGTTTAAATGATCCTAACAAATCAGTTCATGAAATAGCTGACTTGAAGTCGAATATCACCGCTATGGTCCAATTGGGAAGTATTGGTGGGGCCGTGATTGCCAGTTTCTTAGTTGATTGGGTTGGTAGAGTCAGAAGTATGCAAATTGTTTGTGTATGTTGGATCGTAGCTGTTATTATTCAAATTACTAGTAGAACTTTAGGTCAATTATATGTCGGTAGATTGTTAGAAGGTTTATTGGCTATTGGTTTAACCACCACCATTGGTCCTACCTATATTTCCGAAGTTACACCAAAAGCTATCAGAGGTATGGCTGGTTGTATCTTTGCTGGTGCAGTTTATTTAGGTATTATGTTGAGTTACTTTGCCCATTATGGTACTGCCGTTCACATTTCTCAAGATTCAAACACTCAATGGATCATTCCAAATACTTTAAAAATTGTGTTTGCTGGTCTTATATTCATTTTATCCATCTTTTTCTGTGTTGAAAGTCCAAGATGGTATATCAAGGTTGGTAAAAATGAAACTGCTGTTAAGGCTTTGAGTAAATTAAGACATTTACCTGAAACCCATCCATTCTTAATTGGGGAAATCACCGATATCACTGAACAAGTCGAATTTGAAAAAAGAGCAAAAGAAGGTAACACTTTATGGGGACTTACATTACAATTAGTTAGAACCAAATCCATGCGTTACAGATTTTTCATGTTATCAGCTATGATCCACGTTTTAGGTCAATGGTCAGGTGCTAATTCTGTTACTATTTATGCTCCAGAATTATTTGGTTTATCAGGTATTAAAGGGGTTGAAACTTTGAAAATGACTGCTGTTTTGGGTGTCGTTAAATTCATTGGTGCTTATATCTCAGCCTTCTTTATCATTGATTTCTTAGGAAGAAGAAAAGCCCTTTATATTGGTATCTCTCTCCAAATGATGGCCCTTTTGTTCTTCGCTTTGTTCTTGTTATTAGTTCCAGAAGCTGCACATGAAGGTGAACAAGCTTCAGATTTATCACCATCTCAATTACATGCTTCTAAAGCTGCTATGGCAGCCATTTACATTTCTGGTCTTGGTTGGGTTACTGGTTTTAACTCAATGCAATATTTAATCGGTTCAGAAATTTTCCCTATTAATATGAGATCCTTTGCTCAATCCATTACTATGGTTGTTCATTTTGCTAATCAATACGGTAATTCTAAAGCCCTTCCAAAGATGTTATTAACTTTACAACCTTATGGAACGTTTTTCTTCTTCGTAGGAGTTAATTTCCTTGCTTTGACATGGGCCTGGTTCTGTATTCCTGAAGTCAGTGGTAGATCTTTGGAAAGTATGGAAGAATTATTCAACTTACCATGGTATCTCATTGGTAGAAGAGGTCATATCTTATGTCCAGATCATTCAGAGGTTAACAAAATCGATTACTCTAAAGGAAAATTCAGATATTTGGACAAACCTGAAACTGAAATGCACGAAAACGCTTCTAAAGCAAGTGATGATAAGGAAGATGATTAAATTATTGAATGTATTTTTTTGATTTATCCACACTCTGATAAAGCTCTTTCGATAACAACGGCTGATAAGAACTTCTAATGTAAGTATGTCTGTTTAAAAGCGGCAATCGTGCATAATATCATATTATATTTCAATACGGAGGTTGCGAAAGTTAAACCTTAAAACAAAGCATTATATCGCGATTGAAGACCTAAAAATCCAATGACCCTGGAAATTAAGGTTACAACAATTAAGGTTAGAATAATCAAGGTTAGATTTCTCCATCGTCTCCACAAATAAGACCAACAATTTTTCGTGGAGAAAACTCATCATATCCATAACCTGCGATATCTTGATTTCGGACTATACTGTAGAATGTCGCATCCCGTATAATTTCGAATTCCGCTGTTTTCCTCATCTCGCATGCAACCGAATTGGTTTATGAATATTAAACTATTGAAAGTTTCAGAGCAATAAAGAACCACAAGGCTTAAATAAATATTTGAGTTGCCCTCTGAACCAGGCTGAAAAGCTAGTAGTTTTTGAAATTCCAACTGTGTTGAAAGTTTAATCAATGCATCACACTATGTAAAAACTTCCACTTCGGTGTACTTAACCGCATCCCGGGCCCATTTGTGGGGGGTGGGAGAAATCCTAAAATGTTCAAAACTGGAGGAGAAAAGATTTTGGAATTTCATTCTACAATAGATGCTTCACCTTGTGCCATATCTTTGACTTCAGATTTTCAATCAGGTCTAAACATTGAGATTATGATTGCCATGTTGATTACTGGCTTATTTCTTCCGGATTTAGCATCTCAAACAAACTTCTTCCTAACAAAACCGCCCCACCAAGCTTTTTTCTACCCCTCCTCAATTTTTTTTTATGCAAAGTGACGTGGAAACACACTAGCTCACCATTCCGTTGTAGATTGTTCACCAAAATTTTCTGTTTCGGGATTTACACCCAATAATATTGTACACAATTCGATAACGCAATGTATACTTCGGAATGATAGTCCATGAATTTTCCCCACATTTCTTTTTCTCTGTTTCTGCCCTATATAAGTTTTTATTTCTTCCAAGAATTTTTTAACGTTATATTTCAATTTTGACATACCAAGAAAATATGGAAATCCAAGAAAGTCAAATTAAGAAAACTGTCAAAACTGAAGATATTGAGAAGAATGTTGAATACTTAGAACCTGAAAAACCAAGGTTTTCATGGAAAATAGTTGATAACCATTCACCTCCAGAAATTTATAACTGGACTTTATACATGAGTATTTTTGTATTTGGTATTTTAGGTGCTGCTAGAGGTTTAGATGAAGGTAACGCTGCTGGTATTTCAGTTCAACCATCATTTCAAAACCAATTTGGTTTAAATGATCCAACCAAAAGTGCTGATGAATTAGCCAATTTAAAATCAAACATTAAAGCTATGGTTCAAGTTGGTAGTATTGGTGGTGCTATTATCGCAACTTTCTTAGTTGATTGGGTTGGTAGAGTTAGAAGTATGCAACTTGTTTGTATTGGATGGGCTGTTTCCGTTATCATTCAAATGACAAGTAAATCAGTTGGTCAATTATATGCGGGTAGATTGTTAGAAGGTATATTAGCTGTTGGTTTAACCACTACTGTGGGACCAACTTATATTTCAGAAGTTACTCCAAAAGCTATTAGAGGTTTAACCAATTGTATTTTTGCTGGTGCTGTCTATTTAGGGGTCATGTTGAGTTATTTAGCTAATTATGGTACTGCTGTTAATATTGCCCCAACCAATAACGCCCAATGGCTTCTTCCTACTTCTATCAAATTGATGTTTGCTGTTCTTATTTTCCTTTTATCTTTCCCATTCTGTGTTGAAAGTCCAAGATGGTATATAAAAGTTGGCAAAACTGATGACGCTGTTAAAGCTTTAACTAAATTAAGAAAATTATCTCCAACTCACCCTTATTTAATTGGTGAAATTGCTGATATTACTGAACAAGTTGAACAAGAAAAAGCCGCTAGAGCTGGTACCACCATGTGGGGTTTGAGTTATGAACTTATCAGATCACCATCATTAGCTTATAGATTTTTTGTTTTATGTGCTTTGATTCAACTTTTAGGTCAATGGTCAGGTGCCAATTCTGTTACTATTTATGCTCCAGAATTATTTGGTTTATCAGGTATTAAAGGTGTTGAAACTTTAAAAATGACTGCTATTTTGGGGGTTGTTAAATTCGTTTGTGCATACTTTTCAGCTTTCTTTGTCATTGATTTCTTAGGTAGAAGAAAAGCTTTATATTTGGGTATTTCAATTCAATTGGTATCATTATTAATCTTTGCTTTATTCTTAGTTATTGTTCCTGAAGCTGCTGAAACTGAAGATTCTTCTGAATTAACTCCTTCTCAATTAAGAGCTTCAAAATTAGCTATGGCTGCTATTTATACCAGTGGTATTGGTTGGGTTTCTGGTTTCAACTCAATGCAATATTTAATTGGTTCAGAAGTTTTCCCCTTACATATTAGATCTTTTGCTCAATCTTTAATTATGGTGTTACATTTTGCTAATCAATATGGTAATTCCAAGGCTCTTCCAAAGATGTTATTGACTATGAAACCTTATGGTACATTCTTTTTCTTTGTTGCTGTCAATGCTATCTCCCTTGCTTGGGCTTGGTTTTTTATTCCTGAAGTTAGTGGTAGATCTTTGGAAAGTATGGAAGAATTATTCAGCTTACCATGGTACCAAATTGGTAGAAAAGGTCATATCTTATGTCCAGATCATTCAGAAGTTAACAAGATTGATTATTCTAAGGGCAAGTTTAGATACTTAGAAAAACCTGAAACTGAAATGATTGAAAATGCCTCAAGAGTTAGTGAAGATAAAGATGAAGATTAATTTATTTAGGTAATGATGATAATTTATTATGAGTTCCCTCTATTTATCTCTAGAGTTTGAAAGTTCTGAATTGTACAATATTAACTTCTATTAAAAAAATCTATCTATAAAATTATCCATATTAATTTGATGAAGTTGAACTGAGTTCATTACTTTGGATAGCTTCATCTTCTTTTTCATTGACAGTGTCTCTTGATTTGACAGCTTCTGGGATATCATCAGCATTTGATGAATTGTAAAGGTAAATACCATTTTCAATAGCTTTACTCTTTTCATTACGTTTATATAAGTAAAGAACACCAAAAGTCCATAAAATCAAAGTAGCAGCTGAACAAGCAGTGAAAGTAAAACCTTTGAAATAGGTTGGAGCATCAACGGTTTTCCATACAATAACAGCCATAAAAGCAGTAGTACTTTGAGCAATAGCATTAATAATAATTAAAACAATTGAACGTTTTCTTTGATCTCTTCTACAAATATCCCCTTGCCATGAATAAACAACTGGAGCACAAGCCCAACCGAAATATTGTAAACACCAAGCAAACCATTTGGTTGATTCATTGACATCCCAAACAGCTAAGATAGCGTTACCGGTGATGTTAAAGATTTGAGATCCAAGAATAGCACCCCATCTTGAATGGAAAGAATCAGCAAATGTACAAGTGACAAATAACCAAATTAAACCTAAACCTGGAGTTAAAGCTGATCTGTCTTGTAAAGTACCACCAGAATAACGAGGAGTAGTTACACCATTTTTGTCGGTTGAAGTTAATGATTTTAACCATAAAATATATGAACCACTTGAAGCATTTGAATTGTTCCATAAGAAAATATTCCAGAATGACAAAACGTAAATTTCCCAAGTTGATAAAATATCTTTCCATAATTTCAAATCAATAATATCTTTGAAATCATATTTATGTTTGGAACTAACGTTGTTCTTTTGTAATCTTCTTCTGGCTAATTTAATTTCTTCATCAGTTAAGAAGATAGAATAACAATTGGTTGGAGTACCTGGAATTGAGAAAATACCAATAAGACCAACAGCTAATGAGATTAAACCATCAATAATGAAAATCCATTGCCATGATTGTAAACCACCAACATTATCTAAGTTTCTAACAATAGCACCTGATAAAAGACCTGAAGTTAAAACCCCTAAATATTGACCAAAGTAGAAAATCATAGCTCTTCTTGAAAGTTCGTCGGCGGTGAACCATGAACCAAAAAGGAAATGATATGAATAATAAGCTTGAGATTCTAAAGCACCAATTAAGAATCTTAAACCTTTCAAAGTAGAAACATTGGTGGTTTTGTATAAACAAATAGTAACGATAGACCAAGCAATATCAAAACCTGGTAATAAATAATTCAATGGACAAACATTTAATAAGTAAATGAATGGAATTTGGAAAATAATATTACCAATATTGAACATAACTTGAGTGTTAACTAAATCATTACCTTTCATACCAACGGTGTTTTTGAATTCATCAACAACATAAACGTTGTTCAAATTAGTTTGATCTAAATATTTAACCCAATAGGCCATTAATGAAAAAAGTGTTAACATAATATCCAATTTGAATAATAATTTTCTTTCAGCTGGTGAATTGTTTTCATTGTACCATTTGTACCATTTATGCTTCTTTCTCGTAAATTTGTTGGATCTATATTCATACTCATCGAAGAAGCTCCACCATTTTCTATCTTTTTCATCTCTGTATTCGATTTTTAATTCTGGTTCATCTTCAGTATCAACTGATAAGTCATCTTTGACATCAGGTTCGATATCGATATCGTATTCAACTTGTCTTAAAGTTGGGAATCCGTATTTCAACCTTGATAAAGGTTCTGTAAGAAATGACATGGTTGATAAAATTTCTTTTAATGGAATTGTAACGGGTTTTATACATTTCCTTTGTATACACAGTTTCTGGGTGCGAAAAATAAAATTCCGGCTCATCGATGATTATCTTTCACGTGAGATCTAATCGATAAGTCACAGTTAGGTGTAAGAACAATAAGAAAACCGTTGAAATTAGAGCATTTCCCGATGTTGATGGATTCTGTGCATGAATTGATGTTCGTTGGCTTGAAAAGTAGCGAAACAACCATTTAAATTGAATAGTTTCAATAGCTTTATCTTTCGGAACAAATAACGTGATTGGTTCATGGGTGTTTAGGAAAGAATCCCGCCAATGGTTTTTAAAGTTACGGCAGCCACAGATTTTTTGATCAGCATACTTGGTAAATGACATTCAATAAATCATGAGGTGTGGTTGTTAGATCTTGTAAAGTCAATTATCACGTTGTAATTGTCAATTTTACTGTAATGATCATCTTGAATAGTAAATTTTTCAAAGCCCGCAAGCGGAACGTTACATTTCACGTGATCGCTTAACCTTCGGTCCTGAGCGGGATGGGGCCGGTGGAACAAACCTACATCAGGAAGGCTTACCAGATGAAAAAAACATTGAAAGAGTTGAAGGAAGAGACATGGATTCCGAAACATGACGAATATTAAAATTAAACCTAAATACATATAACCGAAAATTTAACAATTCCACTAGAAATTAAAGACTCATTACAGAAAATATTAAATTTATAATAAAGCAGCAAAAGCAGCTAACCCAGCAGCAGCACCAACAACAACTTTGTTGGCACCACCTTCAAAAGTTGAGACACCAGCAACGGTAGATGGAGCTGGTTCAGTGGTGGATTCTTCAGCAACGGTGGTTGGAGTGGTTTCTTCTGGAATAGCAGTTGAAACATCAGCAACAGTGGTTGGAGCAACGGTGGTTGGAGCAATGGTGGTTGGGACGATACATTCACCAGTGACAGTAATAGTGGTTGGTTCAGTAACAGTGATTTCAGTTGGGTGACAGACAGTATCACATTTAGTGATGGTGATGGTGGTACTTTCTGGACAGTAAGTAGTGTAATCAGTGACAGTGATGTCAGTGGTGATAACAGTATCGTTAGTGTAGGCAGCTAAACCTAATGAGATTAATGATAAAAATAAAACTTTTTGCATAGCGAATGTAATATAAATAATTTGAATATTTTACTATCAAGGATATTTGGGACAATTTATAGTCCTTAGAGTGTCTTACGACAAATTCTTCCTATAAAACCTTTTTTAGGAAATATATTGAAATAAGGTACTTCGTTCATAATCAAAAGTTTAAAGTCATTGCTAAAGTGTAAAAATTCCAGAATGTACTACGTTTAAGAAACCCTCCGCAAAGGTACGATAAATCCTCAGAGGTGAACTGACTTTATTTCTATTAATAGAAGGGAATTCTTAGCCTATTGGAGAAGTTTTATTCATCATCAGGTAACCTCATGCAAGATCGGTCTCAGGCAGGAGGTGAAAGGGAGGATTTACCTTACAACTCGAGATGAACGATTTAACTTCAGTATGCGATTAACCCATATGACTTGATGGTTGGGTGTTACGGTTTATCGAATCTCATTAACTATAGCAATCACAGTATTTCTATTCGCCCAATATAGAGTCCTCTGAAATATTAGTGCATCGTATCTCTACCAAAATTTAGGTTCTGAATGTGAACTCTGATCTACAAGAAATTTATTTTTTACCGTTTTGGTTAAATTCCTATTTTTATGGAACCTTGGAGAATTCGCTGGAGACAATTGAATTTTACCTCTCAAATTTAAACAATAGAACGAAGGGTTGGTGAATGATATCATATGGTCAAAGGTGAAAATGATAAAGAAAAATCTCAAAAAAATTGATATCATGACTTTAAATAGCATATGCAAAAAATGATCAACAAGGAGGCTAGCCAGTACATGTCAACTCCTTAGTGATTTACGATTTTAAGAACTAGGCTGTTTTAGAATTTTTCTACAAGACACGAATTGTACGACCCAAGGTTTTGGGGATTTTGCAGGTTAGTGTTCGAACCCTCACTGGATATAATTCCTAAAAGGAAATTTTTGAGACACCTTTTGAAGTGGAATTGTGATCTACAGAAAAGACGCGAATGATATTCAAGGGTAAGGTGTTCTGTTGTACGGCTATACCGACATCTTATAGACTGGAAATTGATAAGTATGTCAAAGAATTGGGTGGACATCATTTCTCGAATTTGACTTCCGATGTTCAATACTTAATTGTAGGTAATAGGAATACTGATAAGTTTAACTTCTGTTTGAATAAGCGTGATGACATTACTTATCTTAAATTCAATGCCATTCATGAATTTTATGAGGGTTATAAAGCTGGGAAGTCTGTTGACTTGAATGAATATGTTTTAGGGGTATTTGATCTCCTAACTATTGCAATTTCACATATAAAGAGTGATGATTTATTTATTGATAATTTGGATTTACAGAAAGTTATTACCTCCAATGGAGGACAGTTATCCAAGACATTAACTACCAATTCGGCATGTTTGATCACCAACATAAAAACAGGGAAAAGATATGCTAAAGCATTAGAATGGGAAATTCCCGTAGTTCATCCTATTTACATATCTCATTCGTTGACTAGAGGGTTAGCTTTACCATTTGAAGATTACTTACTTGACAAATATCCTGATTATGCAGCTCCTATTGAAGCCCCCATAACAACGAAGACTGTTTCTACCGCCAAGTCAGCTCCGACGATACATAATCCAACAAATAAGATCAAAAAGACAAAGATAGATGTATGGAATTCAATTATGAATACTAAAAGTCATGAAATCAAATTACCCAACTCTGTACCAAAACCCACATCCAATGGGATATTTAAAGGTTTAAAGTTCAAGTTATTATTCTTCAATGCTGATCAGAAATCTATTTTGAATGAAATCATCACCAAAAATGAAGGAACCATCACTGAGAATGAATCAGAAAGTGATTTCAAACTCATACCGTTTGGAAATGAAGGCATATCGGGTGCAAGAACTGAATGGTTAATAGAAAGATCAATATTCTATGGGAGATTGACAGTAGACATTTGGTCAGAACCAACACCTCCTATCAACTTACCAAAGAATAAAACTATAACATTAAGTGGGTTTACAGGAGTTGAAGATTTGCATATAAAAAAATTACTAGCACATAAAGGTTTTGAGATTGTTCCTAAATTCAATGCCAAAACTAGCATTTTACTCATTAATATTAATATTTTCCAAGATCAATTACCTAAATCATTATTTGAATTTGACGAACCAATTGTCAAATGCCCTTTTAATTCAATCAATATTGTATCAACCAAAAATAAAATTCAAGCTGCAAAAAAATGGGGTATTCCAATAGTTCTGGCAAGGTACGCATTCGAAGTCAAATATGATGATGCTGACAATATCGATGATACCAAATGGTGTTTGTATTATAAACCTTCAGACAAAATTCCAAGTGATTCCCCTGATAGTGGAAGCTTGAAACTTCCTTCTCCCAAAAAGATTAAAAGGAAATTTGGTAAACTAGTAACAAATAATGAAAAAGTCAAAGGTATCGAGAGTGAAGGAACAATTGATGATTTGGACTTCGATTTAGGAATTGGTTATGGCAAAAAGCAAAAAAGGGGTTAGGCTAAAGTTGCCAACTGTAGTAAATAGTCGTGATGAATTATGAATGTACAATATTGTTACCCCTTAATTACCTTCTTTGATATATTAAAAAATGGCTGCAAAATTTCCATTCAAAACAGTCACAAATTGTGATGATGTTCGCCCAAGGGGGTAATAATGGTAGTAAATGCGGCCCCATGGTGAGAAAGTTATAGCGAATGCTTCTTAATTAAAAATAGATCCATCAGGGCCCTAGCCCTAAATGGTGGGGCGTGCATTTCCCGTTTGGTGAGAAAAAATTTTCATTTAAATCCTCATCCAAATCTCCTTTTTTTTTTCTCTTCTTTTTTTAACTAACTTTTTTAATTAAAGTAAATAATCAAACATGGGTAAAGAAAAAACTCACATTAACGTTGTTGTTATTGGTCACGTCGATTCAGGTAAATCAACCACCACCGGTCA